GACCCTCGTATACGCAGGCATGCGCAGGCATACCACGCCGCATGGTGAGGGCGCGTGGAGGTTTAACAGGATTGGGACATTTAAAGGTGGTCTGCCCTGGCCATAGGGGTGTTCCACTCCTTTCTGAAAACATCCAGTTGAACTACCCACATTTTTGGCAGTATATTATATACAAAATTATATATATATATATATTCCCCCACGTACCAAACTGTCCACCGATGCATCGGGAGAACTTTCGATGGAGAATTGATCGGCAAACTGCCACGCAACATAATGGCAAAACAGGGAATCTTCTTGCCTCAGCCTTCCAAGATCATGGAAAGGTTGAAAACGGGTATTGTACAGTTCGGTAAAAGGCTACTAGACCGATGGTTAGAATCCTAATACGGCATAAGGCTTTGAGATACGGTTGTCTCAACCTCCCTCAAACACCGTTGCTCTAGTCGCACTAGAACGCTCTTCTAAAGTTCTAAAAGGCAGGTGATCTAGTCCACGGAGCTCTCTATTCCTATAGGACTCCATGATGTATATGAAAACGCCCAGGAATGAGCACCCAAGATAGAGCTGGCTGGACCTGTATGAACATCATACTGCACATTCTATACCATTCTATATAGAGACAAAGGGCGGTCGAGCCGCACGTCACAGGGACGGGTGGCCATGGTGGATGGCCCTACCAGAGAGGGAGAGAAAAAAATAACTCCAAGGCAAATGGATGCGAATGGTATGTCTCACCCTCGACTGCTACAGCAGTCCATCCTTCGATCAAGGAATCCAATGGAATCAATATGAATCGATCCTGGACGGTCAGACCCGCCATGATCTCCCCTGATGGCCGACAGCAGTCCGCAGTACGGTCGACATCGGTCGACGCTGACGGCAGCCGTGACTCGCCGTGACGCACACATTCCTTGCTGCATGAGATTGGGTGAAGCGATGTTGTTCGCAGTTTCGGCATGAAGACGTTTCCCAAGCCACCGTTGACCAACGAGACCATGGGTCTCAGGATTATAGTATAAAATCAAATCAAGATTTAATCCAAGGGTGAAGGTAAAACATGTTAACAATGAGATTACGCTTGATGTTAGCAAAGCAAAGCGGCTTCGATAGAGCGATCTCTTACCGGGTTTAGCGAGGTTTTGTTTAGTTGGAGGCCAATTCAGTGCTATGTTCAAGCGCTTTCAAAGGGTTTACTTTCAGCCTCGTTAGTCATCTGCTCAGATGTTCTCAGTGGCTCACTCTGAAAGCCTGAGTAGGTCTGAGTTCATGAGGATCGGGCCAAAGGAATCAAAGGAACATTGTTTGCATCAAATGACCAATTTTGATAACACTGAATCCAAAGTAACATTGCACCAATTTTTGTAACTTGACCATGTCCACGTCACCAGTTGTTGGACGCATCCGCTCAAACGATCCGCTTCGCATTGCTTCACCACTCTCCCAAGGAGGAACCTGTGTCGTCGTGGGATGAGTCTTCGGCGGTCATCCAAACAGCCCTCGGCCCTCCTTTTGAAGCAGGGGCAGCTGTTCGGCTTTCCGGGGTCCCAATCCTCAGTCTGGCTGACGGCCCAGCTTCACCAATCGGAAGTGACCTGTAGCTCCATCCATCCGGACCGTGGCATACCCACCTTGCACAGCTCATCACAGCTCGTACCACACGTCTCGGCCACAGCTCAAGAGGTGTTGGGGGTCCCGTGAGGCGGTGAAACGAGGATTCCACGGAGCGTCGTATTGGTTCGCCAAAAACAGGCGACGTCGAGCCACAACCAAGAACCACCTTAAGCGCGCAGAGGCCGTGGCTTCTTAAAGCTTCTTGCAAAGGTGCCCGAAAAAGGCTAGGCTACCAGGCTGCACTTTGCTTACTGTAAATGTTCCGGGATGTGGCTCTAACTGTGGCTCACTCGGCAGATCGGCAGAAGCCGGCCTCTGTCCTGCGACCTCATCTGCGAGTCTGCGAGCAGATTCTTGAGATGTGCCCGGTGGATGTACTGCTACTGTGAGGGGACGGGTCTTGAAATAGGATGGACTTCTCACCATCACAAGGCTCGAATTGTCCCAACCTCTTACACTGACCAGACTGAAAACAAACACTCCATGTCTGCTGCGAGCGGTTTCATCACCAAAAAAGTGGGGCAACATGAACGGTTTCGCATGTGGTGATGATGGGATCATCTATATATGGGATCTTTGAAGTAAAACGAGTGAAACCATCACCACGAGTTCGTGTGACCGGATCTCCTGATGAGTGGAACACATCGCAGGACACAACAAGCTACATATCGCGCTACGGGGATCGCATCGCGCAACTCGCGCAACTCGCGGCTGGTCGTCTGATGTGCCCAGCTGGTCCTGTTGATATGAGGCGATTGAAACATGAACAATACAAAGCGAGTTGTAACAGGTCTCAGGTGACTTCCGGCCAAAAAGTCACGAAAACTACGGCATACCATGCCACTGAGCCCAAGGTCACCTGGAAAACCCCCACCCTGCGGGAAAGAACCCGCCCAAAAACATGCAAGCATACTGCCTAGTGGAACAATGGTGGCTCTTTCGTAGTTGAGACATGTTGAGACTCCTTACTCGGCTCTTCCGCTTCCGGAACCACCTTCACTCCGGCGGCGCAACGCGCCCTGCACCGTTCCGGTGTCGAAACTCGCCTCAGCTCCACCTTCGCGGAGTGAAGTTGCTTAAAACATCCCCTCAGTCCGTCCGCACCGTCGGTTTGGGTGTTGCTTTGGGCGTTTGATGGTGCTGTCTGTATGTTTGATGTGTGTGCGTGTGTTAGGAGGAGATAGACAAGCGAATTCTTCTGCTCAATGCTCGCTTGGAGGTGTCAATAGATGTGCGCTCTTTATGAGTCAATTTGAACAATGATTCTTATCAAGCAGTTATAGAATAATTTAGTATATATATATATACATCAATGATTCTTTGTGTTTAAGGCATGGATATGCATGGATCAAACAGGGTGTCCAGCATCCAACAAAGGAAAAACCAGGGATGACCCCCTTTTGATAACTCAGACTTACGCAGACGCTGCCCTTAACGACCCATGAAACCCGGTAGAAAAGGAGTCAAACTGCAGCAAACTGATGTGGCCAAGATGCACCCATGCAGCATGAGAACCAACTCCTCCTCTTTGGTTCCGGCTCAACGTGCTTGACTCCCTTCCTGAGCTGCCAGGAGAGGGAGAGTGCCCAAGAAAAAAGAAAGGCGGCAAAGGGAGATTCAACGAAGTGGATTTCTTCCCAGCGTCCCTCTTTTCATTCCATCTCAGGGACACCAGGCCGAGAAAGGAGGTAAGGGAGAGGGAAACCTTCTCTCCAAGCCCTGTGGGACACATGTTCAGCTACATGCTGCAACCCTCCATGGAACTCCATGGAACTCATGAACCGAAAAAATCGGGCTGTGAGTCAACACCTGGAGCTGCGGGTTGCAAAGATATCCTGAATGGATGGTCTTTTGCACTTGACCATCTTTTCTGATTGTCGCTTGTCGCTTTTTAGGGTCCTCAGACTTTACACTCCAGAGCGGGTGTAAGGGTCAGTCTGCTTCTCGCTGACTCAGACTGGCAACGCGGCGCGGAAAACCTGGAGCCCCAATCCCTGCTAGGTTGACCTCCCTGGTATTCTACTTCGTTCATTTTTCGCTGGTCAACCAGGGGTAGCTCAAACCACCAAACCCATTTCCGGTGGCCTCCCCACCGAGTTCGGAGCCCCTCCGGCTCCAAACATACCCAGACCCACCGCATCTAAGTGGAATGCATGGAATCGCCGGTGGGACTTGCCGCTCATCTCAGCCCATCTCCATTCCAAAGGACAAATGGGGTCTATTGCCGTAGACCCATAATTTATTTTTTATTTTTTAAATATGTCTTTCTGGTGGTTGTGGGTTGACTCTTTGTCACCTTTCCTCTCCATCCTGTCGCAGCCACAACCGGATCTGCCAAGCCACTTGACACCGCCACCAGCCACCTGAGATGAATCGCAGCGGGTTCAAACTGTGCACACCGAGCGCGCCCTGCGCCATCCGCGCGCCTTGATGGGCTTCGCCGGGGCAGCAACAGCCTCGGACATGGCCAAGCTCTCCTGGCTGTCACCAAAAGAGTATGGTGGAGAAACATGCTCATCCTTTCGGGGCGCCATCCACTTTCCACGATGATTTCACCGAGGGCGAAATCGAATTGAGACACCTGAAGAGGACTCCAGCACCCCACGAGCTGACGCCGGCAACCTCCCGCGGTGAGTGGAGCGGGTTCAGCTCAGAAGCTCTGGACTGAGCGGCCGCCGTCCCCCAGTTCAGCCCGCTGTCCCGAAGAAACACCGTGTGAGAAAAGAAAATATATAGATGATGGTGTGGGTGTGGGGCTGTAGCCACAGCCCCTCCAAAAACCACAAGCAAACTTGACCAACATGCACAAAACTCAGACCGACCAATCCCATGCCCCCGACCAATGGAGCCCCACAGCCCATAATCCGTTGAAAAGTCCCGCCTGATGCTTCCGAGCCTGATATGCACCTGAGTCGGCCGGGACAAAAATGATGGGAGGATGAATGCAAGGAGCTGAAGTTGAATCTAAATCAGAGGCGAGAACACCAATGGATGCTTAGAGCTTCTTCCTCCACTGCTTAGAGCTTCTCCACTCGTGACAAGCGTGTCCATAGTACCTTGAGCCCCTCGGGACATCATTTCTGCAAATGCAGCCATCCGGGGCCGCAGTATGACAAAGTCTCCCAGGACCCTTTCTTGGAACATCTGAGCATATCTGAGCTCAAGGAGTTCTACTTATGAGTTGTGAGTATGCAAAGGGTATCCACTGGCCATGAATCAAGGTCCTTTCCGACCATCTGGCTTGTCTTGTCCAACAGCTCATTGGACTGTGAGCTCTAGGCACCAGTGACCGGCAGTCGCAGTCGCTGTATAGGGCACAAAGGCCCAGGGTTTATAAGCCGAAGATCTGAAGGCTCGGGGAACGGCGAACGGTTTGGGAGTGCCGGTCATGGTTCTCTCGCCCAGGCACTGATGAGCTTGCAGGACTCGCTCAGGATGAAACATCCCACGGGCCCAGCAATCGCCAAGGCCCACCCAAAGATGCCTCAGAAGGGCCCAGAGTCCGCCCTCCACTTGAAACGGGCGATATAAAACCAAGACCTGTCTGCCTGTGCTCCACTCATTTTGTGGAAACATGTGAAAACAGCTACATGATATGTCAGCTCAAACCCTATCATGTCGCGGTGTCCAACAAATGTGCTTGAAGCTTTCTGGACACGTCGATCGATTGCATCAAATGCCATCTCTTCGAAGGTCCTGACGTCCGTAGGTCAACGGAACATCTTGATCAGTTAGGTTTCACTCTATTTTCCAGCAATGAACCAGGGTGATTCGCGGGCTTCGTGTGCCTAATAAAAAGACCAATCATTGTGAAAAATGACCTCAAGAAATATCAAAAAATCACACACCAAAGCAATGAGGAGCTTCCAAAAACGAGTTTGTCAACCCAAAGAGTGAGTCACTTTCATTGGGCACCCCTTTTTTGTGCACCCCCTATCTGCATCCCTGCCCTCCTCCATGCCCCACCACGCATGGATACTCCACCACCTCCACCAGCCACCACCCGACCCCAGCAAGGCACCAATCTCCAGTCCTCGAAGCCCCAAGATGCGGTCGGACAAATACGGCGTGAGCACCGCCTCGGCGTGAAGCACCCGGTGGGCTTCGGCGAAACGGCGGGTGGGGAACGACCCAAACGGGCGACAGGGATGCAGAGATGTGTTCAAAGGTGTCAATTTGCAGACTTCAGCAGGCTTCTCATTTAGGAATCATAGGAAAGCCCTGGTACAGCAGTGAACTTAGCAGTGCGTGCAGTGGATATCGGTGGAGCGACTATCACCTTTACCAAGTCGGTGCTTTCCATGTCGAACTGCTGCAGTAGTTACACTCCGACTCACTAATTTCCAAATGGCCACTGGAAAGGCCGTTTTCCTCTACGAACTTGCAGTAGTTGGCTTGCCTTTCAACCACCTCTCACAGACCTAGCAACACAGTCTCGAGGCAAATGGTGACCCTCCTGTGATTCAATTCACACTCTTTGGGTTCGCCACAGGCCCCGCTTCCGAACATCTGAGCCGCCACGTAGAGGCAAACCTGCGCCATGATGATGGCCTTCTGCATGTGCTTGTTCCCCAAGATGTCATGCCACATGGGATTGGTGAAGGACCGCGAGATGTAGGCACGGATATTTTCAGACCTCAAGGAGCCAAAACACCCCACGACGTGGCGTTTTGAGTAGATGCAACCTGCCGCTCCAAAGCACCAACGGAAAGGACTAGCGGTGGTGGGCAAATCAAAGGGCTTGAATTACAAGTTCCATTCCAAGGACTAATATAGATATTATATATATTACTGTATACTTTAGATTTTTCATCATAATTTCATCCACTTCGGGGCCACTCCAGAACATTTTGGCCAAAGCATGCCTATGCCTTTTTCTCGTTCCCCTCCCCCTTTGCTCCCGGTGGCCACACCAAGGAGATGAACGCCACGGTCTGCGCCTTAGCCAGCCTGGCAGTGGCGGCATGTTCACCCTGGTGGTCCATATCATGGAGCTTATGCACCCCATGCAAATGCGAAAGAAAAAAGAACAAACAAACGAAGAACTCGGTTCTTGTTTTTATGTGCTTTCTTTGTTCTGTTCTTTGTAGATATATAATACTCAAATACTTCCAAGAACTTGTGGAGGCTCAGAATGCTGTCGGCTTGCAAAAAGACCTTGCTGCCCTGGCTTCTCGCTAATGGGGGGCTTGGGGGGTCTCGGCAAGTGCGGACTAGGAACCTCAGCCAAGATACCAACCTTCCACGCATTTCGGAGCAGCACTCTTGCAGGAGAATGAAGGAGAATTAGCTTGTGTGGCTCAAGCCGTCCAGTCCACGCGAAATCCGTTTTTCAATACAGCTTGATAGGCTTACCGGCTTACCTCGCAAACTATGCAAAACACGCGTCCAACCAACTCATTGCATTCTATAATGTCACGTTTTGTCATTCTGGTGTATGAATTTATTTTGTTGATATACCAAGGTGCAGTGCACAGGTGTCCACCAGAACGGGCTACATATTCCCGTATGGTTCCCAAGGTGCCGTAATCATGCCGGCAAAAACACTGAGCACGATGGCCGCAATCCCAACATTCCACCCCCAGCAGCAAGCTGTGTAATTTAAACCTACCTGTGTTTGATCTGCGTGTTATTGAATATTAGTGTATTGGTCAGAATGTCGGAGCAGCTTTAAGGATGGCATCCCCTGATACAAAATCAACAGCATCGAAACATCAAACCGAACCAAAACCACACGGGCCTGTCTTGGAAGCCTCAGAACGTGCCAGAGTTCCGAGGGGAGGGAGTGGCATGGTACTCTGAAGCAAGTTCCTACAAGCCACAAGCTGCTCCCTCCCAAAATGAATGCAGCAGCTTGTGTTGCCTACCATGTTGTTCTTCTTTGGGCCGGGGCTCGACTCACTGAAACTCATCGCTCGGCCATTGGCATGGTCCGGAGGAATTGGCCCCCCCAGTGGCCCGCTGGTGGAACATGTGGGAAGCATGTCCCAGTGGCCGCACTCCCTCGCCCCCTTGATCTCCCTATCAGTCTTCTTTGTCAAGATTCATGGCGTTCATATGCGTTCATCCAGTTCACCACCACCAGCAGGAGGGAAAACACCCTTTTCGCCAATCAATCTTACCTTTGGGCCCTTTTCGCCTAGAGGGCCCAAAAGAACTTCCAAAAAAAAAACGTCATGGAGGATCATAGCGTCTCATAGCGTCTTCCAATGAACCCCTGACTGAAGAAAGAATCGATTTAATGACTCGAATCCATTCAATGACCCAAACACCCACTGCACGACTGCACTGGAGTGCACTGACCAGAGGGGGGAAACCTCATATTGAGTAAAACATGGACTGGACTGGACCAGTCCAGTTCTCGGATGTACGGCGGATGGTCCGCCGGCTCGAAGCCAAACGGCCGGCCCTGACGGCTCCCTGGCGGTGAAGAGCCGGCCTTTTCCCAGATCGTAGATGTTAGCCTGTAAGATCTCGCCATCGCAGAAGTGGATCAAGGAGATAATGTAGACCGCGACGACCACCACCTGTTACATGCGATTCTGGGGGCCTGCAAGGACCTTCAGGCCCTCAGGCACCCTCTCGAACTCACGGAATCATAGGGGGCTTCCCCAAACACCCAGGGCCTTTGAACCTCAAACTGCTTTCTGTGTTTGCCGGAGTGCGAGTGTTGCCACTATCGAAATCCTGGCCACGTCTTTCAAAACCAAATCACGGATCCCCAAAGGTCCAGGTCCACCTTTTGATGGAACTTTTCGTACATTTTGAGGACTTCCCTCATCTTCCCTCCCAGTCTCCTGGGTGGATCACCCACATGGGTGGATCACCCGTCTGGTTGGATTTGGGTGTACGGTTGGGGCTTCTGAGCAGACAGGTGAGTCAGGAGTCTGTCCACATCCATTCGCCCATGGTGGAGAGATCCCCGTGATTTCACATGGATGTTGCGTTCGCCCAGCCACAGTGAGCACCATGCCGTTCATGATCATTGCCAACCACATCCTTGGCACACAAACGCATGACTCGTCACAGCCTCACAGCCACCTGGCCATGGTCACCCCTCTAACTGCGACGTATCCACTGCTCTTACGGCTCACGATGGACACCTTGGCAGCAAGTTGTTTGTTCCCAAACGCTTTGGGTCAGCTAGGCATCCACATCAGCACGATCGGCTCTTCCTCACAGGTGGTCGGTCAGACAGAGTCGGTCGGTCGTTAGGATTGAAACGATTGGAGGTTTCAGCTTCACTGTAAACTCGAAGCTCTGCTCGCAAATCACATGTACATACAAGATATACATGTACTAGTACCAAGCCTTTTGGATGTTTGGTGTCCGGGGTGTCCAAAATCTTTTTTGCGAGCGGGGCAACCGGAGCAGCCTGGAGCGGCTCTACTTAACAGGCTTGCAAAATAACAATCCAAGCTGTGTTCTGTTCGTTTTGCCACCCAACACGCACAGCCCACGGGTTTCGTGAGATGTTGGACTTCCGTTCCGCGGTTTCGGGGCTCGTCCGGCCACTCCCAGTCCTTGGGTCGTGGGCGCATCTTGAGGATGTGCGCCTCACCTCCACGCGTGATGTGGATGTGGCCAAGACAAGGTGGAAAGATGTGGGGGTGAGTGCCAAGCTGACTGTGGAAATGGCACCAAATGGCACCTCATACGCCTTGATGTGCAACCCTTCTCAAACCTTTCCATGAACAAAAGATGGCTGTGTGAATAACGGGGGGGTCCTTGACCTCATTTTATAGGTATAAAACGGTTATGCCAACCCGCCAATGTGAATAAAATTGTGCAAGTAGAAATTTGAGGGTCCCATAAAATGAGAGGCTCAACATCATTTTTGATAGCTGCATCACTAGTTGTGTTTGATAGCTGCGTTCCAAAATTCTGCCCCTCAGTAACTGCCTAAATCTTTAGCTGTTAAAAAATGAAAGACTTTGTGAACCCTCACAAAAACCCAAAGAGTCTACCAACCTCACCTTTCAACCAGATTTGAGAACTCCAGTTCAGTCGAACAAATGTCGAAACTCTACGGTTTCCCAACTCCTCTCTCATCCATATTCTCTCTCTCTCTCTCTCCCTCTCTCTCTCTCTCTCTCTCTCCCTCTCCCTCTCTCTGTTTTGCATGGGAACCTCATGAAACTGCTCACCCCTAACCCTCACCGTCCCTGGGTAGTTCTGTAGTTCTCTACTACAAAAAATGCCCGCCCGCCTGGTTCCATGCCCAAGGCGATGGAAGGTGGCAAGTCCGTGACCAGAATCAGGAAAAGGATCTGCAAGGGAGTTCGCATCACCTTGGAGGATCCATCAATGATCGATCCCCAAAGAACCGACGGCATCCAACCCCGTTCCTTTTGGGCGTCCTGGCGCCTGTCCACCCCGAGTTTTCCAAGGGGCAGGGATGCCAATGACGATGCAAATGAAGATCTGCATGACCTGGGCAAAACCGAATATAGAATCTATATTCATAAAACTCATCAAACCTCCCCGTTGGATCATTTGGATTGCAAAAACCTCAAGAGTCTGCATGAAGCCCACTGGACAGTTTGATCCCACACTTCCACTGGAACTTCCAGGGCTTGGTGTTTGCAGTCTCCCTCCCGACTCCTGGGTCCAACCATCCTGAATGACAAGGCTGACAAGGATTCAAAAACACAAAGCAAAGGGAAATAAAATGATACAATGCATATCAACGCATGGCATACTGCATTTTGGCCAATTGATGTACTGCATTATACATTTATTGCTTGGCATCCACATCAGGTTGCGACGTCGGGCTCTCGCACTTATCAATACACCCTGGTAAATTGACATGGAACCAGAAACCACAGGGTTGTAGAGGAAAATGAGGAAAATAGTTTTCCAAAGGTCCATTTTCAGATTCCATTGTTAATCTTCCCGGGTGTAGTTATATTTTAATTATGGTTTCAATGGCAGACCATGCAGTGGTCAAGCCTGGGCTAGAAAACCTGTCTTCAGCGTCGCTGGTGAATTCTTTCGCGCCACCACCAACAACGCATTTGCAATGAAAAGGCAGTACTCTACTTACCGCAAAGCGCTCCAAGTCAACCTTGCCACCCACGAACCGGTCGGTTTCCTCTCACGTCGTCAACCACCCGATCCCGACCGCACGAACGCGACCGGCGCGAACGCGACCCGCGCCTCGGCAATGTGCACTGACATGATGAAGGCCACGAACTTTTGGATTCCGCTGTAGATGGCTCGACCCTTCTCCACCTCAGGTAAACCCCCCACAACACGCTCAACATCCTCTGCTTTGCACCAGAATCTTTTTCGCAGCGGTGGCCGAGCGCTGCAGTTCCGCCGCGAGGCGATTCGCGCAAGTGGACTTTGGGGCCTTTTTGGGGGTTAGCACGGCCTATACAAACAAAGCAACTCCTGTCGAGCATTTCGTCATCTCTGTGTACTTTGAAGAGTGGAGTCAGCTCAATCAAGTGAATCCCCTGAGAATATCAAAAGAAAGTATTGGACCGCAACGCTGTCAATACTTCACGCACACTGCCACGTGGGTATTATGTGTACCAACTAAAACAACTATGTTTTCTATACTGCATTCTACATATTTGAAAAACCATGTTTATCTGCCTTGCGGCCACCATGAGTATAGTTGAAAATATAGTTGGGTACATATATACATATACATATAATTTGGAAGCGTTTGGCCTGAATATGCCATGCCAAGCATTCATCCAAAGCCCAGCAGCTGCATTCACGATGGAGCAGAAGTTGTCATCTGTCAAGACCCTTAGCAGTGCAAAAGTTTCGATCACCCACCCCGAACTCACCACCCCGCTATCGGAAGAACTTCTCCTCACCACGCTTCAATTGCTGTCCCCCTATTTGCAAAAAATGAATCTACAGTAAGTTCAACAATTCGCTATAGAAATCTGACTTGCGTGACTTGTATGTTTTATGATAGTGCATAGGGTATAGGACAAGGTTTTGTTCACTGGGGAAAAGTGCCCCCGCGTGAAAGGACAAAATGGATCACGCGATACCCCCTGGACCACGTGGAGGGGGTCGTCGTGACGCATTACGGGGCTGTAGCCGGACTCTCCCCAAGCAGCCCGAGCGCTATTGCCCTTTTTTCCTTGTCCCGGCATTCATCTCTCTAAATGCTCATCTTAAGAATCTCCAATGAGGGCAGGACCGAGTAGGGGACGGAAGGACGCACTGGTCTCAAACTCAAAGAGTCAAATTAATGGTGGTCTTATACCAGCCCCAACGGCCACCCATCACCCTAAAACCCGACCAAACCTAATTTTGGCCGAAGAAAGGTCTTGAGTCTTGAGGCTATCAGCACCTACACTCCTGGAGCACTTTTGAATATAGACCCTTCCTTGCTTGTCTTCCGTAACCCAACCAAACAGCCCCCCGTTCCCGTTCTTCCCCTTCACGTCCGACCACGACGTCCGAGCCACATGTCCGAAGCGCCCTTGGCCACCTCAGTGCCTTGGATACCCATGGCCACTCCAATGTCCGCCTGGTTCAGCGCCGGGGCGTCGTTCACCTCCGCCGGGAACGGGCGGGTCGTTCACCATGCGGTTTTTGGTGTTGTCTTTTGCGAAGAAGAGCACCACCTGTTTTGGTCAGGAAAATGGTGGCGTAGAGGAGCGAGTCGAGTGAACATCCGGGCCGTTTTCTCCCGGCGGTGTCGGGTGGCGTCGCCTTGGGCTTGAAGATCTCGGCTTGAGTGGCTAGTGCTTCTCATGAGAGTTTCTGCAGACTGCAGGACACCATCAAAACATACCAAAGCCGCCCAGGAAACACATTGACATCCCTAAAGAACATCCGGCCCAAGACTTTCAATCAAGACAAACCAATCTGTTGAACCTTCGCAGCCTACAGGGCCTACAGTAGAGAGCATTCGACGCACAAAAATCACAAAGGTCATGTTTGTGTCTTGGACCATTGGTCAAAAAGCGTTCGCCTTTCCGACTTTCCCCTCCTTTTCTGCAACTGCAAACCGCGGACATATCATTACTTGAGCCGATGGAGGGCCAAGCACCAAATCGTCACATCCTGAATTGCCATGTCCGGTGCTGGGTAGGATAGGACTCTCTTCTCGACTCTCCCACAAAATGGTAGTGTCATGGCTTCAGGCAGCATCACCACGAAATCCTCGGATTTGAGGGTTGTTGTCAGGGCTATAGGGTTCTACGGGCTTTCGTAGCTGCCCGGTGGAGCCTTGCACTTGGCAGCTTTACGGCTACGGTGTCCCTCCGTTCGGCTCCAACGGCTCCAACATTCGGCGTCGTTGTGGCCAAGCGGCTCCATCGCCCGTCATGGCAGCCACCTGACCTGTGGCCGGTTCAGGTTTGGTACGGCGTGTTCGGTTGGCCACGAACCTCACCCCCTGAGTCGCTCACGATCATAGACATCTCTTTGACATAGAGATGTTGGTGGTTCAGGTTTGGGACGGTTCAGGTTTGTGTGGAGTGATGATGTCAAGAGACGTCAGGTGTTTTGACGCACGCGCACACCGCGCACGCGCTGTCAAGCCCCTGGCTTGTGTTTGTAAACCTCTCGTTCCTCTCCCCACGGCTCTGGCGCTTCACGGCTCACTTGGGAATTGTGTATATTGAGTTTCTATAAGAAGGTACCTGGTGGGGAGATACCATAATGGGGGCGGATGAGGGAACCTGAATCACTGTCTGGACTGGGATTTCCCCCCCGTTCGGAGACCAATTTCCGCTGCACCTTGACGCTGGATGCTCTTCACGATCTCCAGCTTGTCCTGGAGCCCGGTTGAGCTCGATCCAGGCTGCACCACTCAATTAAAGGGACCTCCTCAGTGCAAAAAACATAACAGCATGGATTTACCTCTTCATTGCTTTTGGACATTGAAATGGTTGATAGGCTTTACGTCTTCATCAGTTGTTCAGTTTGGATCGTTAAACTTTAATGAAATTGACAGTGTGATCCCAAGATATCAAAGTACAGACTGCAGGGTCCAAGATCCTGTTCGACAAATTGCAGGAAGCCCGGATTACTAAGTAGCCATGAAACCACCTGGAATCATACGTAATCACAGGTATTTTGGTGCCGCCCGATTTGGGGAAGGAAATTCACAAGATCTGTTTGGTGTCTGTCAGCCAATCATGCCTCCAGTATACAATCGAGCCTCCAGCAGATTAGCATGGACCCTGAAAACCACCAGGTTGTAAAAGGAAAGTCCTCATCCAGGAGTCCAGGAGTCCTTTTTCAAGGCCCATGTTAGCCTGCAGGCGGGTAGCAAGCGCCTTTCAAATCTGAATCAGTAATCACCAGTGGGAAATTATTGGTGATATCTAGGAACCAAAGGTGCTCTCGTGCTGGACTGGTGCCAGGAAATGCTCCAGCCCTGCGCCCAAACTTTCTCCTCTGGCTTGGCACGTGCGAAAACACGCGTGCTGCAGGTGACAAGGTCCATCTCCTGGCATCGCGGGGCTTCGCGTGGACGCAAGGAGAAGGCACGGTCTGGTCTACCCCGGTCGTCGCGACGGCGACCCCGGTCGTCGACCTGGTTGGAGAGGTATTCGCCGTTGGGCCGGAGACTGGCACAATCCATGGCGGAGGTCTCGACATCGTCGGTGTCTTGCAGAATGTTCACCTCGAGAACTCGAGGAAGTCTCGTGCCAAACAAAGGTCCTGTGGTGCCTGTGAGCAGTGTCCAATTGAACGTGCCTGTGGCCACCACATCTACCACAAAGAATCTCACATTTGAGATAGACTAAACATAGAGCACCATAGACCATCCCCCAAATCGACATCTGGGGGACTGGGGGATCAATTGATTGCTCTCTTCAAAGACTGGTGTTCATCTACTTCTTCACGAATCATGGCAATGCACTCTGTGAGTGCCCGTGCGTTTCGTGCGTTTTCTCCTCCAAACCCGTTTCCAACGCCCAAGACCGTCTTCCCTTCCAATGAAACGGATGTATCGATCCCTGGACGTCCACCGAAACCAACCAACCAAAATCATCAAATCCAAAGTGTCCCAGAAAGAGCCTGAAAACCACGCTTAAACAAACAAAATCCATCTTCATATCATCATATATCATCCATGACAGTCTTCTCGTCTTCCAAGCTCTTAAGAATGGTCTTTGATCCCTCTCCCAGCTGCCCGGTGACGTTCTTGGCGATGGCAATCGCCGTCAACAGGTAATCTCCGGTGATCATCACCACGCGAATCCCCGCGCCCCGCGCGGCCACCACGCTGTCCGGGACCCCGTCGCCTCGGGCGGTCGAGATCGTGCCCGAAGCGTCCGGAGATCGTGTCGGTGGAGAACCACACCACGAATGACGCGGCCAACTGGATGAAATGCCAAAATGGTCAATCCAAATTGACATGGACATCTGGCACCAGCTTGACGTGACCTCTTGGTTTCGGACATCGACCCTGACCGCAAACGACCCCCAACCCGAACCGCTCCGCCACGGGACGCTCCGGGTCAATGGAGGCGACCAAGCCCATGAGGCGCAGCTGCTGGCGGCAAGCGTCGAACTTCTGGTCCGTGGTGACCTCGGTCGGGGGAAGAGAACCACCAGACGTGGCCAAAGAAGTGAAGAAAAACCACCACGGACGGACCACGTCGTGGGCTTGGCGTCGTGTCGTGGTTTGTTGTGTCTTGTTTTCGTCCGATTTTTGGAGGTCTCATGTTTGGATGGATGGCCGAGTCCTGGTGTTTCTTTTGGCTTGATTCGTCCAAATGTGGTAGTCCAACCGATTGAGGGTCTTCTTGTGCAAAGCATTGGCGCGTAGAACCATCAACGCTGGTTCATTCAGTGCTTCCCCCCGGGAATGAACTCCTCCGATCATCCCAGCTTCAATGTTCTCGTTCCACACCAGGTCATCGACTAAAAACGAAGTGGTTCCGTTCAATGTTCAATGAGTTTGCCCTGAGATTTTCTTATGTGGGGCAAATAGCTAAAGATTTAAAAAAACTAAACACCGAAATGAAATTTAAACATGCCTTACCTATCCTTACCTTAAGGCCCCATTGAGGCCAAGAACGTTTCAGGAACCGCTGTTTAACAACACCCATGTTGTCAGTCACCAATCGGTGTTTTCCCAGACCGTGCGCTCTCCGTGCACTCCCCGTCCAAGGTGCATCCTCGTTGTTCTCATCGTACCTCAGGGCACCCACGCCGCGAACCGGTGGACCCCGCGTCGGACCGATGGACCGGACCGCGGGACCCCGTCGAAGCCCGAAGCCAAAGGGCGGCAACTTGGACATGGGCCGCGCGGCGATCGCCAGGACGCGCAAGGCGCGCGCGGAGTAGCCTGAGGCGGGAGGAGGGGCACGGAAGGAGGAATGGACCGGAATGGAGGCTGCGGCAAAGTGCAAGCCCCAACACAGAACACAAAGAGTCTTTCCAAGATTCTTTTAAGCTAGATCATTGTAAAATTCTCTGGCCGCTTCTGGGTGTCCTTGTTTCAGCAGTCCTGCAGTAGCAGGTGGGACAACATTGATCTCGAATGTCTGGGATGTTTGGACTGGCTTCCAGACCCACAGAAGTGGATTGCTGGGGTCTATCCTATTACCAGTACAGTAACTGTGGATGATGATGGTTGGTAAAGGCCTTGTTCAAAAACATTTAAAGACCCGACGGATTGCTATGTTGGTGTAGGGCGAGGGCGCTGCAAACCCACCAGTACCGCGCTGCCATAAAAGGCAACACACCTCTCAGAAGCCGAGAGCCATCTCTCGGCTTCAATTGTGTAGGACTAGAGCTAGGACTGGGGCCGTCAAAATAACTGCAGTACGAACTACAGTATGTAGTCGCCAAGACCTCAAAAAACTGCTTTCTGTTCAAGAGCGACGGCCAAAGGGCAGCTGCAAACGAACTGTATAGGTTCAACATGGTTCAACTACCTGCCCCAAAAGCCAAACCCAGCAGACCGGTCTTCCCTGGCACGATCCCGTGCCATGGAGCCGTCCACGATCTTCAGGATCTTGGACTTGTCCGCGTCGCTCAACTTGGCCACGCCTGAATTCGCAAGGACTGAGAGCACGGAGCAAAGGTGTTCCTTTATGGAGCAAACATGGAGAAGCTGTAAATAATTGAAACCCAGATGTAGCATGTGAAGAGCGGTCACAAGTCTTTGTTTACCTAATCTTGTCGGAAGATTCGTGACTCACCTATCGCTTTTCAGAGTTTGGGATGCTCATGTGTGTGAGTGTGGCATACATGTTGAAAAGCAGGTATTGTATTTTTCCGTGAGCCACCTATAACCTACTGCGTACCAATGCCAATGGTTTCGAGCAAAGCCAACATCCACTGCAGTTGACAAGACTTCCAATCTACAACACATCTCTCGTAGTGCAGACTGTTCCTCATGGATGTCGACTAAGCCTAAGCCCACCGATTGGATCGCACAAACCTTTCAAATGCACAGGAATGTGGCTTTGAAGATGTAGAAGTGTAGGTTGGCACAATTAATTCAGTGTAGGCTGCGACAAGGAAAGGCAGGAAACTGGAAATTGAAAGTCTCACGATCTGCTGGGTGATGGTCATACACGCCCTCCAGGCTAAAGCTCACCACCCTCTGATTATTCTCGTCAAGCTGGGGCTTCTTTGTCACAGGGTCTGTTTTACTTCGCCTCCATCCTTTCCACCCTTTTCTCTGACTTTCTCCAACTTCACCGGAACCAAGCTGCTCCCATCAGGGTTCAGCTGCTCACAGCAAAGGTCGATGATGTAGTTGGGCGCCTCGGTACTGTTGAGTCACAGGGCGTGGGAAAGGGATGGACAACATCTTGCACTAAGTGGCCTACATTACCCCGTGGCCGTCATCTCTCACATAGCGAAATAAGGTGGAGCGGGGCCAACCGGGCCAACCCACAACATACAAACACACACAACTATGGCTGAGGCAAGTTCTAAGGATAAACAAAATATATCAAATTACCACAAGCTGGGCTGGACTGGCAAAATTAGCCCTGCTGTTGCACAGCTGTGGCCATGGTGGGGCAAAATCTTTTCTTGGCCTCATCTATGCTCTGCGTGTGTGACGAACATGTTTTCCCACGGTGGACATGCCACTGGACCACTGGACCACTGCATCAAGCCGATGAACGCCATCGACTCCTAATGGCATGTGACGCCATCGACTCCCTGGCCGCTGGCCGAGTGCGAACTGGACCATCGACTCTTTAAACTCACTGTAACATGTCTACCCTGCTCTATCTATCCATCAACCTTTTCCGTTCCACCACAGCCCTCGCTCTGCTTGGGCTCCCGACACCCTTGCACACCGTCAAGTAGTTCGTCCCTGGACTGCGAACGAGCTGCTAATTAGCTGCATCAAGGATCGAGTCGACGTCTTGAGACCCAAATCGAGCTTGCTTGGTTTGTCCTCAGGGGTGGTGATGTAGTAGTGATGTCGTGGGCAAACTCCCGAGGAAGTTCTAGCTCCCTCAAAAGAAAGACTCGACGTTCAGTTTTCCCAGTCTTGCTAATGTTCCCCCAGGTATGGAATGGCACCAATGGTGTTGTGTGTTTGGACCATTTATGCCCACCCGTGTTGGGATGATAGCGAAGTTCGGATGCTTCGCAGGAAAATTGCAACAATCGACTCGATAGATCGGGCGCATCTCGGGACTCATTGCAGAGTTGAACGTTGACGTGCAGAGTTGAACGCATGTGAAAAGTTCAAGTCATATGAATCATACTGCCTTAATACATATTTGGCATATTACATAGCACAAGTATGCACAAGTGAGCAAGATGCTAGACCCCAACACACCAAACATCGAAGTTCAAAGGATGACAAGTGACGAAAAGTGTATGTCCTGGTTGGTATGTTGAATATTTTTTATATAAGATAATATATATATATATATAGAATTCTAGATCCCTTTCAGGTAGTTTCTTAGATTTGTCAGGGCAAAATATACCACCATGATCGTCGTTGTGGTATGGCACCGAACTATATGGCAGTCACCATCCTCATACGTTCCCCGCATAGCAAAACAACCGCCGGATGGCGCCGCCTGGCGGCAAGGGCATGCCTCCCTGGCACAAGTGAGAGCCACCCACCTTCGAGACGGTGAGCCTTGAGTCGAGCTCGCGCGCCCCGACGCGAGCGACAGCGGTGTCGATGGCATGCCGCGCCAGGCACCAAGGCATACAGTATAACCGCATGTGTTGGGCCCAAGGCGACCCACAGAGGGCGACTCGACAGGTTCCCAATGGACACCCTTTATTGAATAGGACCCAACAACTCAACAACCCGGTATAGATCTGGCAGTGCGGGTACTGGTATACATGATGGTACATGGCATTCGGACAGAAAAGGCCCCACAGGAAGTGCTGGCCAGAGAGCATCATCTTCCTGGAGGAGGAGAAGGGAACTTCCAGCACTCGAGGGTATTCGCCTCGGCTGAGAAACAAGCAGTCGTACTGCCAGATGTGCCGGACTCAAAGCCCTTGCAAAGATATATATATAATTACAGTAAGGGATTAAGGGAGTGAGGGGTACAACGTCGTAACGAGGCAACACAGCATGGGCGAAATGTGGACCAGTGGAGGATCTTGCTCACAAGAATGCGCGTAATGCCGAAGTATGCGGTTGCCGGAGCAAAGAACAATAGCCCGTTGCGCATGATTCACTTCCACGGAGGGTAGCGTAGCCCCAGCCGAATTTGGTGGCCCCCCAGACAACTGACAGCCCTCCAGGAACACCTCATGATTTACAAGAAGCTCGTTCAACACACGCTGGCCACGTTGAAGTTCTATTTATTGCTCTTGGTGAAGCAAAATGCCCAGTGCAAAATGCCAATGGTCAAGGGACAAGGACCAGTACTCAGTACGACCCGTACTTCCCACACCTCACCATCCCCTCCGCTTTCCGCTTCCCTCCCAGGAACCGGCGATGGTCTCCGAAAGCCCCACCTACCGGCGGAGCGAGTCTCGGATGCCGCGGATTGGGCGAAGGGGCGAGACGGCGGATCCACCGTCGACGGTGGATTCACTCCGAGCGCCCCGGGATGTTTGGAGCTGTTGACTGATCACTGCCAACTAGTGATCACATGTGATCACTGGTGCACCTGAGAGTGTCCAAGTCGATGCGGGTCATGGCCCAAAAAACGAGAATCTGGTCGTATACCCGGAGCTCAGATGAGCCAAGGTCCTTGTGACACCTCTTAGTTTGGCCACACCCACCCCCGCAGCCCAGTGATGCCCACTGCCTTGCGTGCAGCCACCACGATCGGAGCCCCCGACGAGTTGCCCTGGGCGCGAGGAGAATTCGTTCGACTGTCTACTTGGAATCAACACTTCCCAGTACGTCCAAAGGGACCGATTCAACTAGTGCATTAGTAGGGTAAAGGACACAGTTTACCTCTCAACGTCTAAGACCTAAGTGTTACATGTTTTTCACAATCTGTTCATTGGAGGATTAAAGCCCGTCCAGCTCCCATTTTGCCAAAGCACCGGTTAAACTGGTTGTTGACCCACTGGGCCTCCAAGGCCCAGTGAAACTGGACCGATATGGGTAAAGCATGGCCAAAGTCCTGGTCTGCCTCTTAAACCAGCACGGAACTGGCACGAAGACCCACTGGGCTTGAAAATTTCAGAAGAAAGGAAACTGTTCTGCCAACTAGCATGTTGGAGGCTCATTGGTCACCCCGATCTGTGCCAGCCTCACCCCACCCACCACACCCACCACACTCCAGCGCTTTCCTGGTCCAAACACCTTGCCTTGGGCGTCCACTTCATCACTCCGGCCTGGCGAACGAGCGCTGCGAGTGCTGCGTCAGGAGGTCGGTTCCCCCACTCCTCTACAAGTCCAACACCCCCCACATGAGGTGCTTCAAGCGCCACTCCAGGCAGCGGTCTGGGTGCAACACAGGGTCTTGCCTCATCGGTCTCCTTGCTGAGAGTGGTGTTGCAGCAAAGGATTGCCTCAAGAATTCGAGAAGGGAGTCAATTCAGTGAAGGAAGTAGGGACGAAGTAGCTGAAATTGATTCTTTGATTTCAGTATGGTCCCGAGGTTCATTTAGAAGTTGATTTAACGAATCAAATCTGTTGGTTTTCAGAATCTCCTGTGGGGGGGGGCCGCGACTAGTAGAGTCTCAGCGACCTTCAGAGGAATGCCAATGAGACTGGCCTGTGACGCAGTTCAGTTCATTGAAGCTAAAGGAATATAATATGTCGCGATCCTGACAGGATACTCAACCCCCATGGTTCCCCAAGCAGCTAGTAGGGAGTCGCCCTCCTTGCAGAACTCTTGGTCAATCTTGATAGAACTTTTCGAATCAAACGAACCAAGAATTGTCGTTCGAACGTCGTTCGATCACTGAAACGATGTCGTTCGAACGAGCTGGGTCGGTCCACTGCTCGGTTCAACCGCCGGACACTCACCGGTCCCGGACACGAAGCCGGACACTCCGGTGCCCAGATCCGATCCACCGCACACCACAACGCCCGCCGCGGCACCGTCAACAAGTTGCTCTTCACGCCTCGGGCGGCCGGAAAACCGAAGACGACATGGAGCAGCAGGTTGGTTGGGGGTTTTCGCAACCGTGGTGGTTCATGATGAGAACATGTAACTGTTTTCTCGAAGGTTGGAGGAGTGATTGGGAAGTCTTGACACCAATATTATGACAGATTTTTCTTCGATTTCCCACTGTATCAAGAGACTCTCTGTCGTCTCCATGCTCTTTCGCATCTTTTTAAATCATTGATCAACCAAAATCACTGCAAGATCTCAAAATCAGCGTGTCCTCCCAAAGAAATGCAAAAACAACACAACAAATTACACATGAATGCATATATATATATACCGGTATAGAGAGAGAGAGAGAGGGAGGGGGAGAGAGGGAGAGGGAGAGGGAGAGGAACGCATCACCATACCCCAGCATCCACCTTGATCTTCCCCGAGCTGCCCAGGTCGTTGCGGCCATCCTGGCCGTCCTCGCGCATCACGCCACCCACCTGAGACACCCGTGGACCGGCTGGCACGGCCACCCATGGCGGAAGCGGCCACGCCCGAGCGACCGAGCAAGCGAGACAATTGGTCGAGCTCATGACTCTCTTGGATCAATTCCGGTCGGTTGCGAAGCTAAGTCGACAGCTAGAGTCTAACTGAGTGGGAGACTGCACCGGGAGGGCACAATGAGGCGATGGCAACTCTGCCAGTGCAAAAAGGCACCAGCTCAACCAATCCCTCCTGGCAGCCCACCCTGCCAATGGAATCCCAAAAAAGTGTTGTTCTTTGTTCGAATGTTTACCTCTTCAACTCCTCATACGCCCCCTCCAAAACCTCACCTCAGGGTCAAAGCCCTTGCCGGTGACTTCGTAGGTGGTTCCCGCGGCGTACATGCCCACCATGGTCATCTTGCCTCCGCAACATGGGCGGCGGTGGAAATTGCGCAAAATGGTGGAGCTAAAAAATAGCTTCAACTTGCCCAACTCCCTGGCTGAAACTCAATGAGAAACGTGTCCAAACCACTAGAGTCGCTAGAGTTCCAAATGTACAACTCGTGACCACTACCAAATCCAAAACCTTCAACATCTGATAAAGTATAGTTCATATATAAGGTCAACCGATTAATGGAACATTCCACGTGCACCATTCCACATACACGAACTCTGCTCTTACTTTACTAACCAATGCTGACCCTCGCGGCGCCCACTTCCGGGGCCTTCCGTCAGCGTGCCGGTCTTGTCACTGCAGATCACCGAGGCGGAGCCCAGGGTCTCCACCGCCGCGATCTTGCGCACCAGCACCTCTTGGTCCACCTGGGCGGACGGCAGCTGTCTCCGGACCAAGGCGGAGAGGTGCGGGTCCGGGGCCCCGGAGAAGTGATGTGAAAGAACCAAAGGGACTCCACACTATTTGGAGGCAGTAGTGAAGGATTCAAAGACTGATATAAAGAAAATGTCTGAGAATCACGTTGTCGGACTAAGGAGGCAGGGAAGCACAGGTGGGCCGAAGAATGCCTGACCGTTAGGAGGCACAACTGCCGCTTCCGCCGCCATGACATGACCCGTTTCTGCTTCCAACCCCGATAGCTCCACCCCTGCTGAGTGCCCGGCCATGTCCTCGGCTGCTGCGGAGTACAAACCGCGTCTCCGGAGGCCAGCGAAACGGCGCGAGCTATAGGGGGACGATGCAGGGTTGAAGCAGAATAGCCCTGTTCAGACTCATTTGCGTCGGTCTTTGATTTTGGCATATGTTGGCCAAAATGACCACTCAATCTAGGAACACACCCCCAAACAAGCAACGCTCAACTAAGCCATCACGTTGCCTTGATTGGATTGCTGAGGGTTCAGAAAAGTCGAATCATGAAATCTTGGATTGACACTCGGATACAAGTCCATTCTTCACTTCCAGCTGCTTCCAGCTTTGCTCAGGTCTTCAATGCCTACCCTTCACAGCAGAAGGGGTTTCACAGCAGAAGGTCCCCCAAAGAGCTAAGTTGGTGGATGGAGACTCCCAGTTATTGGTTGAGACCCGGGTGGATTTAATGTAGACTCTTGATGAATAAACACCCCCCATATGAAGAGAAGACTCCAATTGAAATAGAGGGGTCTATTAATCAAGAGTCTACATTAGCAACTCCTGAGAGGTGGATTCTGCACCGCCATTGGATGCCAGGCATCGCTGCATCCAATCGACCTCAGTGGCATCAAGTCGGCCACCAGAATCCGACATGGCCGGGGTCTCACCCCTCTCGAATAGGGACCCTTCCAAGCATCATGTTCATTTCTCATGTCCTAGCAGTGATAAAGGAAGTACAGTATATTAATTGAAGTTAACGCCATGCATACGAGAAGATAGATGAAATGAGGGGGTGGTGGGGTTGCAATTCTTGTGCACAAACAAGGAGAATGCATCGCACAAAACGTCCACCTTTCTCTTCTCCGCACAGTTGAGTTTATGCCTTGTGCCAGGCCAGACTATCCTCACCACAGGTTGTCCCTTGAACAAACCGTCTCTCCAAATTGGCTGTGAGTCAAAACCCGGGAGCTCCAAACCATGGTACAAGTAGGTTGAGGTCCCTGGTAATGATCTATTCTTTTCATGTTCAGTGGTCAACCCTTGTTTTGACCCACTGCCAAATAGGAAGATCTTTGGCAAACCCGAGGGGCAGGGAGATGGTGACACAGAGCGGGATGCCTTCCGGGATGGCTGCCACTGCCAAGGTCACCGAGACGAGGATCATGTAGAGCCAAGCCTTCCAGCGCTCGAACAAAACATGTGTCGCAGATCCGATGGCCAAGGCTGAGATGGATTTAAACTACACCGGGGTATATAGTCAAGTTCTGGGATCGTTTGATTTAATCCATATAGATGGTCAAGTATATATGTGGTCAACGGATTAAACATGATTAAACTTTGCGGAGGAGGGTGGGAAAGGTGCATGGGGGCGAAACTGCTGGGATTCGACCCTGCGCCTAGTGTATATATAAACATTCTACAGGCCTGGTGTTCTGCTCTTTACTCCCTACGTCAGGCCACATGATTCATCTACGTCGGCTTCTCCGACAAAAGCGGACTCTTTGGACCGAACGTGCGGTTTTGGCCGACGACTGGAAGGACTCGCAAGTCCGAGCGAACCTGCGGTTTTGGCGGAGAAAAACAAAAAGCACACTGCACATGGCTCAAGAGAGGCTTCGAGGACAGCGATGTAAGAGAAAAATGCGCCAAAAGAGCCAAGGCTTGGGGTCCACCATCTTGATGTACAAAAATGTTGGTCATCTGTGCCAAGCCGGACAGTCTCAACTTCAACGCTCTTCTCACAACTGACTGCCCTATGGATCCTATGGCCAATCTGTGGAGGAAGCAGCTAGCCTTCACAGATCCATTTGAGGAACCGGAACCATCCACCGTTATAAATTTACAAACCTCTCCCAAATCCAAGTACGCCTCTCCTTAGGGGAGTGGTGCACGATGCGCACCATCAACAAACGCAAATGTCAGGAACAACTGATAGATGCGTTTGGCGGCGAATAGGGGTGTCTACAACTTGTGCCCACAACGGAATATACAAGCCTATAAATACGTCAGTATTGATGTATCATCGTCAGTGTAGTATCAGTATGGTTGGGCATCTCCTGTGACACTGCCAGCTCCAGTTTCAGCCCCCTGCACAATCCCTGCCGGCAAAGGCGCAGGACTCTTTGGGTCTGAACTGGTCGGATCCTTGCGGTCTGCCAGCCAACCGATGATGAAGATGCCGATCTGGGCGTGTCCGAGTCAAACCCACAGGGAGCCTGGTCAAATGCGCCTCCAATTTCCGGCCGGATTTCAGGCGGTTCGCGTTTACGAAGGCTGTAGCTTGGGCATCATTGTGTCTACGTGGCCGAAGGCGAGCAGCAGGCGAGTAGTTCGATCAAGTCCAAGATAGTCCCCAGCTTGCCACCCTATAAAGACATTGTGGCAGTGGGTCAAAACCCGGAGCCCAAAACGCTGGTCAAAACCCTCCCAGGTAGCCCGGTGCCATGACTCCCACACCCGCATAGACCGCACACTCATTCGCTCCAAACGGAGCGGTCGAGACCGCGCGGAGCGCGCGGAGCTCTGCTCGACCCAGCGGCGCAAATGACGATGGCCAGCACTCCGATGCGAGCACCTGGCAGAGCTTTCGTCACACCCAAAGGGCAAGGGCGGTGAGTGGAAAAGACGTGGTCAGAGAGGGTCGATCAACCACCCAAAGAGAGCGAGAGAGATCAACCACCCGTTTCTGATGGAGCAAAAAAAAGCAGTGACTTCTGTCTGTTCTTTCTCTCTGGGGGGTAGGGACATGGCCTTGACTGCCTTCACCTTTCCGTTGCTTCAAAACAAGTGTAAGACAAGAAGAATGAAGGAGTCATTGATCACCCCCAGTGAACCCAAATCAAGAGGAGGCCGAGCTTCAGTAGGATGCCCACCTCTCGCCCTAAACTTCTCCACATCCCTACTCATCGGTTCTGTTCGTGTGCTTCATTGTCCTTCCATCATGCTTCCATCCCAGTCATCCGACCAGATCTGTTGGAAGACCGAGCAGAACTCCATTGAAGCACGTGGATGGTGGTTTCCGCAGCAGAAGCACAAAACCAGGCGCAGTGTTTGTAGATCCTGGTCGGTTACCCCTTGGAAAATGCTTGAAGCTGAAGTGTCAGGTCCCTGACTGGCTGGGTTCAGGATTCGCTGTCCAGCCACTTCTCCACTCTTCCCCCACTTTCTCTGCACGGTCCGTCCACTGATGCACGTGCCCCGCGGCCGCGGCACCCAGCTTGTTGAGGTTCTGCTGGAGGGGCGTCTGGTTCGCAGAGGTGTCCGGGAAGCAGAAGCAGGTCGTCTTCTTCGCCCCGCCCTGGGCAAACGAGTCATGGCCCGGGTCCTCCAAAAAGCATGGTGAGTCTTGCACCCTGCCTTCCGCAATCATTTCAAGCTGAACATTTTTTCCACAAGTGCACAGGAACTTCCATGCTTGTCTGAGGGGAGTCGTTGCACCCTCGCGACTGCGATTCAAAGTCGGGGGGGGAAAAACGTACACAATCGTGCACAATTCTCTTCCGAGAACCCTGTAGAACCCCTCCGACTGTTTTGATGCGACATGTCACATGTTTGAGGTTCTGCTTCCTGCTTCGGGCTTACAAACAAGCTTAGCTCGGTGGGCAGGGTCGAGAGTCGGATCCTGTGAGATGACTCTCCGAACGATGTGCGAGCTGAATCCAATGGATGGACCGACGTGCAGCGCACCGGACGTCGGATTCGCCTCACGCAGTGCGCACAAAACACACATCGGTTCATGGGTTTTCCGGTCTCGCGCGCAAGAGTGCGAGCTCCATGTTTTAAGTGTCACATGGCATGGTTCATGGAGCGTGCTGCTGCTGTGAAGGATCTGAAACCTATTATATATACCCCCTGGTGTTGAGCAAGCATATTCACACCCACAGATCCACCTTGCTGGCACGGTGGCACGAGAATCTAAAGTAAAGTCTTTTGGTTGGAAGTCGATTCTATCTCTGCACACTGCTGTAGCCGTGTCGGCGGTTCGATGGGGGGGCCGCGTCACCGCAAAGGATCAGCCGGGCCACGTCCCCATTGATGAGCTGGGCGATTCGTCCGATGCCTTAGCAAGCATGATGGAGTGCTTGAGTTGAAGGTCTCCTAGGAAAGTAGACGAACAGGTCGCAATCATATCATTGCCTCATGGTACGGGCAGCTCATGATAAATGATCAATGGGAAATCATTGGCAAATAGTCTTTTCAGACTGACTATCCGCCATACTGTACACCTTGGTTTATTGGTGTGCTGATCAGCTTTAATCCCACTGAGTTGGCCAAGGGACTAGTGACTGACTAGTGGGCTTTGAGCATACCTAAATGTCATAGACTGAGAAAATGTTGAATCACACAAGATCATAGAGTGAACCACGAGCCCAAAAACTGATGCCAGTTGTTGCATACTTGCAAAACATATTATGTTCATAGTTCATAGTTGAGTTGGTATAAGCTGGCAGCATCGTGCTTATCGTTGGTATTCATAGTTATTCGGTTATTCCAAAGGGGAGCCTCCAGAATTCGTCCAAATGCCAAGTGCATCCCACCAAGGGAATGATACAATTGCTGGATTGCTTTCTCATACCCTATCTGCAAAAGCTTAGCTGCACATGATGAAGCTCACTTCTTTCTATTGACGGGAAGCCCGGGGATTCCCCCCCCCCGGCACACCACGGGCCAAGCGACGCGTCCTCATTCCGGTGTCTGTGACCAAGCCCATGCCAACACCACTGGTGATGCTACAGCCCGAGAAGGCCATGGTCTCGGGGGTCAGCCTCAGCACCGTCCACCGGGACGGTGGCCAAGCGACGATGACGAGGACGACGAGCACACGACGGCGAGCACGGCGCGCACACAATGAGGACCTGTTTCACCAAGTCTTGTCAGTCCTGAGTCTTATCATGTCTTATCTACCAACAGTAGTATATATCACTATATATATATATATATATATGTGTGTGTGTGTAGCTCTGTATGGTAGGGCTGAAAGGTGCAGCTGCTGTTGCAGGTGTAGGATATGTGTGGTCTCTAACCCAAATAAGGCCAAAACTCCTAAAGATCCTCCTGGACCGCCGCCTTCTCTCAATTTACCAAGAAGCCCTCTATGACCAGGAAAAAATTGAGTGTGTCCGTTCCTTTGTAGATCAGTCTTGTTGAGAGCAATCGTTCCATTGCGTTGCAACCATCTTGATGATGGAAGGGTATGAGAAGCACTGGCACCAGCAGGAGAAACAAGGCGTCGCTTTGATACGAGTTCAACCGACTTTGATGGCGCAAATAAATAGTGAATGCAAAGGAACTGCTCCGCAAAATAGAAACCTTTCTTCCCGGGATTGTTGGATGGATGCTTTCATAGATTTGCAGTTGTTGCACTCTTTCGGGATCAACAAGCTGGTGCAACTGCGTCCTTCTTTACATACCCCCAATGCTCAGGGAGGAAAAGCCAACTTGCCTCGCACATGCATCATATCCATTCATATCCAACGATTCCCAGGCATCTTGCAGCACCCTGTCTTTTTCTACTCTTCTGGGGCCACGGGTGGCCCCCCGTCAGCCACTGGTGGAGATCCGAGGCGCTTCTCTGGAGCACCGTCCTTCTTCTCCTTCACCTTGGAGGTCTTCGCCACATCATCCGGCTCACCTTCACGATGCCCCCGGCCAGGCCCGGTCCAGCGGAGGGGGTCGGTCCACAATGGGTGGACTCAGGGGGGGTGGTTGAGCAGTCCAGGTTGAACCTGTTGAAGTATGTTGCACGAACAAACAACCACAGCAATCAGCAGTGAGCCATGGAAGTGGAAAGTCCACAGAAGCTGGTCGGAGACGACTTTCCAAACACCGGCGGGGAAACCACTTCCATGTGAGTCAGAGTCAGAGTCAGAAAGTACAGAGTCAGAGGGTTTGAGGTTTCTCTGGGGGTCACAAGTGTGATTCAGCTAAAATTGATGGTCCTCCTACCTACAGTATGTCCTCCTTCGTTCATCCAAGTGTGGAACCATTTGCAAAGGTTGCACTCTCCAACTCTAGTTCAAGCGGGATTCACACTTTGGGAGATCCGTCCATCTTCAACCTACAAAACACCCAGTGCGCCGTTCACTCGAAAGTCGATCAGCTGCTCACACACCTCCCTCCGCTCAAGATGCAGCATGCCCATCTTTTTCAAAGCCTCGCCACCTTCTCAAAACCTTCCTTCAGCTCCCTTCTCAGAGCCTCCTCCCCCACACGCCCGATCAGCACCAGCCGCGAGGATGCTGGTGCACTGCTTGAGGCCGCAGTTCCATTCGCGCCCGCGGCTCCGTCGCCGTCGCCCTCCGAGACACGCTCGGAGGGGTCCGAGATCTCGATGTGGCCACCGACGCCCTGGACCACCAGGCGGCCTCCCTCCGTGAGGAGGACACCTTTCAGGCGGAGGAGGTCATTGCCTGCGGAGGTCGGGAGGTGCTCCGGGTCGGCCAGGGTCGAACTGGGTGGAAAGGCTTTTGGGGTGTGCCTCATCGGGTTGTTGGTGGAACTATGTGGAAACAAAACAGAGCAAAATGCAGTGATGGCACATCACTGAAGAACTGTATAGGTTGGGGCCACTTGCCTGTTCAGTTTGATGAATGCAAGGTTGAGAGTTCATCAAACTGTAAGGTTCTTGATGAATCAACTTGTGTTTTAGAATTAACTTTAAACTTGAGAAGTTTAATGAATCAACTTATAAGATCTATAAGTTTGAGAGACTTCAAGTCTTCTCTCGAGATGGCCAGACACATACTGAAACCGGCTTGATGATGTTTCATCCGAGCGGCCTAGTCGCTCCACCACGGACTTGAGCCATTCTTCCAGCGCTTCTCGTTGGACTTTCTTGGGACTCTCAAGGCCCAAGCTGCTCATCAACGCATGTGCGTGCCCATGGCCACCGTGGCCGTGGCCATGGCCGTGGCCACCTAAGAAGTGATGGTCCAGCGAGATGGCGCCATCCAATGAAAAGGAGTTCACCTGCAGGTTTCAACCAGGAACCGATGGAGCTCGTGGCATTGAGTGCCTTTTCTTCTGGGAAACATGTCGGGGTCATAAGCCCAGGGATCACTTCAACTCTTAAGTACGCTGGTTCGGACACCATTCACAATCTTGATTTTCAGGGAGGAGACAGCAACTGTCAGTATCTGACCAACAGCCTAGCCTGGCCCACCCAGCTTGGAGGAAGAAAAGGTCCTTCTCATCAAGCCTTTACCTGTTGCAGGGCGGTAGCCCCTAACATTCCCCAACAAAATCAGCTTTTCATGTCCATGCGAATGACCCAACCTCCCGCGCTCTTTTCAGAAATAGTTTTCCTTTCCTCCCACGGTTCATTCACACCAACACTTCGTCGCCTTGAGGACCTGGTTCAAGTTCACCTTGCCATGGCGGCAGGGCACCACCTTCGTCCCCGGGTTCACCGACTTCACTCTCTGCACCACCGCGTCCCGCGCGGACGAGTCAATGAGGTCCTGAGTGATCGAGGACGTCGGTTCCAGCGGGGACCAGCGGTGGAAAGGGAGGTATTGAAGCTTGGGTTCTGACATCTGGGGAAATATAACTTCAAAATGATGATCAACATGGACAATTAATTCAGTCGTCCACTTCCTCAGTAGTCCACTGTCAACCCTTGTTCACCGCTGACATCAGATGGACAATGCATGTGGTTGAAAAAATGTGGCTCAGATGTGGCAATCTCATCGGTGCGTTGCCACACGGATTTCCGGCAATTTCCCCGGAGCGACTCGCTGTGGCGACTTGCTGTGGCGGTAGCAGGTGGTCTAGGACCTAGGATCAACAGGTTCGTATCCCACCAAGGGTCGGCCATAGAGAACCCAAATAGATAGAAAAGTAGATCCCCATAAAAACTGGGGAAACCGTTTCTATCTATTCGAGGATCACTATACATACACCAGAACAAACTTCAACTCTGAAGCACAAATGCCGTTTTTGGCCATGACAAGTCATGACATACACCAGAACAAACGGGCGCGCCGTGCCCTCACTTCATGATCTTCATGGCACTTCGACGCGCCACTGTGATGCCAAAGGCTCGCACTTGTTCAACAGGCACACGTCGCTGATGGCGAGCTGCTCACGCAACAGTTGTGCCACCTCTCGGCCGCCAGCGGCATCCCCTTCCAGCTCACCGAAAGTGGAGACATCGCAAACGCATAAAACACTATCCAAGCGGAAGGAGGCCTGGAAGCGGTGAGGGAAGCGGTGAGGCGAGTAATGGCGAGTATAGCGCTGCAATCCGGTGGTGAGATCAGACTTGGAATCAACTCGACTTCTCAACATACCACTTTCGGCCGCAACCATCTTCAAATGCCAACTCAAGCCTACCCCCGCCACGGTAGGTGCCCCTCCACAGGTACAGCATCAGCCTGCACAAAGGCATCTGAGAAGAAGGTCTGCGCCACAGGTAGGACCTCTGAGAGCCCAGAGCACTCCACCAACAAGCAGTCCATCCTCTTGGGCGACTCCTGCACTCCCCGAACTCGAGTCTCTGATTCAGAGCGGGCGAGCTCAAGCTGAAGCAAAGGGGAGTCATTTGTCCCCATATCCGACAGGAAGAGAGGGGGACAATGCTAGTGTTCGGGATTGTAGAAAGTCGCAAGAAGTCACATAATAGATTTGCTGATTATTTGCATCCATCTATACCTCTATATGTATATATATATACAGAATGAATGATGAAAAATAACAATACAACATAACATAACATAACATAACATAATATAATACAATATAATATAATACAATATAATATATATACATACATATACGCATTATTCTTAATTACACACATGCATACATACATGAAGACCTCTCCACCTTCCCCCCTCGCCTCGCCGTCGTCGTGGGCCAGGCGCCGCAAGGCGTCCACCAGGTCACCGCGCACGCGGCAGCAAAGGCAGCCTACCGGGGGGCCACCGGCAGTCTCTGAGTCTCACAGGCACCAAGGGGACACATCTCAGGCGGTCACCGTGCTCTGGAGATTGAGAACATCCTCTCATGTTGCTTCGCGATGCTTCGCGACTATCCCAACATCCCAAAAAATCCAAAAAGACTGTATACAATTGTGGAAGGTTCCTCCACTTCGCTCTGGAAAAGACATCTAGAAGCAGAGGCCAACCATAAGGGTTTTTTGGAACGGAACAAACTTGGATCAGTCAGGGCTTCGTCTCCCACACCAACTTGCGAACGTCTGAACGTCTGAACCCGCAACTAACGTCCCGACGGGATTTCCCCGCGCCATTGGGCATCACGATGGTCTCCGAGGCCGTCTTCTCCAAGAGCATCAGCTGATCGTCAATGGGCACGCTGCCGAACCTGAGGCCCGGAAGTCTTGGAAAAATAGATGCCCTTCAGAAATGTGGAAGAAAAAAAAAGTGCTTTGAAGCAATTACATGCAATTACTCTCAGCATCTTTCAGTAGATGCTTTTGGAAGAAGCCTTTCTGAAACAACATGTCTGCACCTTTCTGGTCCAACCAACCGCTCAAACCGCAGCTCTTCACTCGTCTGGTGACTCGTTTTGCACCACGGCGATGCGCCGTCCGTGGCCCAAACTCTTCAAGACGAAGTTCCTGGGCTCTGCAGCCGTCGGCCCGGCGCTTCGACTGTCGGCCCGACCCCGTTGAGGCTCAGTTTGGACTCGGACAGGCTGTCCGAAGGCTGCAGTTGGACATGAAGCGACTGCAGCCAGGCTGCACATGAACCGACACAAGTACTCAACCACCCCAAAACTACCCAACAGACTCCAACACTAGAATGGCCCCCAGTAGCAGCAAAGAAGTCCTCAAGCTGCCTTCTACCAATCTCCACGTCCAAAAACCCGAATCTCCTGTTATTCTCAGCTCCCTCACTCCCTGACCACAGCGGCCTAGCGGCAGAAAGGTCGTCTTGCCCGCACCCAGGAAGCCAGTCAGAATCGTCGCAGGAATGCGCTGCTCTTGGAGCTGCACGCACTCCTGGAACTCGAGCTGCACACACTCCGGGTATGAATCAAAGCAGGGAGGCTCTTCAGAACACTACCTCCAAAGTATACGATTTGAGTACCAAAACAGCATGCCAGCTGATGTTGGCACTGGTTTGCATTCAGGCACATAATCATTTTGCGAGACTTCCAAGAATCGTCCGAAAAAGTGAGATCTGGCGGAATCCCCTCCAAAATTCTAAGCCGTCGAAAAAACGGTTATTCTTTTAAGGTCTGTTGGATGGACTTCGGGGCTGGCATCTGCAGCGTTCGAACGTGTCCTCTGCCTGGCGCTTCTGCTCCGGAGTGAGCTCACTCAGCTCACCTGGGTGCCATCCAGCTCGCACTTCCCACCATTTGTGAAGTCTAGGGAGTCCAAAGTGGGCGGGTCCATTAGGCCATCTTGGGAATGCAGGTCTGGGAGTAAGTAAGCCTCTCACCCACTCACTCTCTCTCTCTCTCTGCCATGTAAAAATATCTTATATATATATTATATATATATATACTGTATGAAAGGCTCCCACAGACCATGCGGAAGAGCCCCGAATTGGCGTGGCGTCTTCTCCACCGTACTGCTTTAATTCATTTACTGTAATTCCAAAATGTCCATCAACGCCTGCCTTCCTGCCTACCTGCTTCTCAGCTTGCTTGCAGGTCTGACTTGCCTACCCAACAATCATTCTTGTCGAACACATCGGCCTCAAGAGAAATCAAGAAACACATGCAAGACTGAATGGTTGCCACAACCTTCGCCCACCAGCACCACAGTGGATGATGATGATGATGATGATGATGATGATGATGATGACGATGACGATGATGATGATAGGTTGATAGGAACCAATGCCAAGACGAATAAGACCCGTTCCGGCAAACAGCGGATGATGGACTGCAGTCTTTTCAGTGCACACGCAGGTGGGTCTTTAAGACCCACCTCGACCTCAGCGACCTCCTCCACCTTCGCCAAAGTCACTCTTCGCCTTCTCACAAAAGATGCACATGGCGACAGCGACCCGGAGCTCTTGAGTCCCGCTCCGGCGGTCCCGCTCGAGCCGCGCAGAGAGGGAAAAAGCCCCGATGCGGAAGATGAGAGGTACAAATATAGATCTAATACTAGGACACCATACTTCTGTCCTCTCTGGCCCTGCAGGGTCCCCCTGCTAGGTCTAGGTGATGGAAGCTCATCAGGATCGATGATCCAGCCCCGGCGGAACAAAACATGCTGCACTGCTAATAGAACAAAAGCTGGAGCAAATGAAACCACACGAAACGACTGGAATCAACAACAAAAACATCACCAAAGTGCTGATGCTATCGCTATCCATCAGCATCTTCACCCTGCCTGTCAGGGCCATCTCACTCACCTTGAAGTCCTGGAGCATCCCCCAAACCACGGGAATGGAACGCATCCAGATTATACAAGCCCCCCACCAGTTGAAGCTGCTGACACCTCTAGGACCTAGAGGCACAAATAGAAGTGTTAAGATTTGATGCGTGGCCTCTAGGTCCTCGGCAGACCCACAGAAAGAACACCTGAGAACTGAAGAGGCCGAAAGAACACCCAACTTACTAGACATGAAGTCGAAGTAAAGTCGAAGACGATTTCAAAAATGGTCCTCCAAGGTGACCCGACAAGGAATGTCCTCCACTTCGGTGGCGTCAAAAAATAGTCTTTAAATTTCCAGGAGGTATATTATATTATATACGATTCCCGTCAAATCCAAAGCGAATCTATTGGTCTCTTTGCTTTTTGGTTGAAGAACTGCAACATGAAGAGACCACATCGGGCTGGAAAGAGGTGTCCTCAGACTTGAATGTGTTGCTTAACGGGCTCTTGAAATCCCTTACTGTAGATGTGCTATCCGGGCTGCTATGCCCTGGAACCATTCAAAGGGACGACACGCTCGCACTGAGTTCATCTCACGAAATTCGCGAGCGCTCTGGGCTTCCTCTGGGTCTCCATGCTTCGTGCCGTACAAAAACGCGGCCGAGCCGACGTTGTGCGAGGCCCATCTCCGCGTCTCCCGGAAGGACCGGGCACCGGGTCCTTAGCTTCAAAGAGGCGCAGGTCCGCAGGCACCACATCGCCAGTCCCTAAGACCACCTGAGTGAGGCCATGAGGCAGAAAAAGGACGGACGTCGACAGATTGGAGCCCCTATGAAACACAATACAGCGTCACACCCATCCAATGAAAGAACGTTAAGTTTCAATGGGAAGGACGTTGAGTTGCTTCCATTGAAAGACTCCCCCTTTGACGGGGATTTGTGTTGTGGCTGTGACGTTCTTTGACTTTCGACAGCCACTAAGGGATTTTCGTAGTGCTTGGGAGAGCTGGGTTAGATGCTGGATGAGTTGGTGGGGTTTGTGTGCCATCTATATATATATTATATATTGAGTTTGCTACTGTACAAGGTTTGGAAGAGGAAAAAGAGCATGGTGATCCATCGACCCCGTTTGAGTCGAGGATGCTGGCGATGGGCTTGCAAAGAAGGAGTAACACTTGTACTATCCAGAAGCAGTTCCAGAAGCTTTCCTTCCAAACTCCCGGTCTCCACCCATCTTGTCTCCAACATCTTCTCTCTCTCTCTAACCTTCTCCTCCTAACTCCCCACCCAGCTCTGTCGTCACTCTGGTCGCAGCAAGGCACAATGTCGCCGGCCACCACTGTGGGCACGGCCACTTGCACTTCCTTCCCATCGCGGAGCACCTCGAAAGCCGCGCCCCGTGGCATGTGGGGGTCCGGTCCGAGCTCCTTCATGGTGGATGCATGGGGGAAGAGCTCGGAGCGGTGCGTGGCAACTGGACATTTGGCCCAGTATGAATCGGTCTGATCGTTGTGTTCTTATAATACCTTATAATTTGATATAATTTGGCCTTAATGAATCTCTATATATAATTTATAATGTTATTTGGTTACTTGTTTTTGGCCTGGTGCTGGATGGTTGGGCCACCAATCTGTTCAGAGTTCAGTGCTTTCGCAATGGGGCACCCTGGAAAGTACAACAAAAATGATGCCGGCATTCTGTATCCCCAACTGGATGGAGTTGAAAAATGTATACAAGGAGCCAAAAATGGAGTGCTTGTTGTTACTTGGTGACACTCCTCCCATGTTCTTTCCCAACGCCCAGACCCAAACCTTATCTGGACAACTTAACAAATAGGTCATGCCAAAAAAAAGAGTTCCCACGCCGCATGCCAGACAATGGTGCAGACACAGCAAGGGGCGATTAAATACTCAAGATCGGTGAAAAAGAACCGTGTTTCTTTTTGGTCAAAAAGAACTTGAGAATAGATGAGTCTGGTGTCATGGTTTCCCCATATGAGACGCTTCAGACATGGCACGTAGATGTTGGCCTGTGTCATCTTCGACAGCCTCAGCTGAGCGGAACCCTCGATCGCGAGGCTTTGGCCAACGGGAACCGTGGCACAGTGGGTGTCCTGTGTAACGGAGTCACGGCCATGGTGTGGGCGCCCTGTGTACCTGGATGGGTGTCAATATGTCGTCCATATCGTCATGGATGTCTGGTGTCCCGGTCATACGTTGGATAATTTTGTCTCGGTCATGGTTTGAACTCCCTGGAACTAACATGGAAGTGGAAAACACCCTGGTTTATAGATGAAAATGGTCTTCCAAGGGGCCATGTTCCACTTCCATGTTAGTTCTATTGTGTCCTGGTCATCCTCTATAAGGTGTCCCGAAGGTGATCCCGGTCATTCTCAGAGAAGTGTCCCGGTCATGGTGGGATTGGGATGGTGCCCCTCCAGGTTCTGCCGAGGCCGATGGATCCAGTCAGCCATTATATAATGAAGTGGTTCTGGTTACTGGGACACATTTCCCCAAACCATTTCTCAAACTATCGCAATACGCAAGATTCCACTGGGCGTTCAGGAAGTCATTGTCCAAACCATTCCAGCTCCTTGGGTGGATGCGATGAAAACTGGGCCCTTGGATGGGTCTATATACATGGAGTCTACGTCGAGTCCACGTGGATCAAACCATATGACCGGGACGGACCGCCCGCGCGCCCGGTACGTCCCGGTCAGACGAGCGAATGCCCCCGACGTACGCCCACGCCGCCCATGCATCCGAAGCGACGCCTCCAGTGCGTCGCCAGCCTTGCTTTCCGTCCACGCTGCGATACCCGCATTGATCAGCACAATAATGCCCTCAGGCCAACACGCAGTGGCCATGCAGTGGCGGAAGCGGACGCGGCATGAAAGAACCAAAACGGTATTCTGACCAGTGGAGATGAGATGGTCAAAGAACAAAAAGCCGACCAGGGTGGACTCAAAACACTTCGCCACCTTGGCAAAGACAACCCCCTTTTTTCAGTGGGCAGCTGGTCCAGTCGCATTTGAAAGCAAAATCTGCGGGGCACCTTGTAACTTTGCCTGCTTGTGCCCCCAAAAAAAAACTTGGTTGTTTATTAGGGATTGTGTCCTGCTTTGCTTGGCATCTAGCTTCTGCCATGTGTTGTGATTGCTCTGTTTGGTGGCAGCATGTCATGCGGCAGCCGACCAGCAGCTAAGGAAGAAAAGTATAAGTAAAAGGCAAGGATGAGCCAAACAGGAAGGCCACTAAACAAACATCACCAGCATTCACCAGCCAAGAGAGCAAGCCAAGCAACAGACTGGTTTTTTCGAAAGTAGGGACGGACAAATTCGGCTCAATAGATCCATTCCCTGGACTGGCCGCACCAGGCAGTCCAAGCGCTGCTGGTCCCCCACGGCCCGGTCTACTGCCGTCCACACGACGCCGTCGTGGAGGCAGACGGTACGCGGTCGCCGAGGCGGATGTGCAGCTGAGAAGCAATGGCGATGCCTGTCCACTGGCAGTGTTTGTTGCAGAAGGGGGGTGGAGAAAGGTTGATTCTGCCAACGGTTGGAGCAATCGCACGTGAACATGCATCCGTTTTCTTGAATTTTCTTGTTGGTTTAAATAATCATGGAATCATGGGTCAGATGAATACGAGACTCATGAGGCATTTTAGGTCTGGATATATCTGGACAAGGTTCTGTCTACTCTCAACACCAATTGATTTGTCTTGCTGAACCCTGCAGGTCTTCACAAAAGAGCCCCAGCATGGTGCCATGCAGTCCCTCTTGGGCAGCCTCCCAACGGGCTGAATGTTTTCTGACCCAAGCGGGGTGAAGTCAGGTATGATAAAGTGAGGTTGTCAAAAGAAACGCGTCTAGAATGGACCCATGGATCTGATGCTGCAAACGACCTCTTTAGGAGCACACAAGTGTATTCCTTTTCAAGCAGTGAACATTTTGTTGGTCCTCTGGCAGGACTATCAATCAAAGGCACATGGTCGATCAAACCGTTCTCTGCGCAAACGCGCCAGTCTCTTGGCCTTGCGAATTCAGTTCCTCTTCCCTGACGTCCAGCACCGTTCGGATCCCCTGACGTCCCGTCGAAGCGATGCCTCGGTCGAACACGTCGGTCAGCATCGGTGCCTGTGGTGTAGGAGAGAGGGTCGGCCGCCTTGGGGCCAGTCGCATTCACCAGAATGGACGCGATGGCAGAGATCATGAGCAAAATGATAATGAAGCTGGTAAGCCTGGCCACAAGGGAGGAAGCCAGGCTAAACACGGATGATGTTGACCATCCCATCTCGTCCCATGTGTTCTAGCATGAGCTAGCCATCCCTGAAGGGTCCAAATTCCAGTTCCCCTGCACTTCTCCATGGGGCACCCATTGGCATCTTGGCATCCACACAAAGACCACTACACAGAACAAGCACACAATGCCAAAATAATTGATCAAACAATTATATAATCAATACTATATCACTATATCTAATAATGCTCATCACCCGCAACTGCTTCTGGACCCGGGCTCCACACCCACAAGAACACCCCGCGGGACCAGTGAGCCCTGTGCGGCGAGACGCTGCATGAGGAAAAGCAAAAGCAATGTGGGCTTCGGCGGCTTCTCCAGCTCATTGAGCCCGTCTCGCTCCAGGATCTCCTGATTCTGCCAAACTTCCCGCATTGATTCACCAACAATGCACCCATCTTGGCTCCAACATATTCTCTCTCTCTCTCTCTCTCGGCCCTTTTCGCCCGCTAAAAGCGCTCCCAAGCGAGCGCTTCTTCAAAAGGCATCGCTGCGTTGAGCCGAGGGGCCGCGGCCTTTTGGTTGGAAAGGCCCTTCTTCAGGTCGGTCTTGTATTGCCTCAGGTCGTTCCAACTGACCCCAGTGCCGGCGCAGTGTTTGCCCGGTCGCGGAAGGAGGAGAAGTGGCCTATGCCATGGTGCGGAGCGGTTAAGTAGTGAGGTTCGAGGGCCTCAGATATAAAATTGCAAATTGTTCCGAAATGAAATGCTTTTATCTGCCTGCGTTAGAACAGTGTGGTTCTGCCATCTATCCAGTCACTTGCTGCATAAATCCGCCACAAAAGAGTCCAACTCTTTTGAGACGTCCTTTGCTGTTTTAAAAGCTCCCATCTTTTTGGTCCGCACCTCCTGCCTGAGAGCCTCATCCCATTTCTATACCTACTCTTGAGAGGCTCATCCACCCAAAAGCTCCTGGGCCACACAGAGGTGCTTTCCGCATCGCTTCCCTCACAGACTGCAAGGAGCTTCGACGACCGGGTCATCCAATAGGCTATCTAACACAAGACAGCCCCCACCCCAGGACCGGAGGTTTGGCCGCGCGTCTTGGCAAGGTCATCAATGGGCATGGCCTAAGTAGCCATGCGAGGCTACGAGGTGGAAACTCCTGGCGCTGTAAGGGGGGGGCTTGAGTGGATGGTAATGGTGGGTGGGTTGGGTGGGTTGGCCTGTTGCTTGGCTCGGTGGCCTGAGTCTAGGTGCAACTTCCATCTGCGTCGTAAGGCCGCCTTTTTTCCGTTTGACGGTCCACACCGCAGCTCATCCGCTTAACTGCAGGAGCGGGGTAGTGTCCCGTGTTGACCACTAGACCCTACCGGCCCTCTCTTACTCGGCCATCGACAAGAGATTTCCTGCATATATATATATAGTTCAGGGTCGTCTTGTGATGGGCAGTCCAGGGGAGATCGGAACACAAATGGATAAGGGGATATGAGACGAAGATCCCTGTCTTCTTTGGGAAACGTTTCTTTGAGACCAAGTAGGGGGGTCGGGATGCCAGAAAACACCTAAAGCCCATTGTCCTCGCAGTGCAGGCAATTTGGAAGTTCTATTCTGCTTCATGTGTCTCCTGTCGGCCCCCTGCCGTCACTTGCATCATTCATGGCGTGCTTGACATCGTAGTGGGACATCCATCAACTCGGCTTCTTGGATCTCAAGAAATCACTTAGGTTGATCCAAGGAATGCTTCAAGACTTCAAGCCTTAAGGTGTGGCTTCAGGCTTCAACATGTGGCGGCCTTTCTGTGTCAAGCAAGGTCCTCAACAGCGCCGCCCCATTGGCAGGAAAGTGTATCCAAGGCCTTCATCTTCATGGTTTCAGAGAGGAACCTCTTTGAAGTTTTGCCGATTTGGGTGGTGGGAAATAATCAAACAGCAGAAACTGAACCAGATTTTTTATGTTTTCTAACAAATCGATTTAGTCAAAGCACGGGCTTTGCTTTTACATTTTTTACCAGTGGCTTCGTTGCCTCCCGCATGCTCCGGCATCAGTCGCAAATGAGCTGCCGCATCGGTCTGCTGCTTGTCTTGCTGCACATCCTTGCCCTTCGGCCTTGGTGAAGCCCCGCCCGGAACAGACCTCCCCGGACCAGTGGGCCCCGCTGACTGTAGAGAATGAGGAATTGACCTCTTACGATCCATGCCTTAGGGGGGAAGGTTTCCCTCATTCCTATGAGTTGCGCCAGTCCACTTGTATGGCCGTTGCGGCCATGATGTCAATATCCGGCATGTTTTGAGCTCCGTCAACACTTCTCCCCACCGAGAGAAAGAAAGGGGAGCCACACCCATTGGGGGACAACGATTGAAGCACTTGACTGAATGCTGGGGTTAAGTGAAGCTTCACTAGACCGGACCAGCTTCGAGACATCGCTGAAGCTACAGTTCGGAGGTTCATCGATAAAAACTTGTATGTCGGGCTGGCATCTCACAAGAACAAGTCTTAAATCCTTCAAGTTGGTTCCACTACGCCTGGCCCTGGAGGTTTCAATAAGGGGAGGACACCGGTACTTTTTGCCTCCAATTACGAAGCTGATGGCTGTTACTGATGGATCTGATGGCTGGTATCCATCTGGCTTCTCCTGTCCACCGCTCTTCCGGGGGCTTGCCAAACCACAACTGTTTCGCGATGATATGTTCTATTCATGTTTTATATGTCCATACCCCTCGTAAGTGTGTTCATACATCTTCACCTCCACCTAAAAACGCCCGGCGGCATCCTCCGGAGGTCAAACGCTCAGCGTCAGCTGCGACTTTGGGGATGTTTGAGCCACAGTAACTGCCCAGCCGGCGCACCTAAAGGATCATAAAGGCACGGAAAGCGGATGCATGCCGATGCCAATGGTCAACCCCCAAAAAAACGGATGCCCGGTTTGTCTCATGCCCGGGCAGACGGAAATGGTCCAGCGGTACCCAAGAAAAAGCCTAGCAGAAGCCGTGGGCCGGGGCCCTTTGGGAATCGTCAAAGTGAATTCATTGGTCATCAAGTCATCATTGTCATGGAAGTGGGAAATCATGTTCCTCGGAAGGTCCTGTGTTGCTGGGAAGCCGCTTTTCCACTTCTTTCAAGGAGCGTATGGCCCACGAGTTGGCTTCAAGTCCGTTTCTTCAAGTCCGCCGACATCCTACGCCGTGGAAAGACCAGATCCTCAAGAACTGGGCCCTCAACGTCATGGTTTGTTGAGTAGCGGTTGGCCTGCAGATGTCCAATAATTGCATGTCATTGTCGGTGGCGCCAATCACTATTCTGCAAGATCGGAAACACCCGTCTTTGCTGCAGTCTTTGCTATTTACAGTGTCCTAGTTGATCGAATTCTAGATGGATTTCACCCTTTGCCCGCCAACACTCAGAAGAACCCCCAGCACTGGGCCGCTGGTACAGCCGGGCCCAATGCGGCGCCAATTTCAACGCCTTGTCCGCATCGAGTAGTGCCTGGCGAGCTGCTTCGGCCAGGGCTGCTCGGGCTGCTCCGAAAGTGTCGACCTCTAGAGTCCAGAAAGAAATTGAGACTTCCAAAAATCGGGGGTCGGAGATCGGTATATAGCCTTTGGGTTGGTTCATATTCTATCTACTCCAGGATGGCTATTAAAAGAAAACGTCATTCATTGTCTGAGTGCCATAAAAACACGCCCAACAGTAATATTCAATATTATACTTATAAATTGACGTTCACGCCACCAAAGAAAGGATTCAGGAACAGGAGGCCGAAACGCGGCACGCTCTGGCACCACGCTGTGGCACCCTATACGCGCGACGTGCGGGGCACGGTCACCACCTGAATTGGTTCTGTGGAAAGGTCACCAGTGGAGCAGATCTAACATCAAGCTGAAACTGGATTTCAGGGCCACAAATTGAGGACTCATCGATCCAAAATTGTCCAAATAGCTTCAGGGCCACCGTTTTTTCGTCTGCTCGATCCACCACCATTCGGACGCTTTTTTGTATGGACTGCTCAGTCCACCAGGCCGCGTGCGAGCGCGCGCGAAAGCGCCCCGTGGACTTTGCCCTCGGGGCATGTGTGTGTGTGTGTACACCGAGGAAGATGGCAAGCACCCCCAAAAAAAGGAACGGAAAGAAGGATGGCCCACGACGAGGCATAAAAGAAGAACATCAAGTTCCCAACCAACGGGAGCGACAGCCCCCCCAAAGAATCATCCAGCTGCTCTTGTATGCACAGAAGTCCAGTGAATAGAAACATTCAGCTGCTACACCTCTTAGCATGTGACGAGCAAGCGGGAAAGTCATGCTCAAGATGGCAACTCCTTCAATCGCTCACGTGCTTTCATTCCATGTTCTCTTTTGCCGTCGATGCGGCCCACCCACCGACAATGCCATGGGCATGATTTCAGGGCGGTCCCCTATCCCTTCCTTCACAGCATGCCGACAGCAATCCAAATAGTCATCGATAGTCATCGCAATTGGGACAGTCTTTGTGATCTTGGTGTACCTGTAAATGTTCCGCTTAGGGATTCTAGGAGTTGGCATGAGATTTACATCTGTATGGTCCCAAAGCATCTATTATATACGATAAACTGCTAGACTCCCAGAAACAGTGCGGATCCATGTCTTCATCGGTCACTGTCACGAACGGATTCCGCTGATTTACTTTCATCATCTTTCATCCAACCTGGTCGTCACAGTGGCTGGGGGGGGGGCCGCCCTGGAGGCGGGGAGGCCAACAAACTCACTGGCCACGGTCGTCCGGTCGTCGGGGGTCTCATTCCACGTGGGGCAAATCGTCCATCGGCATCATCTCGCCGAAGTGCACCGACCAGTCGAAGCGGGGGGACCAGCTCTTGTCCAGGTCCTGCGTTTCGGTGGGGGCGTGGCGGCGAAAAGCCGCTGCCGCGGCGTTGGCTGCGCCGCGGCGCCCAAGAGAAGGGGGACGGAAGGGGCGATCAAGGGGGTCGGCCAAGTGAAGAAGAAGAAGAAGAAGAAGAAGTGATGATGAGGAGGAGGAGGAGGATGAAAATCTCAAAGCACTGGAACCTCTGCGCTCGGCAGCTTGTCAGTCCTGGGTGAAACACTGATGGAGGTCCATTTGGCTCGCACTGAAGTTCTCCTGGTAGGAGCTGCCAGGGACATAGGGTGGCGCCATGGAGGCCAGGTTGCTCCAGTCGAGTTTCTGGAAGAAGGCGTGCTTCTGAAGCGCTCCCTAAGCGGAATGGGGCGGTTCATCACGGATGGGGTGGGCCAGGTGAGCAGGTGAGCTCACCACGGGCCTTTCCAGCCAGCAGCCAAGGGGCATAATTGCTTTGCCATGTTTGGGTCTTCGGGCACTCTGTTGATGCTTCGAGAGTCCCTGGTCTTTGACACAGGCCATCGGAGTTAGAACCCAACAGGACATGCAATGGCGAGGACACTGGACCCGCTTCCTTCCCAGCGTGGGGCATCCCCACAGATTGCCCGGTGATCCGGAGAAATAGACGAAGATTTCATCGGACACCGTCCCTCGGGTCTCCCGATTTGTTCGATTTTGTGCGGGATACAAGATCATCATATCAACAATTGATACACTCCGTGGCCTGCTGACTGCAGCCAACCCGAAGACTGACCCGGGAAAGGAAGTTCTCCATTCCAGGGATGTCTTAAGATTTGGCGTCGCCAAAACAGGGCGAAGCAGGTCGACAAGCATGAGGCGGGCCACCAAGGCGCGATGCACCCTATGTTCCAAATCATGTTTGTCAACAAGAAATCTCCGCTTGACTTGTGTCAGCTTCCCTGATGGCTTCAGATTAGAGCTGGATTCTGAAACTGGGGCTCCGAAACTCGCTCTCTGAAACTGGAGTTCTGACACTGGGATTCTGAAACCTTGCGGAATCAAGACCATCGCAGAATCCTGCGCAGTGACGGAATCCGAACCTATCCCATGGCTTAAGAGGGAGATGGCTTTCACCAAGAGTGGGCATCGGCCCAGGACTGGCTATTACCCCTACTCTACCTCATCCTGCCTCCACCAAAACGCCCCAAATAATTCCAAATGAGGATTTGTTATAGCTTCCCTCGCGGAATCCAGGATTTCAATGCCCCATCCAACCGCCACTGCATAGACCGAACATGGTGTTTATTGGCCCAGCGGCAAAGCCCTTGGCCTCTGGCAGCCTGTTCTGCGGATTAGGCCGCAGGAGCGAGTAGATGAGGTCCTTTGCCGTTGCCTGTACGGCGCGCGATAAAAAGGGGAGGATGGAGTTTGGCCATCCGCCGGCATCAGCCGATGTGTTTCAGATCCCTAAGCCCTAGCCAACCACCAATGGCTGAACGAGTCAAAGTCAAAAGTCAAAGTGGTTGGATTCAGAGTCACTCTCACACAAACACCCTCCATCCAACCTGTACTGGTCACCCGGGAGAAGTTTTAATCATTTTGATCATTTTTGAGGTCACCAGAGCCAGATCAAGCCCCACGACCCCCAAGAACTCCACAGACTTCGAGTTCTTCTTCCTTTCGCTCCCTACCCTTCCCAGGTCCCCAAATCCATCCAGGTGACCGGTATGGCTTTGGGCCACGGCACACGGTTGATCCTTAGCGCTCGCTCGTGCAGCCGAAGCGAACCGCACTCCGACTCCGACTCCGCCCCGGGGCGGGCACTCCGACCGATCCGGCCGATCGTCCTCGGTCGCGAATGGGACCGATCAGGCGTCAGGGCAAACCCATGCGAACGAAGAGGGTTGCAGGTGTGACATGGGATAGATGAACACCAGCAATTCGATGACACGCCAGCGCAACTCCCAGCCAAAGACTCCCCTTCATGACCCTCTGGTAGATTTGCATGGGATAAGCCGCTTCGAAGGGCGGCTTTCCCGACAGCAGCTCGAAGAGCATCACGCCGGCACACCACCAGTCGACCGGGAAGGAGTGCCCTTCGCTGGAAATAATCTCTGGACTGAAGTAGTCCGGAGTCCCACCTCGGTCAACCGCCAAGGTGAACCCGCGCTCCATGTGGGCGGAGGGGTGCATCCAAGGCTGTCTTTTGGGCGATGCGTCGCGAAGGAGGCGCTTCGCAGTCGTGTGTCTTGTAAACGAGGGGTGGACGGGGGGAACACCAGGTGCCTGGATGGTCACACCTCTATTCTCGCTCGCTCTCGAAACCTCGCAGGGGGTGTCTTTCCATCGACCTGCACACGCACTGGGCCCACTGGGCATGGACGCACGGCGGATTTCAGCCGACTGGACCGGCACCCAATCTGAAGATCAGCCGACTGGACTCTCCCTGAAATCACCTCCAATGGCCTGACTGTCTGGTTTTGCTGGAGAGGCCAAACCAAACTACAGAAGACAAGGCCGCAAGAACCCATTTGCCCAAGAACTCGTTGAAGATCAAAGGACTTTGCAAAAGGCCATTGCAAGGCTCTCACTGGATAGATAATTACCAACACATTCATAAGTACTGGTAGCCCTTTCACTCTTGAATAAAAGAAACACTAAGACTACGACTCTGCTTGTAGCAAATTAGCACCACTGAACAGCCAAACTAATGTACGGCTGCATCCTTCGCGCCTACGAAGAAATTGGCTGTCCACTTGGCCAATAGAAAAAGGGTTGCATCTCTACCACAGTGAAAAGTATGGGTGTCTTCTTCTACGCCGTCAACTTCAACACGAGGGGACTCAAAGAACACCTTTAGTAAAAGCAGCTGGAGAGCGGAGAGCGGCGCGGCGTGATTTGCTGTCCATCCCTTGGGAACTGCATGGGCCACACGTGACAATGATCATCTACTGCCTTCTCACCGTGCGAGGCATCGAGGTCTCGGTCTGAGCAAGGCACCGTCTTTCTGCCAACCCCCGGTGCGGTGTGTTTTTCGGTCAACCGAAGCCACAGGTGGTGAAGGTCTTGTTCACCAGAAACTTGGACAATCCAAAGTCGATGATCTTCAAGCAGCCTGACCGCAGCGTACAGGCACCAGCGTCACCCCCAAACACAACACGAAAACTGGCTGGGCAAACATGTTGAACAGCCCTCCACAAAAGTGGGGCCCGCCATGGGCATGTCTGCGAGCCTCCAAATCAATTGCCAGGCTACGGGACACCAAACTCAACATGAAAGATCATCTAAGCCTCTAGGCAGTTGAGGGTCATGTCCGGCTGTCCAGTACCCAAGCACTTGGGTGTCATGGCTTGTAGCCTTGTATCGCGGCAGGTGCACTAATCCTTGTGTGAAGAGTAGGTGGCATGTCCTCTACCAGTGCCCTCTCCTAGTGCCCTCTGGTCCATTACATAGGCTACTACACGCATTGAAGGTAGTAAATTCTCAGAGAGAGAGAGAGAGAGTGCGCGCGTGCGCGGGCATGTGTGTGTGTGTGTGTGCGCCCCTTGTAGTCACAGGGATTCTTTTGGAATTGTTTTTAGCAGGGGGTGCCAGGGATGCACACTGGACTGGCACCAACGAAGACGCCAGTGTTGCATCTGTGAAATCAATCCGGGACACCGGATTGACGTACCTGCTTGGAAGAAAACCTACGTAATGGACGAGCTGTTCCAATTCTGTGTTTGCAGTAATTGTCTCGACCACCGTCGTTGAGCTTTGGAGATCGTGACTTCAGAACTTTCAGCTTTGGAGATTGGTGGAGCTTTCCCCTTACTCCCCTTGGTTTCTTAGGTTTTTCACTTAGGCTGACGTGTGGCACCGCTGTCAGTTCAGTACGCATATCGATAAGTGTGTCCGGCTTCATGCCAGCCCGGGATGAGCCCGAAGAGTGCCTCCCGTGGACCCGTCAGGTTTGTCCATTGTTCCCCCTGCCCGGGAACGTAGGTGTCCAAAGCGGACAGCAGGAGGCTTATGCCAAAGTTATTTGCCAAGACTTGCTGAAGTATTGAATTCCAAGCTGGCGCATGCCTTTACGTGACCGCAGCGGTCAAAGGTGGCAGCCCTCGGGCAAGCCGTACGTGGTCGCAGCGACCGAGGGCTTAGTCCCCCTTCCTCCCCCTCCTCCCCCCACCCCTCCCTTCCCCTTTCGCTTGTTGGGGTGTTCCTGAATGTAATACTCAGGTTCACCCCTTTCTCCCTGGTGTGTCCCTGGACGCTTGTTCGTAGCTGGGAAAACCTGTCCTCTTCCTCTCTTTTCCCTCTCTCTCTCTTTTCTCCTTCCTTGCCTTTCCCTCCTTCTTGTTTGGGTGTCCCTGGATGCTTTCGTCATAGCTGGGAACCCTTCTTTTCTCTTGGTGTGTCCTTGGACGCTTGTGTCGTAGCTGGGAACACCTTCTTTTCCTGGGCTCCTGGCCTTACTACTAGGCGCAAGGACGCTACTAGGTAAGAGCGCCTCCCCTTGGCAAAACGTGTGTGTGTGTGCCCCTTGTAGTCACAGGGATTCTTTTTGAATTGTTTTTAGCAGGGGGTGCCAGGGATGCACACTGGACTGGCACCAACGAAGACGCCAGTGTTGCATCTGTGAAATGAATCCGGGACACCGGATTGGCGTACCTGCTTGGAAGAAAACCTACGTAATGGACAAGCTGTTCCAATTCTGTGTTTGCAGTAATTGTCTAGTGCTGACCTCACCGTCGTTGAGCTTTGGAGCTCGTGACTTCAAAACTTTCAGCTTTGGAGATTGGTGGAGCTTTCCCCTTACTCACCTTGGTTTCTTAGGTTTTCACTTCGGCTGGCGTGTGGCACCGCTGTCAGTTCAGTACGCATATCTATAAGTCTATAAGTGTGTCCGGCTACATGCCAGCCCGGGATGAGCCCGAAGAGTGCCTCCCGTGGACCCGTCGAACGGGGGCTTGTCCATTGTTCCCCGTGCCCGGGAACGTAGGTGTCCGAAGCGGACAGCAGCAGGCTTATGCCAAAGTTATTTGCCAAGACTTGCTGAAGTATTGAATTCCAAGCTGGCGCATGCCTTTACGTGACCGCAGCGGTCAAAGGTGGCAGCCCTCGGGCAAGCCGTACGTGGTCGCAGCGACCGAGGGCTTAGTCCCCCTTCCTCCCCCTCCTCCCCCCACCCCTCCCTTCCCCTTTCGCTTGTTGGGGTGTTCCTGAATGTAATACTCAGGTTCACCCCTTTCTCCCTGGTGTGTCCCTGGACGCTTGTTCGTAGCTGGGAAAACCTGTCCTCTTCCTCTCTTTCCCTCTCTCTCTCTTTTCTCCTTCCCTTCCTTTCCCTCCTTCTTGTTTGGGTGTCCCTGGATGCTTTCGTCATAGCTGGGAACCCTTCTGTCCTCTGGTGTGTCCTTGGACGCTTGTGTCGTAGCTGGGAACACCTTCTTTTCCTGGGCTCCTGGCCTTACTACTAGGTGCAAGGACGCTACTAGGTAAGCGCCTCCCCTTGGCAAAACGTGTGTGTGTGTGCCCCTTGTAGTCACAGGGATTCTTTTGGAATTGTTTTTAGCAGGGGGTGCCAGGGATGCACACTGGACTGGCACCAACGAAGACGCCAGTGTTGCATCTGTGAAATCAATCCGGGACGCCGGATTGACGTACCTGCTTGGAAGAAAACCTACGTAATGGACAAGCTGTTCCAATTCTGTGTTGTGCAGTAATTGTCTAGTGCTGACCTCACCGTCGTTGAGCTTTGGAGATCGTGACTTCAGAACTTTCAGCTTTGGAGATTGGTGGAGCTTTCCCCTTACTCACCTTGGTTTCTTAGGTTTTTCACTTAGGCTGGCGTGTGGCACCGCTGTCAGTTCAGTACGCATATCTATAAGTGTGTGCAAACAGGTGTTACAAACTACGAGTACAAAAGTATATAGAAGAGGCATTTTTGCCGACATTTGGTGATGCCATGGCTGCTCACATCAAGAGTTTAACACCATGGGGGAATCGTTGCATGGCCCATGAGCCCGCAATACAAAACGGTGGTCGCTGGAAGCCAGTGCCGTCGATCTCGTAGAGGGTTAGGAGTCCAACCGGCACTCGTTCCGTCCAAGTGTTGGAATCTGCACCCTGATCATTGAGCACAGGTGCTTAGAATGAAGGTCTTCTTAGATTTCTTGGGGACCATGTTCCAGTCAGCGGGACGATCTTCCCTCAACATGGATCTCAAAGGCTGGCAACCTCGGCATCGTGTCCCATTACAGGCTCTCTAATGGCGTCCCAATCAACAGGGGTCACTGAGATCTGTTGAGCTGATTCTCGGACGTCTCCGAACACCCTGAACACCGTTACCCCGCCCATCCTCCACCTTCCAAACAATTCCGTCCCTGAATCGTCAGCTTCCCTGTGAGAAACGCATCTGATTCTACAGCATCAGCATCTGAGAGTCTGACACCAACCCGAAGACAAGCCCATTTCATGGACTTGCCATGCCCAACGCGATACCACATCCCCCCGAACGCCCCGGACTTCACCGACGCGGGCGGTGTCGCCTCGCTCGTCCAGCGCGCAGTCCTCGGGCTTCAGCGAGCGCAGCATCACACGGAGCTCGTGCAGGTGCTGTATCCCCTGGAAGGCACAGGCCATGTAGTACCGGGCGTGCTCCTGCCATTGGCGAGTCGTCGACGTGCGTCGTCCGTCGCTGGTCCGTGGTTGACGTGTCCGTCGGGTCGTCCTGTTCGTCGCCGTTCGAGGGCGCGAAGGAAGACACCGGAACCACGAAAGGACCACTTCGGCGTGTTGGCGCATCCTCCCAAACACTGGATGTTCAAAAACACCCGTAGTCGAGAGGGCATGTTCTCTAGACCATTGCGACCTCAGTGATTGTCTTGTGCCATATGTGATTGTCTTGTCAGTCGTCTTCAGCGCCCAGTATATGAGCCTCGGGTCTCGGGTCAGCCCCTTGTGCAAAAGGATATTCATGGGCCCCAGGCGCACCTCTGAAGTCCTCCAATCGCTCTATAAATACACAAACACAGAAGAAGTTATAGATTCAGTGTATAGAACACGTTATATATACAAATAGTTGTGTATAGATTCAGTGTCCAATACCTACAAACACAAAAATCGCAGAAGATCGCACAACAAGCCTGAAAACACGTCCGAAACAAGCCTGCAAAAAAAAGAAAAGGTGTGAGGAGCGCATTCGTCCACCGGGGCAAATTGCAGTCGTGTCCACCGTTCGGACGACGTGAATTCCGTCCCAGTTCCGGGCGGTTCCGCCACGGGGCCAGCATGAGTGGATCATGATGGTTTAGGACCTTGACCTATGTGTATATATATATATATATATATGCGTGTGTGTGTGTGCAATATGTACTGTATCCATTATATATATATATACAGTATGTATCGGAAAGCAAGACAGACACCCGTCCCGTGATGGAACTGACCGACCCGTCCCTGGTCCCTTCAAAGCCACCGTCACGCCACTCCTCTGAACCGTAGAGGCTTTTTTTTGTTGTAGGTGCGGTACCTCACAGGAGTAGGCCAAGGCCTGCTCTTTCCAACAGGGTCATTGACACCTACATTAAAAAATAATCTGTAGACTTTGCTGAAGTTTGCTGAAGTGGCATCTTTTGGGGGGGATCCCTATCCATTCACCCACTCGATGATCCTCTGTGGAGGTGCATCACTCAAATCATTCTACAGCATAGACATCCACTAGCAAATAGAAGATGGAACAGCCACCCCCAAAGAACGATGACCAGCTATTCTGGTGGTTGTTGAAATGTGTCATGTTCCATCTTCTACCTGTGGAAGACCTTTCCTTGGGCTACTTGCAGGGTTGCACTTTGCCGCCACGCCTGTTCCGTGCTGGCCAGGGTGCAGCTCCCCACCCAGCAATGCCTCCAACTTGAAGTAGAGGTATTTCCCTCGGAGCATTACTGGCAGGACCCGAAACGTAGGGCATTCAGCGACCCCCATGGCTGCACCACTATCCCTAAAGGTCCCCTTGAAATGGCTCGAAAAGCAGGTGTGATGCAACGGTGGTTTCTCTAATATCACAGGGCCAATGAGAGTGCTGGGAAATGTGTTTGTTTCTGATCCAACCACCGTGCTGGGAAGAAACTAAACACAAACGCTCACGTGGATGTTGTGCCAAGTAGGCCAAACGGCCAGACATCTCGGCGCCTTTGGGCTCGGCGCCTTTGGCCTCGCCCACCACTGATGAAGCTGCTGAAAACCCTTTTGGCTGGCCATTTGGAGGAATGGCTTCCCACAACCGTTGGATCTCTTCACCCAAAAGGGAAGGAAAGATGATCATGATAAGGGCGACAAGGCCGAAAACCGAGTGTGAATATTGGCCACAATACCTTGTATCAAATGTGCAGGTGCTTTTTGATTGATCAAGTGACAAGGCCGAAACTCTTGCACACAGCCAGGTGAAACGCCGAAGCAACGCAGCCCAGGGCCGTTGGTTTGGCTTCGGCTTCCTCACCTCTTCCTCCCAAGTGACTGGTGTGGCAACAGCCGTAGTACTTCACGATGAAAGGGCTGGGGCAAATCTGGGTGACACCCAGCACCCTCTTCTCCTGGGTTGAACATGGAACATGGGGCGTGAATGGCTGGGGCGTACACGCGGTCTCGGGGGTTGAAAAAAGCACCAAAGCCTGTGGCGATGGACCAGTCAAAATGTCTGGGAGAAAGAAAAAGTCGCGTTCCTCACCCCTTACGAGTCAAGGTTTTTCTAGAAGAACTATCCAAAACCATTCCCATGTGACCTGCACCTGCTTGGAATCTGTGAGGGACTGGAGCAACTCCCACCAAAGGAGCAACAGTTGGGCCACACTCTCTCTAGGGCTGGGCACCTAGACCCACACTTGTTGCCATATATCCGTATTGTTTCGGGTGGAAATCCTCCACAATCGTCCACAATCCACTGAAGCACTTGGAGCCAAATGGGCCTACCAGCACCAATCGGATCCACCAGGACTCGTTGGAGACCCCCACAGGTCAAGGTATACCCTGCGCCCCGACACATGACGAGGAGAATCTGAGAAATGTTTGAACCTGGACCGTCGCCGCATATGAATACTATAAATAAATGCATACATATATATATATATTGTGTAGTATAACTTTATAACTTGTTGTGCTCATGTGCAAATACTAAAATTAGAAGCATGCTTGTTGTTGTTTGCTTCCACCCTTGGTATTTGAAATGCACTGCGGTGCACATATCAATGAATGTCAAAACAAGCAAATGGGGGGAGGGGCCACATACATATTCTAATGTATTATGTAGTATTGTTGTTTTATTATTGTTTGCGTGTATGTTGTGCATGTATATATTTATATATATATATAAATATACAGTGTGTGTATTTATGCGTGTATATATATATATAACTATTCAGTCTCGCAGCACGCCCTCTTTTCTTCCTCCACAACAGGTTGTGCACAGGATGGAAGCTAATCCATCTGACCAGGATCTCCAGCAAAAGGTTCGGGTGGTAGCGGGCGGGTGAGTCTTGAGGTGCCACCACGACATCACAGTTATGGATCAACTATTCAGTCTCGCAGCACGCCCTCTTTTCTTCCTCCACAACAGGTTGTGCACAGGATGGAAGCTAATCCATCTGACCAGGATCTCCATTTCATCCCGTGCATCCCAAGACTTCCTTTTGCAGGAGAACATACCAGGCTGTCGGGGCGATCCCGAGTCGTAAGTAAAGCTGGACCTTGGCAAAAACAGGCGGGAACAGGTGAGCCATGCACAATACAAAATCGCGAGAAGATATGGGTATACGTTTCAGATATAGGAGAGAAGCTGATTCTTGTATATAGATCTCCATGATCTTAGCTGAAATCCATCTTCCTTTGCGACGTGTGTATTCGCCGTCTTCCGTTGTCTGTAAATGCCAGGTTGCTCCGCCGGAGCGGAGACTTCCGGGATCAAGCGCCTTCATGTCACCAAGTTTTTGAACTGGCAATCGTAAAGCACTTATTACATCTCTGAATCTTGTTCGAAAAGTTTGCCCAGACCAAGGCCACAAGGGCGCGCTCGCTTGCAAGTTTCCAAAACAAAAATCAACCACAGCCAACAAGTCTGGTACATCAAGCTTTGCAGCCTGATGTTTTGCGCCTGTACGGCGTGTTTTAGGTTGTTGAATTGAAAGCAGGCCAAAAGCAACCGTCGAGTCAACATCTCTCGGTAGTAAAAGGTCAGCTCTTCTTGCAGCAAAAAGCTCTCCCGGTCTCAACAGTGCCCCCCAGCAGAGCGCTAGGGAGCCTGCAAACAATGTCCAGCCCCAGGTCAAACTCACAGTAATCATACCCAACAACACTTGCCAGGGCATAGCAACATGATGCGAACCTGGCTCTGTATGAAGCCAACTAAAAGCGACATCCCATGCTCCTTGCATGAGCCTTCTCAAAGCTGGCTTCTTTGTGGTCAAGGTATTGATAGTTTCAGCGAACTGGTTGTATGATTTTCCAGCATGGAACAAAGCGCAACCGTACGAAGCCAAGACCGAGTTGATCTCATCTACAAATTCAACATGATGCAACAACATGCTTTCAAAATCAATTCCCTCAACACGCAACCAACCCTCAAATTGAGCCCAGTACCGTTCACGAAGTCGCCCAGTCGAAGCCAAGGTAGGTCTCGACTCCTGGAGGGGTTCGCCTGCAAGGCGTTCAGCCGCTCGTGCCATCTCTGCAGCTGTTCCAGGAACCATTGCTTCAACTCCGGAAGCGCGTCCGGCTAAAAGCACCCAGAAAGCAAGCACCCGAGGGCAGCAAGAGAGACAGCGAGACAGCACAAAAGCAAGAAGCGCCCAGGAAGGAAGGAGGGAAGAGAGAGTAAGGAGGCTGATGGCGACGACTGAAAGACCAAGAATTGGCCAAATCCAGGCCGGAAATCCAAATGGGGGAAATCCAGGAGCACTGAGAAGGTGGAGAGCCCAAATAGGGCCCTCACCCGGAAAGCCCAAAGATGAGTCGAAGTCCATCGTGGCGAAGACGAAAGCTGGACAAGGAGGGCAACGACCTCCCTCTTCAAAGTCAAGGCCTCGTTGAGGTGGTGGAAGACGGTAGGAGCTCCTGTCGGCAAAGGTGGCAACAACAGGACCAATGAGAGCCAAAACGAGTCGAATCCAATTGGATGCCCACCGGCGAGTCGGTCTAATCCCAGCTATCTTCCAAAGGTCAGAGCTAGGGAGTTCTCTCCAACCAATGCCAGGAACAGATGGCCTCTGTGGTCTTAACCTTGTAGGGTCGTCCGCACAGTTCAACCTCGTGGGACGGAAGGGATTGACAATGTACAAGCCATATGCAACGAGGACAGCTGAAATCCTTCGCAAGACCCCTGAGATTGCCTTTGAAGCTGATCTCCCTTTTCCCAAGGCACACCGTGTAACATTCGAGTCCACGAGGTTCAGGAAGCGAATTGGCCCCGACTTTGCCCTATCTTCAACCAGCCTCTCAACGGCCCTAAGCTCCAAGATGTTGATGTGAGATCTCTTCTTGAACTTCCAGGATTTCTGCACCTCCCAGTCGTTTGCGAGCATCACCTCACTTCACACATTGAATTGCGTGCTTGAAGGCCCAAGCCAATGCTGCTGCAAGTTCTGGAGTATAAATTGCTGAAGCTTTGGTGAACACGCCAGCGACTGGCACATGCCTGCAAAGACCCTGGCACCTCCGTGTCACGCTCCTCATGTCCATGTTCACCACCAACATAGCGAAAGACTTCTGATGGATGGACCCATACTGACATGAATCCAGCCGCACTTCACTGGCCCCGGGCCACGCCAAAGCTTTCTGATAGGCGGGGAGGAACTTGCTCAAGGCTGAAAATGGTCTTTCCAACAAACCAGCAATGCAATGAAGCGAGGCTTTCTTGAGAATCTGAAGTGCCCTCATGAAGAGTACGTTGCCCAACAAGGTTTTGGGATCTGCAACATCGAATCCAAAAGGACATCTCCTGCTCCTCAATGCCGGTCTCCTCATGATGCTAAAAGTGGTACATGGGGGCTCCAAAGCTATGCCACATAGACGGCCTGATTCAATAAGATGGTAGATCCAGGACAGAACATGCAGCTTCGTGAGGTCATACTCTTCCGAAAAAGAAATGTCCAAAGGAGGCCCAACCACAACCCCCAATTCCTGAAGGGACTTGGAGATGCGACTCGATCCAGCAAAAATCTCAATGAAGTCGAAGGAGAAGGCCAGTGGCCGTGCCACCTGTCTCTGTTGAGCAAACCAATCTGACTCCTCATTGAGAACATCATCATTGCCAGACGTGCACTCCTTCGGAAAACACTGCTGCAGTCTTGTATAGGCTCCCTTTGTCCGGCACACCCTTGATAGCTGCTGTACAATGTCTCGTCCCAGAAATGCAGAACAAATTGCGCCTCGGTCCTCCGAGGCGTCAGTGGCATAGATCATCTCATCGAAGTCCACTGCAATGTCCGACAACATGAGCGGGGACGGGACTGCACATAGCACAAGTTCTTGGGCAACCTTCCGAGGGAGAGGGATCAACGCCCCATCATCCAAATCGCTGTACTGATCAGCCAGCAAGAAGGCCTCGTTCAGAAGGTTCATCATTGGCCTTCTATAAAGCAGCATAGAGACCCAAGCACCCACAATGCACCGATGCAGGGAAATGGTGGTATACGCAAGAGAGCAAACTTGAAGAGTGACCATGGCCAAAGAAAGCCTCTTAGGAGCGGGGGCTCCAACAGTACAAACTCCACACTCAACTGCTTTAGGTCCACCATTGATGTAGGCCCCAATGACCTTCCCCTCCGATTCTGCAATGACATCTTTTTCTGGAGAGCCCAGCAGCTTGAAATCATTGTAAGCGGTTTGTGCTCTAGTGTAGGCCTCAAACGACCGAGACTGTTGCTTTGGAATATCTTGGTCGTCCACAGACACGCAAAAGAAATCATCAATCACAAGGCCCTCAACTGCCCCAATGTCAAAACATGGTCGATTTGCTACCAACTGGACGTCTTCATGAAGCAACCCGTAGGACCTGAGAAGGTGACTATGCGCGTCGGTCGCCATCTCAACTCCTCCATGGTCACCTTGCAGGATGCTATTGAAGCAAGCCCAAACTTCTGAATCAGAAGGACATTTGGCAGCTGCAAAATCAAGCTTGTCTCCATGCTTCTCTCTGGAATACTTGTTGTTTCCTTGTTTGTGCAAAAAGAGATGGTAAGCTTGAGTATCTTCAACCAAAGACGGAGGCAAGCCAGGACCCAACGTGTTGGTGATTGCTCTTGACTTCGTGACCCAAAGCTGATGATAGAAGTCTCTTCGATCTGAAATTGACACATGGATCCTCTTCTGGCTCAGACCCACATGTAGATCACACAAATCCTGTCCTGCTGGCAGATTCGAAGAAGGTCCACGAAGCACCCCTTCAACTGCATTTCTCCCACGCCGGTCACCGATCTGTCGATCCCGGTCTGGGGCTTTGTAACAGTTGAATATCCTGACAAGTTCATAGGACTGTCGTGACCCAACCTTCTCGCGATGGAGCCGCAACAATCCACGCTCGTCCCAAAGACGAGCAAGCTGAGCCACTGTCTCACCAGAATCTCGTAGGCGAGGATACTCCCAGCTGGCAGGTGTGCGATCAACTTTAATGCATTCAGGCTCACGGTAGGCCATCACAAGTTCATCACAAAGAAATTCAGTAATGTCCCAGTGACCTTTGCCTGAAAGGAAGAGCCGTGACGGGTCAAGATCTCGATATGGCTCCAGCTCCGGATAGACTGTATTATTGTCCTTGGCAACATCATAGCCTGTAAAAACTTTCGAGTAAGGTGAGGCAGAGCATCCCAGTGAGGTCAACATTGCCGTCAACTCACCCAAACGTGCAAAAAGCTCTGGATTCCGTCGGCCAACACGCAAAGCATCAAACATTGCGGTGAGGCCGTCCGACTTCACGAAAGCCCGAATCCTCTTGTACAACGCACGATGCAAGGAGGAAGGGACTCTCCACATAGAGCCAAGTTCACTGAAGCTCCCATTGGACTGCCAAAAGTTCAATGCCACAACCATAACATGAACAGCTCTAGCAAGACCAATTGCTCTCCGTTTCGAACTCGACACATTCGCGGGCATCCTGTCAAAGCAACCCTCAACCGGCAGCGGGACAGGGAACAAAGTCGGTGAAGATGGGGCCCTCGGAGAAGAGCCGCGCGAAATACGAATGGAGGAAGAAAAATATGAAGCAAAGGCTGTACGTGTCCTCAAAACCAAAGTTGTCAGCTTGGAACACCACAAGGGATAGCTGACCCTCTGGATATTGCCATGCCTCTGTTCGCTCAACCCGACCTGGGGAAGGCCCCGAGACCCCAGCAAAGGATCACAGAGACCAACCCCAGGTACATCAGGGGAGCGTCGTGGTGCACTTGCATTCCAGGAACTCTTCGGCCTGAACTTGAATTCACTCGTAGGTGCATGGAGGGTCACTGCTGCCCTTCCCCAGCCCCCTTGGGCTTCTTTGGAAATTTTGGCCTTCTCTTGGGACTCGGTGAGTCCTCGTCCTTGTTGCTCGAAGTCTGCCCTTTCTTGGTCCTTGTCTCCTGCCTCCGGGATTGAAGAATATCGATCTCCTTCAGGTAGGCAAGGTTGATGGAGGCCATTTGAGGCGGAATCAAGGGAGAAAAAGGACGGCCAGCTGCTGCGATCGACTGCATTTTGTCCTGAAACAAGGTCTGCGGCGGATCCTCGATGAGGGATAGGACATAGGCCAACCCCCAATCGCCTGCATCGAACACACCTTGCTCTAAGGCCATAACTCAAGTGCCAAATACTCTTTGGTAGCATGAAAGTCTCCACCTGCAGCTGCATCCAATGCATGAGCAAAAATCCACATCGTGAGCCCAGCTTCCTTCTGTCCTCGAAATCCCCCGTACCTCTCCAGGTAGGTCAGGAGAGAGGGTGATCTCTTTTGAATCTCCTCTTCTGTTCTTGGAAGGACTGCTGAAGGATTCAGTCGCCTGAATATCTGCTGCTGCAATGCAAGGAAAAAGCTCGATTGTCTGGATGCTAGATCTTGCTGCAGCTTCTCTCTTTTGATAGTTCCTTTTGTGGAACTCGAACTGGCTCCTCCAGAGTGAAAGTCGAGGCTGAGGCCATCTCCTCCTTGAACCAGGTGCGAAACCAATGCATTGAGCGCTACTGCCTGCTGAGAGAGGATCTGATCCGGCGTCTCTGCTGGAGCACTCACTGGGTCGTAGGGCTCGTCGAACTGCCCGAGACCCAGTCCAGAAATCACTGGGGAAGCACGAGTCTTCGGAGGCGGTCCCAACATCTGAAGAGCTTTGGAGGCTGTCTTGCTCACAACAGGAGTTTGGAGGCCGAGCGATACGGCTGGCATCTTTGGAACCCTCGGCCCTGGAGCAGGAATGGCAGAGGAGGACTCGGCCAAAAGCTGGGGATCTCTTCTGTCCTCCCTCTCTTGGTTCTGTTGAGCCGCGGCTAGAAGGGCAACTTGAGCTGATAGGCTGGTGATTTGCTCGGCCAAAACGGCTGTGGTAAGGCGCTTTGCAGTGGCCTTTTTGGGAACGGCGGCCACCTTGTGAACTGGCTCGTCTCGAGCACTGTAAAAATGTGTCCTTGCTGCAGTCTCACTCTCAGCCCAAGTCATTGCGAGGGCCAACAATTCAGCTGCTGCTGGGATTGCCTGAGGGTTGGCGGAGTGGAAACAGATCACCTCCTCTGTTGAGTCAGTGATAGGATCGTAGTCCCTGAGGCTAGAGAGCACATCATTCGAGAAGTCAACAACGGCTACCTCGCTCTTGAAACCAGCAGGCGTTGATGCTCCCGTGAATTCATCCTCATAGGTCATGTCGACTTCAAAAACCCGAGAAGGCCCGACAAGGGCATCCTCATCAATAGGCCCCCCCGGGGCTAGTAGGCTTGACTTCAAAAGGCCCATAGGGAGAGCAAGAAGCATGCCCTTCCTCCGTGCAACTAAAGGCACCGCAAAAGCCTGAAGCTCAGCGCCACTCTCTGTGAGCTCCTCTGCAAGGTGAATCACCAAAAGAGAGTGATCTGAGCTGTTGGCTGCAAAAACTATTGACTGCTTTTCCAGCGCCATAGCGGAGGCACTGAAACTGAAGCTCCGGCACAGTAGATATGCAGCTCTGTCAAGGAGGGCAGCCTATCCAGCAAGACCACGTCCGGGTAGTTCAGGATGAGCTTCTTACAATCTGCCTGTGTTGCAACTCTGACCAAATCAAAACCAACTCCTTTGCGAAGCACCCACTGAGCTGATCCAGCGACCAATGGCTTGTAAGTGCTGTGATGCTCTGTATGACAAGTCCAAAAGGCTCGCGCGCCCAGAAACCTGCTCGGAATGCTTCCTTAGCCCGATCCTCAGGAGAAGCCTTTGCAGATGAGAGGTGGCGTCTAGCCAAATCCAAACAAAAATCTGGAATGTCTGGTGGACCCTCCTCGAACTCAATCACTACGGGCTTCTTCAAGAAATCAACTGGGGCCCCAGGGATGGCGGTCCCGTCAACAACCAGCTCCCAAGCAACGCTGCTAAATGTAGGAGTAGAAGCGGGCAAGCTCTGTGGCCTCTGAGCCTCCTCAACTCTATCAGTCCTCCTCTCTACCAAGTCACGAGTGGCAATGGTGAGGTCCTGGATGGCTCGAGTCAACTCTTGCAAATCCTGCCTCAGCTGGAGCTGGTCACTCATGCAAGTAGGCGTGCAACCGCCTGGAGTGAGCACGAGAGTCTGGAGCCGGAAAAGAGGGTCCTTGAGGAGCCTGATGGATGAAAAGAGGGGCTATGCAAGTCCAGAAAATCCAAAGCCCGAGCAAGACGCCCAAAACGATGCCGGTAGCAAGGCCGGCAAGGAAGGGGAGAAAAGCCGAAGGGTGGCAATGGATGGGACAAGCAAGAGTGCCAGAGAGCGAGGTCAGGACGGCAGCTCCGTCCAGCACAGCGCCCCAGTTCCACATGCACCCCTTGAGTCTTGAGGTGCCACCACGACATCACAGTTATGGATCATATGTGTGTGTGTGTGTGTTATATTCACAATTATTTATATACATACATATGTGCATTCTACTGAAAAGCAATTACTTCTTCACTAACTACCAATGTTAGCAGGGGGACTGCGAGGCCTTGATGGGCCAGCAAATCAGCCTTGCAGGTGGCAAAATTCCCCTTAGACCACGGTGGTGAGGAAGCGATTCCCTTCTTTAAAATAGAGGCCACTGCCACCGCGTGGCATCAACCACGTTGGACGTCATGGCAGACTTCTCCAAAAGGCGCTTGTCGGAGGCTTTCCAAGCAAAAAGGCCCTGGCAAACTCACGTTTTGTGCCACGTATGGTGTGGTCTGCACCATACAGGTTCGGGCGATGAGGAAGGATTCATGTGGGAAGCCTATGTCCAATCTTTGGGACCGGGTGTTGCAGTGATTTGGATAGACAAAAGACATAGGCGTGGACGAGGTTTCTACGAGAAATGTGGGCACAAAGCGACCAATCCATTCACAAATTGACAAGAACTGATCCGGTCAGTGGCGGATGCTGCCCCGTTTGTGAGTATGCCGGCGACTCTTGCCGCACGGCTCTAAACGAGAATGTAGTTGCAAGTGGAGTTAGAGTGGTCTGCGGAGTCCAAATCAAAACCAACTTGAAAGCCCTACAATTGGTTCAAGTAGATTAATTTTGTATAGGCTATGTCTATACTTTTAGTGCGTGTGTGTTACTGCTGTATGTGTCTGAGGTGCGCCCTATACTATGTTTATCTATGTTTGAGCCATACCCAATTCTATCGAACTCTCCCATCTGATGTCTGATGTTTCACCGTTTTGCACTGGAAATGGTCGAGGTTGGCTGAACTGGTAGGCTCCCCTGGCTGACGCCAAAAAAAAGGCTGGCACATCATACTGTAATTACGACCATCGCCTCGGGCGTCCTGAATGCATCATTTAATTTGAACATGTATTCAAACAGATTCAAACATCAAAAACTCCAATCTCTCCAAAGGGGGCCCAAGTCTAGGGGACATCCATTGGCCCAAGTCCTTTGGAGCCAGGCCTCAGGGTCCTCCACGAGCTGCACGCGTCCAAAGCCACCACAGCCCAGCAAGCATCTGAGGGTCAGGGAGCCAAGCTCTTTCAGCACAAAAGGCTCACCTCTGCAGAGCGTTCGGTTTGTTCGGTTCGTTGGAGGAGAAGAAGCGAACGGCGCACCTCTCAGCGGTTGAAGAGATGGTTTGTAAGGATCTTTAAGAACTCACCCTCTGGCTCATCATCTACACTGTCCACAAAAGGAAATAACAAAACACAAACAGAGCCCAACCGGAATCAGCTGCCGATCATTGATCAACACCACACACCTTCCACCTTCCCAAGAAGGAGGCCCTTCACCTAGGTGGCTTAGCTTGGTCGAAAAAACCCGAGGCGCTCGGCTGCTCTTTCTCCTCAAGCTCCGCCTGATCCTGTCCGAGGCACTGGGTAAGACACTGCAAATAAATTGGCGGTGTGGGTGGATTTACTGATGGCTGCGGATAGAACAGTATGCCAAAACGATCCCGCCCAAAAGCCAGGATAAAAAACAAAAAAAAACAACTTTCTTGAGGACTTGAGGCTCTTTGGACCCCCCTTGTCGTACCCCTTCCACTCTCAAATCGAAGTCAGCGGAACATCCTAAGGTGAAGCACCACACCTTCGAGGAGGACGATCGTTCGAGCGACAAATCCGACCCCAGAAAGGGGCAGCGAGACCCTCTGTCCAGAAGTGAAGACGACTGTCCTGACTTTCCAAGATGATAGGCGCTCCCCGAGCATCCCCAGGTCTGAAAGGATGTAACTATGTCCATCCCAAGTATCGGCCAAGTATCCCCGAGTATTCGCAGTCGATCGGTCGCTCTAGGACCGTGAGACCACGAAACGACGCACCCCACGGTCTTTTTAGAAACGACGCACCCCACGGTGCAAAAGAAGCAACGGGACTGGAACTGGAATCCCAGAGAGGACAGCTAACAAGGATCCTTGAAAAACAAGGACAACGATGGAAAGCGATTCATTTTCTGCGGCGGCCAACTCCACCCATCCAGAAAACCGGTGGTCGCCGTGGGCAGGGCGCCTCACAGCCTCGCGGGCCGGACTGGAAAATGGCTCATTCGGCCCGTCCTCCAGCACTGGGGTCGAGGATAACAGTGTTGTTGCCGCCTCCTGCAGCAATGGGATGGCGCCGTTCTCCACTACCCCAGGGCGAAACCTCTTGAGTGGAGGTGTGGCAAGGGTCTGAGTGGAGGTGCGACCGTTCTAGGAAACCACAGGCTAAATACCTATGCCAATCGCAAGAGTCCAAATTCCCAATGCCCTGCCCAAAGGTTCTTCTGGTTCCTTCCACACCTGACTGGCTGGAAGCCCCCAAACTGGAGCAGTCGGACATGGGCCATCGCCGAAGCAGTGCTGCTCTTTCATAGGTCTGTGTCTCTGCTGTTCTGACCTGACCTAACCAATGGTAACCAATGATTAAAGTCCCTTCAGAAACGCGGGGCTTGAAGCGGTCCAAGAAAAGCAGAGACCTGGATCTCGCAGCCGGGTCTCTCGAACCTTCAAACGGACCCGGCCCGTGTCACGTGTGTCGCGCATCGGGGCTTCTGGATCGGAACACGTCGGCGGGGGCCAGAATGTGGGGACACATGAACAGCCAAAAGCGATAGAAAGCGTATAACTACTACCCCCCAAGAAACCATGTCCCTTTTTACATCTTTTGACCAAGCGCATCTACGTGCATCGGAGGAAGGATCATCTTGAGGCCTTGAGGTCGAACTACCCCGTTTTGCACTTCAGCGCATCCACGCCTTGATCGTCTGCGCGAGCTTCTCCGGTGGCACCAGCCCTTCTGAATACAAGGCGATTATCTGACGCGTGAGGCGGAAGAGAGGGCGGATGGAGCTGTTCTGGATGGTTCTGGGCCTAACGACCTTCATTTTGTGTTCCCAGTCTTTCAGTGGATGATGATTGTCGGGTCAAATGTCAATAATTCAGTGGGGAGGGGCGTTTTTATCGTGGTGCGCCAATTGTTAATTCAACATAGATCCCCTTTCCCCTTGGCCATTTTGGACTAGTGCGGCAAGCTAGGTGCCCTCTGTCAAAGGCTGAGGGGGGGAACCCTTCTCCAATTGAAGAACCCTGGCTGGCATAAAGATTCCACAAAAAATGCTCATCTTCCAAGTTGATGTGTTGAAACCCGGTGTTTGTCCAACACCACTGGGGCCCACCGGGCCGTTCGCGGTGCCGAAAATGAAATTCCCTTTCTCGTCATAGCATAGCTGGAGCAGTCCACACGAGATGGGGCACTCAGCATAGCAGTGTGGCCCCAAACTATATATAAAGAAACATAAAGAGCATTGATTGCAATTCACTATATTATATAGTTGGCTTATCTGCCGAGGATCCCTCTCTCGTAGCGCTTCCTCCGTTGTGGCTCTCCCCTTCAAACCATTTCATCGTATGGTCATGTCAAAATAGTTATAGAAACCCTGATGGAAAAATATACTGTGAATCTCTCTGCTCCTCTTCACTGCCTTCCATCTGCGGGTCGGTATCGCGCCTCTTGAATTTGTCGGCTGAAAAGGGCTGCTTGGGCCCTCGTCACCTGCTTTTCCTCCGGTCTCTCCCCTGCGCCGGCTGAGGAGCTCCTCCGGAAGAGGCTGGAAAGCGGTGCCGAGTGCGCCGAGTCTGCGGCTAGACAGGGGGACAGGGAATGGGCCACGTCCAAGCTGAAAGAATATCCCAAGCTGAATTTGTGTTCCTTCAATTTGTGAGGTGGTTCAGCACACTGCTCGGCAGGGTGGGGAATCAAAGAAATGCCAGACTGGCTTCCAGCACCCGGGCTTCCAGCCTGGTGCCGCACGGCCATTGTTTTAAACAGGATCTTACACGACAAAACCAGGTCAACCCTGAGTCAACCTGTCTTTTAATGGTCCCAGAAGGCTAGTTGAACAAGTCAATGAACCGTTTTGCACGCCGAGTCATGGCGAGCCGGCCTCTGCTCCTCAATGGTTCGGGCTTTGGCACCTCAGTGTGAACGCACCGATGCCCTCGATCAATTGGACTGAATATCTCTCCATTTGGCAGCAGACCGTCTGGCAGCTCGTTGGGCATGCTGAAGGGTCTTAGCCGAAAGACATCAAAATACCATAACTCCTTAATAAGGATCTCCCGATCCATGTCACACATCGAGCACAGCACCTGTCGATTCTCTCTCGTCTTTGCTGTTGGGCTCCCCAAATTTGCCCTGGATTGCCCCGCTGCCCAAACACCTGTTGTTGAAATCCCTCATCCATGCAACGAGATCTAGAAGACTGGATCTAGGGGGCATGGATCCGTAGAGAGCAAACGACTGGCAAATGAATGTAGCTATGGCAGTGTGCCCAAAATGCTTTTTCCAGATGCCAGATGCCCCCTGTCCAACAGCCTGACCAGCATCCTTCAAAAAGCCCAGGTGACCACCTGCATGGCACAAGTAGCTTCACGATCCACATGGGGAACCGGTGTTGGGAACGCCACCCGCCACCCTCGAAACAACTCCAAACAACTCCACCGGTGCGTCACGGGGCGCTGCCAGGTCACGTAACGCTCGCTTCCAGAACCACCAGCCAATGCCGAACAGCGAACCCACGCCAAGACCCGAGACCAAGGAGATACTCAGCATCTGCCACCATGCCATGGCGGTCCGTCTCAAGCGAGCTCGAAGATCCGCGTGCCAAAGAAAAGCGGTCCACGTCAGGGGGGAAAGTGTGTTTTCAAGCGTTTCGCTGGCGTCGCAAGCATGATGCTCTGAGTCTATCTATCTAATGCAACATCATGGATGATCTTGCACGCGAATAACATCTGTGGAATGAGGTCATAGACAGCATGGCTGTTCCTGTAGTTCTCCGAGAAGGTGGTCATGTTTCAATTGCGCGGCATCCTTTAAAACTTCGGAAGGCTGCTCTCCTGGTAAACATGATTACCGTAATGTTATATTTGGTGAGGCGTGCGGCGTGGTAGGCAAAATGTTGGGGGTAAGCGTCCATAGCGAGAGGAGCTACACACACCAAATGGAGGAGCATCTTGACCTCAAGGCCCAAAATGGGGCCTTTAACCGTCAGCTACGTGAGAAACTGAGGTTGGTTGCGTTTGATTTAAGACGTGCCGCCAGCGTGAAAAAACACACCAAGATCGGGAAAAGAACACCTCCACGCGTCCATCCGTCCGTCCCACGACATGAAAGTGGTGAGAAACGTCTCCCCGTGCGTTGGGATGTGTTGAGCGACGGACGTGGCAACCATTGAATTCATTGGGGTCAACCCACCCACACGTCTCAAAAACATGTAGAACATTCATGGATGTTGAAAGATTTCCACACCCCATACAGTCTCCTGGGAGAAATCCGCGAACATGACCGGGTGCATGTTCTGCAGGCCGCACACTTTTCTGAAGCTGACTTGCCAGCGTCCCTCCGGCAACGAGAACTGTCTGAAAATCATGGACCCCATACTATATGCGAGTTATAGTTGTATTGTATATCTAATATAACATATATATATATATTATATCTATATATATATATAATTATTAAGCTTATTAAGCGTTTAATGCTCGATTGGGACCATCTTCCTGCAATCTACTTGGCAGATCTTGGCAGTTGGGCTCGCCGATGTTCAAACGTTCCCCCCCCCAATTCCGAATTGCTGCTGAATTTCGGGTCCGGTGCCGTGCGGCGGCCAGAGGGCATGACAGCACCAGTCCGGACTCGCTCTCACTCGCAGAACCTCCGCTTCCTTGGCATGTCCAACAACCAGCCACCCGACATGGGCGTCGCCACCGGACGAGGCCTCTTGCGTGGCAGCTCGGCATGGGGCAGCGCAACACAAATGGTGTCCACTGAAGGGACCGGAGCCTGAGGCGCTGGCGCAGGCACAGCTGCGGGCGCCGGTGCCGGTGTGGGCGCAGGCCGGTCGCGAAGGATGCGCTGCAGGTGGCAGAGGAAAATCGTCGCAAGAAACGAGGCCTGAATGCTGGGATGATGTATATTAGAGAGAGGGAGAGAGAGAGAGAGAAAGGAGATGTTGGATGACGACAACCTCCACTCGACTCACGTGACGCCGATGTGATGTACCAGGTCTTGGGGTGCCTGACTGAGACACACCTACTGCAGATACACACGGCCGGTGGAAAAAGAACCCTCCACTCTCTCCACAAAAAGCTGGGTGTCGACACTCATCTTTGGTCTGTGTGCGGGTACTGTAGAGAGCCTTAGGCTGATGTGTGCTTAAGGTGGTCTAACAATAAAGACAGTTGCTGAACCTTGCCGCCCTGCAGTCGAACCATGAAAGACCAGAGTCTCAGATCTGCATCCTTTGGACCACGGAGGGGCACACGAGATCTTCCCACGCTGAAGCAGGTGGATTCGGTTCATGTTATTGACCCAGCTTCGGGGCCCGGCCAGAAAACCATCAAGACGATCCCAGAACCGGAAAACCGCCTGCCTTCATCCGTCGCCTCCGTCGCCTCCTCCGCCGCACCGCGAAGTGCGCCAGCAGCCGCGCCGCCAGCAGCGCACGGCGCCAGCGGCCGCGGCGCGCCGCACGTCGCGCGGACGCGACGAGGTCCGGATCCAGGCAAGGGGGGCCCTCAGCAGCGAGCTCCTGGCGTGAGACAAGATGTGAGTCAAGAGGTGGAGTGTCATCCTTGTTTGGGGTAAGACACGCCAAACGAAGGAGAACGAGAAGAAGAGGACACGTGCCTCAAGAACTTAGAGCCTGTCAATGTTTATGCAAGTTTATGCTGGTTGAACTGGCTGAATAGAGCAATGGAGTCTCTCCAGGAGCCTCACTACATGGAAGAAAGCCCACAGCATTCCACGGCAAATGCCTCCCATCCTATGACCACATCCTCACCCAACCTTGCAAACACATCTTCTACCATTTCTTCTGCATCTTTCCTCAACTCCAGCCAGCTCCAACTCCAGGCCTGCCAGCTTCCCTTGAGGATAGATTTCATTGCTATGGCTCAAAAATTGGGAACCATCTCCAAACCCCCGTTACGGGACAATAGACACAGAACCTGCCGGGTTGTCTGGATCTTGTATTTGGAGCCAGGCCTAGATGTGCAGGCGTTCCAAAAATAGGTTTTATGTATATATAATATACAGTATATGTCATATAATCATCCTGGAGTAGATAGAATATGAACCAGTCTCATGGGCTTGGGGATGTTCCCGTATGGACACTTTAGTCCAGGACCTAGGATCACCTCTCCTGGAAGAATCGGCCCCTTCGGTGCCTCGTCTGGTCGTCCTTCCGTTTCAGAGCGAGCTCCCAGTGAAGCAAAGTGGACGACCACCAGGAGGATGTGAACTGGCTTAGGGCCAGGCTTCGGGGATTTCACAGGATTTGGGGTCGCCCTTTTAACTAGTTTCTCTCCCAGCTCGACATCCTGCTCCAAGACACCAGCTCCTCCAAACTCGCCAGCTGCCCAGCTCTCAAGAAGAGCTGCGAGACGCCCAGCCGCCACTCACATCTCGGCACCTGAAATCGCTGAGGAGAGCAGTTCATTGACTCGTGGAATGCTTAAAAGCGTGCCAACGAATTCCATGAACTCAATCAATTGCCTGTCGTGGCTTTTTTGTTGCTGTTCATTGGCGGATTTAGGCGTTGTAGTACAACCGTTGCCGGCGCGGCCGGTCAATAAGTTGCAAAACGTCGCTTTGCGACAATTTGCAGCAGCACTGAGAGTTGCAAGACACAAGGTCTTGCAGTTAGAAGTCAACCTCAAGCAACCGTGTCTTCCTCAGCCAAAAGATTCAATATTCTTAAGGGACACACCCCACAAACTGGTCAAGACAGTGAATAGGAAGATCACATTAATCATGCTCGACAAAATGCTCCAGGCTCTGAATGCTGCAACCCACAAAACAACTGGACAAAACAATCGTGTTGGCGTTGCAGCACCAAAATTCAAGAGGTTTGCATTTCTGATGATCCGGCTCCGCAAGGCTCGTGATGAAATAGTTCTTGCCATTGACCATGGTGCATATGAGAACTGGAGTGAAGCATTTGCAAAGGCCCGTCCAATTCCAACTGACACCTTCAGCTTGTTCAAAATGAGATCCGATGTGTATGTATACGTATGTGTGTGATAATCAAAAAGGAATTGTGTACTGTATATTATAAATGTATTTTATATATATATTACATGTCCTCCGGCCTCAAGCTAAAAGAAACAATAGCAAAATAGTTAATCCTCTTTCCCGAGGCGCCCTTGACTTCTAGGATCTCCAGATTAGGATCATGACGTCCATAATTGTTCCAAAAAAGCATGTAAGAGAGCCCCTCTGCGTGCGACAAATTCATGGGCAAAGGCGCACCCACTGGGGTAAAGATACCCTCGATGCGCTCTTGCAGGTCCAAGACATCTTGCATCGTTGTCACTTCCGCCAAGGCAACACTTCGGGAGAAGTTTACCGTCGCCGCAACGTTCGTCAACTTCAACCTCTTGGATGTCCTCTCACATCCAACGAATCCGGCCACGTCAATAAGGACCCGAAAGAAGCACGAAAGTGTTCGAAAAGTCCGAGACAAAAAGAACTGAAGACTCAGAAAACTTCTCTGCTTCCTAAGGCTCCGAGGCAACTGCCACAAAATCTTGGAAGGAGCTCTGGCTCTGGGCGAAGCGACGCCGCTCCAGCAGCTGCAGCTGTTCTTCGAAGCAGCTGCGCACTGGACTTGGAGGAAGTCCATCTGCTAGGACGTCCTCCCACGTCCAATGCTGGAAAATTGCCTGGGGGACCACTGTCACCAAAACATTCTAGAATATACCCCAAACGATTCTTATATAACACGACCGACCTAGCTGGACAAGGACCGTGACAAGGGGTGAACAAGCCAGGACTGAAAGTTGTTCTCAAGAGAGAACCCCAAAACAGTAAACTGAGAGGAAAATAAACTGGATGGCCCCTATCACTTTGAGCTTTGGTTTTGGTTACGCAGCTGCCTGCTGCTTTGACACGTTGTCCACATGTGCTGCCATCTTTGTCTCATCAAAGTCAACCCTCTCGTTGGCAGTCTTGAAGGCGGGCAGTGTGAGGTATTCCTCTGGGCGCTTGGATTTTCCATGCTCCAAGTACTCTGCTACATTGAAGACCGTGTGCAAGGCAGTCACACCATCGTAGTTCGTCAAACATGTGGTGGATCGAAGGAAGAGGCTATCCGCTTTCTCGGACTGCACGATCTGAATGACCAAGGGTCTAGAGAACCAAGTGGGCGAAATCGGCATGGCATTCACCAGGTTGAAATTGGTGCCCGGCAAGGTGACGTTCTCCAATGCCCAGTCATGTTCGGCCACTGCGCCCACCGTCTGGCTGATGGCCTGGATGGCTTTGGGCAAATCCTGCTCGGTCACGTCGAGTGTTCCATGCACCTGCAGCTCAACGGTGTGGACCAAGCATAGCTTGGTGTCTGAACTGTAGGCCATGGCTAACCGGCGGCTAACCCCTTCCTTAAGCCCGGCAGGCTTCACGAATAATGTTGGATCCTTCAGCTGTTCTCTGACAGTGGACATCCCCAATCAGAAGCAGGTCCAACAGAATACGATAGCTCCGAAATCCCCTCAGTCTCGAACATGATAAATATATATATATAATATGTATGTGTGTGTGTGTGTGTGTCTGAGGTGGGCACATAAACTTACATGTTCATCTTGAAAACATGTTATCACAAAACATCACATCATTCTGAAGTCACTGGACCCATGCCAGGATGAGTAGACCAGTCAACATCTCATGTTCGAAGCTGTCTTTTCCTCGGCGGGGAAGGGAGAGGGACGCCGCCGTTCCGGCGCTGCAGGGCTCTGAAAAGCACTCATCAGTGAGCTTGAGCTTGACACCCCCAGAACTTCCATGAGATGTTGAGCTTCGACTTGCGCATTGTCTACAGAGCTGTAGGTCTCCACCAGTGCCTCGTGAACGCTGGACCCGAGTTTTCACCCTGGTTTCCAACTGATAGACACTCACCGCAATACTCATGAAGGTGGATGGCATAGGCCCCCAAACGGCCCTTTTTCTCTACCAACACGTGGTCTCTTCCACTTCCATGTGAATGACTCGGAGAGTAGAGACAGACACCAACTGCCCAACTGACTCGCGAGTTCCAACTGACCAGGATTCCTCCTCCCTCGGAACGCACCATCTTCCTCACCCGAGTTTTCAGGACGTTCTGGAGAATTCGTGAACCCCTTGGACCGGATCGAGCATGATTTGAAGTTCGAGTTGCAACGTAGGCCGTTGCATCCAGGCAGATCTCCAGCACCCCAGCAGACTTCACCAGCTCCGCCGCGCGGCGCCACAGCTGTCCGCGCGCGCAGGCGCGGAGGGCGAGGCCGAAGGTCTTCAGATTCGGTTTCAAGTGCTGGTCCTCTACGGCTCGACCGATCGGTCGGTGGATCAGTCAACGATGGATCGGTCGGTGGGTGTGGTCAGACATGCCATGGTCAAAACTCCTTTCGTATCCGGGGAGATGGTCATCCTACCTGACCCAAAAAGCGAATGCACCAAAGTTCCCCATTATGAACTACTATGAACCGTGGATGAAAATGAACTTGTAGCCCGATACAACCAAGTGGGCATCATGGCACAAGTTATACATAGAGGGCTTCTTCCCATCCCAGTTTCAAAAAAGGGTAGTGGCGCGTGGAGGCTGAAAAAAGCCCTTTGTGGCACTATGTAGCGCTTCAAAGCGAGGAACCTCCCACACATGTTGCCCCTAACATCAAACAAGTGTGAATGGAGAGTCATTGAACTGTCTTTGTTGCTTCGAAACAAATCGCTTGAATTGGAGGCATTCTCACCTTGGAACCACGAACTGCCACCTTAAACATATGGTCGTCTTGTGCCTTCATTTCGTCCAGGAAGATTAGCGTCAAAGGCCACTCCGTAGGTGTGTCGCATGAGCTGCAAACGGCATTGAAGGCAAAGGTATCAGGCCGAATTCCAGCCAGGCACATCCCACTGAACAAGTGGAATGCCCACTGCCAGTGGCCCGCAGCAGCACATGTGCTCACTGCTGCACTTGACGCCATGACATCTAGCCTAAGCTTCGTAGCCACTGCCTCCGCAAATAAGTGCAAAGCCCACGTCCACTTCTGAGACTTTTCGCACGCGCTTAGCGCTGCTGAACAGGAGATCACATCTGGCCGCCCGCGAGAGAAGAGTGTCAGTGCCATCGACCACTGCTTCCCCTTAGCACAGGCAGTGATGGCCGTTGTATACATGAAGTGATCCGCGAAATGATCTTCCACCGCCCTGTCCAGCAGCTCCAAGGCATGCGCCCACTTCGATCCCCTCTCGCACGCACCCATCACTGCACTGAGCATGTAGCAATCCACCTGTCCTGCCTCCGCCAGCAGTTGCACTGCGGTGACCCAGCAGGTTGCAGCCTCACAAACACGCAGCACCGCCGCAGAGGTGTCGTGGGCGAGTGGCCTGGAAGAATGAAGAGTGGCGTGGGACACCAACACATGAAAGCGCACACGAAAGAAGGAAAGAATGGAAGAATGAATGAATTTATATAAAAGCGCAACCATATTTTTGTCTGGTTCTGTTTTTCCAGAGTGACTTGGGCGGGTTTGAAAGAGTCCCCGCGGACTTGTTTCGGGAGCAGTGCCGATGGGCCTAGTGTCGCTAGAGAAGGCATCTTGCATCAGCTGCAGGGCCAGCTGCCAATTGGCACTGCTGGTGAAGGACCTTAATACGATGTTGATGGTGATCCGGTTTGGCAACACTGCCTCGGTGCGCATGACCTTCAACTGGTTCAGGGCCATCTGCCACTGGCTCCCAGTAGCGCACACACGGATCAAGGAGCTGTGCGTAATGACGTTGGGTCGCAACTCTGCATCCAACATCTGTTGCAAGGCGTTCACCGCGGCTGGCCACGAATTCTCACATGAATCGATCAATGAGCTGAAGGAGATCTCATCTGCTTGAGCTTTTTGCCGACCCATCCGTGCCAAAAGCTCAATGGCCGCCTCCCATCGCCCAGCACGTTCGCAGGCACCCAGTGCACAGTTGAAGCTGTAAGTGCTAACCCCCAACTGGCATTGAATCTCGGACAGCAGCGCCAGTGACAGGTCCCAACGAAAGCCACGACCAGTAGCACTGATCAAGGTGTTCCATGTGACCTGGACTCTCAAAAGATGGCCGGGAGCTTCAGAAGAGTTTAGAGTGGAGGAGTGGAGGATGAAAGGTCAAAAAGTCCAAAAGGCAGTAGCAAGAAGCTGCTAGTAACAAGGTGCATCGCTCGTAACTAAGTGCCTTACTACTACTAGTGGCACGAAGCTACTAGCATACAAAGGGAACATAGACATATAATAACATGACTTAACAAATCCGACCCATAAAGCCCACACGGCTTCCTCGTTCCTGTAGGCTCCGCTGCCCTAAAAGCCCTGGCCTCATCGGGTACGAGGCCTCGCTTCGTCAGGGCATCCAGGAGCGAAGAGGCCCAAGGCCACGCACCATCGCGTTCACAGGCGGCCATCACACGGTTGTAGACGATCAGATCTGGTTGTAGACGGCCACCATGGCACAAGGCACAGTGCAACAAGGCCACGGCGGCCCGCCAGCTGGACCTCTTGCCCAAGGCACCGATCACGATCCCCAACTCTTTCGGTGTTCGGATGGCGTCAATCAGGTCCAACCACCGAAGACGGTCCAACTTTCGCTGGGGGAGCTTCTCCAACTCAGCCAGGAGCGCTGGAAAGCTCTGAAACCTTCCCATTCATCGCTTCTCTGCCGAAATCGGCTGTTTCCAAGCGCCTCTATCTCGTCGCCAAGCTCCCTCGTTGTGGCAAATTGAGGAGGAGCACGAGAGGGGCGCATGCAAGCGATCGATGGTTTGAAGCACCAGGCAAGCATTGGAACATGGCGGTGCTTCAAACCCGCAACTACCCGGTGCCACAACCCACCTTGGAGAGGAAAATCAGGAGATGTTTGCGGCTCAGGCGTCGAAAAGAAGGCGTCCCGAAAAGACTGTGGAGATCTGTGCGGTCAATGAACTGACAGAACAGAAAGAAAAATCATGCATAATCCAGCTGTCCTTGGCTCTTTTTGAAGCCATCTGGGGCTGCCTGGAAACAAAACCACCCCCCCAGCCAGCCAAATGGATGCCAATGAACCCCTTCCTTACAAAACCATGGGTTTTCCAGTCCAGTCTCCAAGGTCCATTCCAACCTCCTCCCATGGCTTCTTAAAGGCTTCAACTATGGCTCCAACCTGTACTTCACCACTGGCTCGGGCGGCCTGAAAGGCATGCATGAGCACCTCGAGCTGCATGCGCTCGCTCAAGCCCTTGGCACCCTCGAGGCCTCGGGCTCTTGAAACCTCTCTGCTCAGACCGAAACCACGAAACGAGAGGAAAGCCGAACCGCCTTCCAATCCAAGACCATTGAAGGAAAGATTGACCCGGCTTTGCAGTATCAAATCCATAGTCAAACCAGGGTTCTTTGGTAAAGGCTATTAAATCAATGGTGTTTGGAAGCCTAGGGCAAAGGCCACAGAGCCTTTTGGCAATGAAAACGAAAGGGATTCAATTAGCCACTGAGCAGGCGATCATCAAAGTGAAGCCTTCGCAATTAAAAAACGGGAAGAGAATGGCTCAGTGTGTCTTGGACATCATGTTGCTAACATCCTGCCAAAAAAGATACTGTGATCGCGTTGGCAGCTGCTTCTCCAAGCTGCACGCTGCGAAGGACTTCACCACCTGTGGTAAAGAAGGCGGCGCAGGTTCAGAGTCAACTCTTCGGCCCGGCTGCGCCTATTGCCCTAACATGCCGTAGTAAGCAAGTGGGTTAGGAATATGTTGTTTTGTTACTTGGGTGCGCCCCTGGGCATTTGAACCCTTGGTTTTTGCCTGAATCAATATGACTCGCTTGGCAAAATCAACACCGAAATGGATCCAAACGCCCTGTGACTGATCGAATTCTGTTCGATCTCTCCCAGGGCGAACGGTGTCGTTGCCGTGTTCCGACGGCATTCACCACCCAATGCCACCGAAAACACGCAGGTTTGCTACCAGAGAGCCCTGGAAAGTGGTGGCATGGAGGCACTTTCCAAGTGTTTCATTTGAAGACACTTGAGGACAAACACCACCGGAACCCTGTGCCTCCAAGTCTCTCCTCCAAGTTTCGTGAGGAAACTTTCTCGTGGTCTGAATTGCTTAAACGGAAAGACCTCAGGACATCCTAGTGTCCTAGTGCCATTGCAACAAATCACACCCCAAGTGGGACAACTCCTGATACGTCCCACATACACTGGTCAACGCCGTCTCCGCCGTCTCCGCGGTCTCCGAGCGCCTCCGCGATGGGCACGCGATGGGGAAAGCCCTGCCCCACGACCTGCAGCAGTTCGGGCACGCCTTGCGCCCGCAGCTGCCGCGCCAAGAAGCTTCGGTCCAGGTACTCGCCACTCTGCTCCTCGAAGTTACACCAGGCGAAAATCACCCCCAACACACACCTGTAGAGATACAAGTATGACGTATGTGTTTCAGAGAAGAGCTAATCCAAAGACCGCCCCTTCTCTTCCCAACGGGGCCGGTGTTGATGTTGCAAGAGAAAAGGCCCGGAAGAATGCCCAGTGATTCACCTGCTGGTGTTTGGGGGCCTGTCGCCAATCAATCAGTCAATCAATCCATCCATCCATCCAATCCAATCGAATCCAATCCAACCCAACACAACCCAATCCAATCCAATCCAATCAAATCAATCAATCAATCACCTTGACTGACTGCGCGATGTCTTTCGGAGCATGTGTTTTCATCTGTTGGGCCCATTGCTACTATTGCACAGTATAATATTACATATACAGTGCACAATAAATTGTATACTTTTATTGCTGGGAGCATGCCCTTCTGAATTCTTCCCCAAGTCCTTGTTGGGGCGGAAGCAGCGGATGAAGTGCAAGCCATGCGTGTTCTGCAGCTTCATCAGCAAGGCACTGAGATCTGTGCGATGCTTCTTGTTCACCTAGGCTGCAGGCGACCGACCGACCGACGTGGCACCAGGCGCCACGTAACACACGTTGGAGCCTCTCGAGCCCAAGCGTTCTCGGAGATCCCATTAAAGTACCTGGCTTTTGGAGGATGGGGGAGGGGATCTTCGAGGCTTCCCCAGTTCGAAGCCTGGCAAAGGCGGTGGGTTTTTTTCCCAGCGCTGCACGGAAAGCCCCAGTCTCAGTCTACGATGCGGAAAGAAAGAGATATGGCTCATATGTCTTGCCAGCCTGCCTGGCTGCGGTCCTTCTGTAGGTTCAAGCTCTTGACATTCCGTTCGTTGTGGTCTTTTGTCACTTCTGGTGGGTTCCAAAGCTTCCAAGGCGAGGTGCTGAGTGGCTCCTGAGGAGAGATGACCAGTTGCACGAAACAAAAAAGAAGCTTCAAATGACTCGTTCTTTCACTGCCATCACAAACGACTGGTCCATAGTCCGATGTCCATAGCATCAACTGGGTCTATACCACTCACCCCCCAGCTGATGATGATGGTTCTTGAACATTGTTGAACTATCCAACAAGTGACTTCGGCATGATGGAACAAGTCTTGAAAATCCTGAATCTATCAATGAAACCTATCCGTGGGGCGACCACGTACATTCAATGACAATCCAAGCTGAGTTACCAACCTGGAACCAGAAAGCCCACATGCTCAAGACCAACAAGTGCCACATGATGGTCCCTGTCTTACACATGCTCTTCGCCGGAATGGTCGTGTGTCTCTTCGGCCCTAACATCGAATCAGAACCCGCTGCTTCCACTGCTTCGCTGCAATCTTCCGTCTCAAAACCCTGCCCTCGCTTCTTTGGGTGGACACCTTCTTCACTGCCTACAAGGAGAAAAAAAACGTGCTTGAAAGAAAGCCATCCTCACAACTGCTTAAAAATTCTTAAAACCACCTGATGCGTCAAGCGCCAATGATTTTCAACAACATAACATACCTCACCCTGTCTAAGGGCACTACCCCACCACTCCACCCCATCTCCCACCTTACCTTCATCTATCCTCAGATCTCCTCTTCGGCTGCTGTGGGCAAAGCCACCGGCGCTGCCCGCAGCTCAGCAGTTCCAGGACCTCCGGCTGAACCTTCGCGTCATTCGCATCCAGCCAGCCGCTGCAGCGGTAGGCCACCTAGATACCGTCGTGTTTCAGCTCCGAGGGGGGCGGAAGCCAAAGGAAAGGAGGGAAGCTCCGAGTCTGAAACTGACAGGTGGGGACGTGTGGAGCAAACAGCTAACCTGGTTTTCAGCAGTTGAAGACTCCAATACTGGTGCTTCAAAGATCTGGAGAGATCTCAAGATCGCATGACCACAAAAATCAATTATCTATACTACTGTGTAGTGACGTAGGCCTCCGGAATCGCCATGTATGTTCGACAAGTCCTAAGTTACGAGTCAGTAGTAGAGTTCTTGCTGGTGGGTGACAGATGTGACAGTCATGGATGAGCAGCAGTTGGATCCTAGCCATTGTAAGTTGACCCGGCCCTGCTTCCGAAGTTGCTGCCCCTGGCTTCTGAGATAGCTTGAAGCTGCCATCCGTTGAACACATGACATCACCAAGAGCATCCAAGAGCCAAGTGAGCCAAGCCACCTCCCCAGCATAGTGCCGCACAGCAAACCCCGGCGCCACCGCACTGCGCAGCACGGATCGACCCCGCGCGCGCGGGGATCCGGCGACGGCCCGCGCGAAGGCCTCGTCGGAGAGGTCGCCTGGGTACCGGGGAGAGCATGAGAAGGCAGGACAGAATGAGCATCCTGTGCAATGAATCCTTAGGGGGGAGGTCTTCCCTAGGTTGGAGGCCATTGCTATTAGGGGGAGGATGGGGGGAGGCCATTGCTATGACTCATCAGTGAGGAGTTGACCAGCGGATGGCTTCAACTCGCCCGGCAAGTCCGCAAGTTCCACCCCCAAGGCTAAGAGCCTCCGGCACGCAGGCGCCGCAGCGTCCAATCATCCAGCACATCCAGGATACCATCCAAGGTCGTGAGGACCTTGTCTCAAGGAACTTTGGTGCGATGGATACTCATTCACACCATGGACACATGCATGTACATTGAACCCATGTCCGGCTCTGCGATGTGCCTCCTGGAGTTGATGAATGTTTGTGCATCATCCATTACACGTATGAAGTCTGCATCACCCATTCTGAAGTAGGATTTGTTTGTTCCCTTTGTGAATCAGATCAGGCCTTTTCCCAATCCGACTATGTCCAATTGCAGGCTCCCAAGTCCATCTCTCCTTTCGGCCCTTTCCCTTCCGCCCTTCCCGTCCTTCCATCACCAAGCAACGGCCTGCCCATCATGCGACGGGGCTGGCAGATCCTCAAACAGAAGACCTTCTGAGAGGTAGGCCTCCTGCAAGGGATCATTGTCACAAAGCCATGCATGTAGGACTCTTCCCATCTAGGAGTAGGTCACTCCACCAAATGGTTAGGATATGGCGAGCCTGAGGCCATTGAGATGCTGATTCCCATGCTCTTGAAGTCTTGAACACACTGCGGTCAGACGGTCAGCAAGAAAACTCGCCTGTTCTTTGACCAAGACCTGGTGGCAAAAGAGCAGCTGTAAGCGCTCGTTGGTGTAGTTGATGAGAAGCCTCACCGCTTGTTCTGACCGACCCACACCAGTCAGCCCATGCTCACCCTGAAATTTCTTGTGCCCATCCATCCTGATTACGTCCCAACCTCTTACCCATCTCATTCTCTTCCAGGGACCCCCCATAATCCTTTGCCCAGCATCACCTTCTTAGAAATTGCAGTCCAAGTGGCTGCTCCAGCCGATTCACCCCCAAATCCTCGAAGCCGTACATGTCCAACACCCCCAGCGCATTCCCTGCGGCATGCGGCGCGGCATGCGGCGCTGGCTCTGTCTGTCCGTGGGCCCTGCCGTCGGCATTCATGGCATCCACGGTGTGGTGGAAGAGCTGGCGATAAATGGTCACCGCCAAGCCCCGCAGCAAGCCTTGGGAGGAAGATGGAAATGTCTCGGGCAAATGGTACAGGTGCGAACCATCTGGAGGAATTCTACCGGCATCATCTGAGAAATGTCTGGGAACATGTGTTCAAGAAAGAGCGTACCAGACCCCTTACTCTGCGCAAGTTGCTTGGATTGCTTGAACACTTCTCGGACTCCTCATAACTCTGCCCAACTTCCCACTCTGCTCATACTGCTGCGCACGCGCACCTCGCGACTGCTCCGGGCTCCTGGGAAGCAGTAGCGTACCCTCCTTGGGCACTTCCAGGCGTTTGTTCTCCAAGTGGGACTTCAACATGGAGAAGTCCAGGCCTCGCATGAGGCCACCGGCGACCAGTCGCCACTGACGCGACGCGGCACGGCGCGAAACCGCACGCACCTAGGAGTTGGCTGGCGTTCTCCAGGCACATCTCGAGGCCACTGGGATGCTGCAAGTGGCGCAGGAGGTGGAGTAGCCCTGCGACCACCTGCGGTCGGCATGGTCGGGGCTCGGTCCTGAGGTGCATCCCTTGGTCTGGAGATGGACTTGTGCGGAAAGCCATGCATGATCATGCTACCTCCAGCCACCCAGGCCATCAACAGGACAGACCATGCCAAACAAAAGTGAAGCTTCATAGGAACCCCTCGCTGTGAGAACTCCAAGAGATCTCAATCTTCTAGTCACCTCCCCAAGTAAAGCCTCCAAATCCTCTCCAAGACTCTCCAAATCAATAGATCAGATACAAGTACAGTATTGAAACCAACAGCTCTTTCTTTTGTCACCTGCCCCCTGAGGTGCCCCACCTCCAGAATCTCCTCACACATCTGCTGCAAGCCTAGCTGTGTCATAGCCATCCTCAACTCCTGCAGACCATCCGCGCCGCGCCCCGCCGGCGCCAGCGCGCCCGCGCGCGATAACGCGCCCGCGGGTGCCAGATCGGTGAGCTGCCAGCTGCTCAGCTGGGCGGGTCCTGGAAAGGAAGGATGAGGCGGATTGTGCAGCACGACACCTAGCACCAAACATTGCCGAAAAGTTGTTGGTTAAGTTAGCAGTTCTATAACTATAGAAACAGTTAAAAATTGCGTGTGTATGTCATATATGTCCAGTGTATCTCATATCATATTGTCTATATATATTTACAGTATATATATATATATATATCGTTTCCCTTCCAGCCAGTCACTTTAGGGCAAGTGCACTAGGCACTAGTCTGAGAACTCCGCAATGACCGCTGACACCGGTACCGCTCGCCCTACCGTAAGCTCGCTCGCTCTCCTGCCATCGAGAGCTCCTGGAAGATGTGGAAGTTGGAGGCCTTCAAATCCACCACACGACTGGCCTCCAGGAGGTACGTCGTGATCTCCGCCGACAAGCCACTCCTGGAGGAGTAGAAAGGAGCGTTGGACGGATGACAGGGGGATGACTCGTTGGCGATGAAGGGTTTGCGGAGGATCTTTAAGATTTGAAGACGCATGGAAATGAGGCGGTTGGGAAAATGAGTCTGCCACTACCAATTGTCTTGACAGGACAGGATAGGCTCCCTTTGCAAATGGCTACTGGTCCCGTTACATGTTCCATCATGTTCCTATACATTCCACCCCCATCTCGGCCCCAAACGCCACGTGCCCGGCCGCAAAGGCACCGACCGGTTCTTCCCACCACCCCCCGACCGGTCTGGCCGGGCGAGACCGTGGGCTCCGTCCTGGTCTGGCGCAGTCGCAGGAACTTTCCGAAGCGAGAGCTGGTGGGGTTCTGCTGGGTCGAGGCATGGCCAAGGGACTCCAGCACCTCGGCGGCTTGGGGAAAAGAGCTGCATCCGTGCGTCTGACCCTGCGAGGATGCCCCGACTCCGGCTTGCAGTTGGAAAGGTTCACTAAGTAGATCCCGACCAGAGAGAACCAAACTTGGAGTGGACGATCAAATTTGCTTCTTGTCAGTTGTCTTTCACCCCGTTCTTGCCGTTCCTCTCCTTCTTGCCACGTCACTCGGTTCATCGCCGACACCCGCTCTTCCAGCCGCGCCCCCGGTCGATGAGACACCGCGGTGGCCGAGGCTCTTTCCAGGAAACCTGGGCGATGATGGGCCTGGTGGGCCTGGCCACCAAAAAACAGCTCTTCGGGGCTGATTGGTGAGGAAAACTGCTCATTTGGCATCTTGGCGGCTCTGAAATTCGTGTTTTGTCTTGCTGCTTTTTTGTTCCCAACATCGCCCAACTCTAGGAAGATGAGTTACACATCTGCCTGACATCCAGGGAGCCACGAAAAGATCTAGCTCTCCTTTCTGCCACCACATTTCACCTGGCCACCACTGCCTCAGGCTCCAGGGAGCAGTTGTAACTCCGGCGAGCCTTCGCAATGAGGAAAGGAGTGACAGTCACTCATCGGCCAAGCAGCGGAGGATGATCTTGGCTGTCTCCGTCTTCCCCGCACCGCTCTCCCCGCTGATGATGATGGCCTCGATCGGAAAAGCGCTGAAGCTGCTTGCGTGTCTCCACAAATCTATGGAAGCACCAAGGAGGACTTATATACATGATGATCGTGTAGAACACCCCAGACAAGGTCCGAGAGAACACCGGAAGTTCTCATCTGCTTCTCTTTCTTTCGAAAAGGATCTCTTCACATCCAGCATCCAAACTCAAAAATGCTCGCCGCAGCTCTTGCTGCGCCCTCACCGCCTGCTCTCCCCGCTGGAGCCGCTGCAAGGCCAGCTGCGCTACACTGTAGGGGTGTGGCCCACGAAGCTTCACGGGCTGCCTCTGAAGCTTCGAGGGGCAACTTTCCTCCCCTCCGCCCCCTTCAAGGTGCCTCTTCATGTGCCATGGGTGCGAGGACAAAAGGTGGTCAGTGGGTGTGCATCAGAGCCGCTTAGCGGGTCCTGGTTGAAGTTGATTCCAGGATGAGTCGGAAGAAAACATGTTGCACGAGCAAGCCCGCCATCCCCATCACGCACCAACAAATTGACCCGTTCCTACTAGCTACTACCATGCTCAGCCCACCACAGATGGAGCACATTGGCCAACCCTGTAACTCTCTCACGCGCGTGGCTTCGGACGAGGGTCTGTATCACCTGCTGGCCGTAGAGCTGTGGCAGCTGCCGATGGGGGTTGATGGCCAGCAACACGTGTGAGACTTTTGTGTAGATCCTGCCTGTGGACATGGGCAACAGCAACGAGCAGCAATGCGCTGCGGGGATCAGCTTGGCATTTTGCACTCCAGTGCTAGGTCCTAGACAAATGCCTTGAGTGCAAAATGATTCAGCTCACCAATACCATCGTGTTTCCCCCCATCATGACTCGAAGCCCAGCTGAACTGATCATCAAGATCCTGGATAATCTCCCAACTCCCAACCCACCAAATACAAGGGAAGGGTAAAGAAGCAAAACACAGCAAGGAATCTACATCTAAAACGAACCTGTGGGGTGTGGTTTTCTGCATTGGTTTGAGGCCACCTGGCCCATGTCCTGATCCAAAACGGTGCCTTGGCGGTATCGCTGCCAGAGGTTCTCCAGCAGATGGGACTCATCAGGAGACCTCAGGTGTGAGGTCTCAACCCCAACCAACCACAAATTACTTCGGATGAATGGTCCGAAACCTTCGCTCCGAATCCTCGAAACCTTCGCTCCGCGCTCGCTGTTTTCCGAATCAAGCCACGTCCAGGAGCGGCCGGGAGCGAACAATCGGTGGCGGAAAATGTGGGGTTGGTACTAGGCATCTATATAGGCATATATCTATATATATATTATATATATATATTATAGCTACACATATTATATATTTGATATATTATATTTTATATATTTTTATATGCACACGCAAAACTAAACGGCTTGTGAGGAGTATCCAAAACATATCATCCGATAGCTGTCCAGTCCATTGGCGATCGCTTGTCACTGCACCGATCTGCGAAGGAGAACGGGTTATGGGGTTGTGGGATGCATTTTCAAGGCCCATCTAGGACTTGGGAGTCCTGTGCCCCTGTGTTCTGTGAACCTAGTAATCCACCAATACCAAGCCCACTTCGCTTAAAGGTCGAATTGGCCATGAAAAGAGCCTACGAAGGTAGCACAGAAGGCACCTCAGTCACCAAATGCCTTCAGTGATAACCTGTTTCTGCCTTTCTGCTTGTGAGGAGCCTCTGTTTCTTCAGTTCTTGCGCCCGCTTGCGCCCGAGAAAGCGCCCGCTTGCACCCTGTCCGCTCTCAAGTCCGGAAGCCAGACGGGATTTCTTCCCGCTAGCGGGGGCAATATGACAATATCCCGCGAGCGGGGCTTCCAAATTGGTGCACCTAAAGTCCTAAAGACTGTGAAATTCTGCTTTCCAAGTGTTAGGTACTTGAAAGAGGAGAGTGTTAGTTTTTGTTGTTGGTCTTCTATCAAGATAAGTTCCCCACTTCGCAAGAACCCCTTCTCGCCCCCACTGACAAGACCATCCCAGGCACGGCAGCTCCGCGCAATCCTCCACGCCGCTCGCGCCGCTTTTGTTCGTCGGCTCCGGCGGTTCGTCGGGTCGAGAAACCAGGGAGGGCTTCACCTCGATAGGATGGGAAGCATCAAATCACCAGGAAGGCCAAATGAGCAAGCACAAACCCACAAGTCCATGGCATGATGACTCTGTAGATGGAGATTTGATGCACCTCATGCACGCCTGGCCGGATGATGGTGCCATGCATTTTAATTTAAAAAAGGTGGAAATCTCAGGTGTGGCGCTTCACAGCTTGAAAACACATTTGTCAAAGGATGGCTTGTTCCTTTTACACATCTGGAACCTCACACATGACATATGATGATAGAACGGAATGGCATAAGAAAGGCGCTTTATCTGGACCAACAGTTCTTTCCACATTGCCCCAAGGATAAAAATTGTCACTTCTCCATCCAGCCTCCGTCAGGCAAGTTTGGGTCGAAGTCCAATGCATAGTCTGCATTATCTTCCAGGAAACTTTTGTTGGCGTGCCAGTCTTTTTGCAAACAAATAATATGTACACCTGTTGCACGCCATGTATGCATAATACATATATAGCATACACTTCATGTTGCTCTAGGGGGGCCAAGCACAGCATAAATGCGATGGCGAAAGAAACCTCCATCACTGAGTTAGGCAAACAACTATGAGTCTTAAGAGATGATTTGATATGATACGTCTCACCGCCCGCAACAATTTGAGAGGGCCAAACTTGTTTCTTACAGAAAAGCGTTGTCCTCTACATGCCAACGGTAGAAGCAAAACGTGTGCTCAATAGGTGGGCTGTATAGATCTTAGACACTTAGAATGTCAATTGGCTAGGATTCCCCTCAAAGGGCCTTGCAGCACCCCATCTCCTGACACAAAAGCCGAGATGCTTCTGCAGGGTGCGGCGTGCGCATGCTCATCGGCTCACGGCTCGCATCGTCCCCAACCCATTGAAGTTGGTGATGCGACGTTCCGGTGGTAGCAGAAAGCTTCCAAGCCTGCTGAGGTTCTGAGGTTCATGTGTTGCCGGCCGTTGCACGCAGGTTCAATCCGTTGTGAGCGGGTCCGCGGACCACCAATGCAAGAAAGAGCTCTCCGTGTGGTAGGAGAACCGATTTTAGACCACCAACCCCTTGGAACGATGCGCCGACCATTCCAACACCATCCAACACCGAAGCATTGTACAGCCCATCATTCCCCGTCCAAATTTGATTCGTGGGCTTTCAGTCTCTTACTTCTCAATCTTCCGTAGCTGCAAACCTTTTGCTCTGTGCCATGCTATGCCCCTAAGCATCACAGCTGACTCAGCCAAACGGCCTGAGGATGTGCAAATTACCAGAACAACCTGCAAGTCAAAGCAACTTGCCATGGACCAATGCTACGAGGGTCAGCTTGACGGCACGCAAGATAGGCATCTCACATGGCATGGTACCGTGCACATGTATCAATGTGTTGCTGCACCGTCGGACCTCGTTCAAAGGCTCTGCAGGTGAAGTGAGGTGCTACAATGATGATTCTACAATCATCCTTTTTTGATTACAGTAGCATATGAGCATATGCGCATTCAAAAGATCGACAAGGCCACAATGATCACAATGGTAGGTTTTGCATGCAATGCAGGGAGGCCATGAATGTCGGATTGGGAATACTGTCCAGCACCTTCCCTGTACACAAAAAAACGAGTTGCACAAGCGGGGTTCGGGGCTCTCCTCCAGCCAGTGGTTTCTACAAGGAAAAAAGGGCCCAGTCCGGTGAAGAAGGTCCTCCTTGTAGCCGCAAGCCATCTCCCCCCAGGGCCCCATCATTCAGCACACCTCCTTAAAACATTACGACGGTGGCGGCCCCTCCGTTTCACCACGCCTTATCAAAGCGTTGCCGCATCGCATAGCTCGCCGACCGGTTCGACAGGAGGACCTCACCGGACCGGAAAAACGTCACCAGAGGCCCTGGGTGGAACCCCACCCTGCCCTGGGTGGATGGATACCCCTTGCGAACTGGCAGTTTCGACTGGGTGAAAACTATGTTGGCCGGTGGGACAATGACCTATTGCGTATGACTACACTCCAGGCACAATCGGACCATGCTTGATTGAACATGTATGAAAATGTTGTCTTGATGACACCACACCCGCCCGCATGTGCCAGGCGCCCGAGCTGCATCCGGCATGATCTCCAAGGCTTCAGAGTACCATTCCTCGGTTTTGGGATTGTTCATGCGCACCGGTGGGATATGCTGGATGGGATCATATGCTTGGTCTGCACGGGCTTCGGGGGCTACGTGACTGCATCCATCCAGGCGCCCGAGCAGTGGCACTTTGGAAGTTTCGGCCAGCATAGGCCTCGCGTATTTGGAACAACTGTCAGCAAGTGACAAACAGCCCAGGAACGAATGGACACCCTGCAGGTCAGTGACCTCATTTTACTGGACGCGGTCATGCCCAAACACAACATAAGGAGGTCAAAGACCAGGATTTACTGGGTCAGGGGCAACAGAATGCCAAGGCAGAAAGGACGGTGAGTTGGCCGGCCAACCTCTTCCTTCAACCCTTTTCGCAGTTCTCTTGCCGCGATGTCGGCCACAATTATAGAGCTTCTACGGAGATTGATACTCAAAATGTACAGCAACCTCTGCAAAATTAAAAGGAGTCCAAAACGCCCTGTGCACATTGCAGGCATGCAACTAGCTGTGGTCCACAAGAGTTGAAATAGCGCAGACTGAAGCACACCCACCAACACCATCCAACACCACTGCGCTCACGAAAGTGTGTTCGTTGCCGCCGCTTCTTTTAGCCCCTTGCTGTTCAAGTCTTGCACAAGGGCATCGCTGCAAAAGATAATGTTCTAGGCAGCATCCCGGTGGCTGGCCCGCTTAAAACTTGAGGCTAGGCATTAGACAAGGTTGATCTCAAACTGTCTTGGGTGCTGGATTGTGGAGTTGTGTCGCATGCGCACTGAAGCAGTCCCAAAGCTTGACGATGGAAATTGAGGCTATTGTGAAGGTGTTTCTTGGCCAAGCCAGCCCAAGAACCTCTCTGAAATCATCCACCTCCCCATTGCCCATGGGGACCTCGAGCTCAAACATTGGGGGTTTAGGGGGTGGCTTCTTTCAGCTTTTCGAGACCCACCTGCTCAACCATACTGGAGATGTTGCTTTGCGTTGGAGGCCGTTTAGGTATAGGAAATAGGGACAACCCAACCAAGGGATCGGCTGCGTGTGGTGGAGTCTTTTTCCTAATAAAGGTACTGTCGCTACTTCTCGGGTGGCCACCGGCGGCAGCGCGTCACTGTACCCGCTGACTCGCGGACCTTCGCGCTGGCCGGCCCCAGTCGGAGCTGGGCAGTTCGCGGGGAGAAAGGCGCGAGGCTTCTAAAACGAGATTTGCTGCTTCCCTTGACTTATTTCAGGAATAAACAAGTGCTGCGCATATCTGCGCAGCTGATATACAAATATATATATGTGTGTGTGTTAGACATATGTATATTACTATGTGTGTATCCATATCCAGGAGAGCCATACTTCCAAGGGGAGTTTCGCAGACTCTGAGATCTGTTAGATCCAGTTTCAGCGTCTTGCAGCTTCAATCTCCACGAACTGCCACTCAGACCAGTGGGGGCCGGCCCCGGCTCTTGGAAAACGATGGGTGAGACGGGCCGGGGCAGTGGGCAGGGCGGAGCGGTGGTTGGATCCAGTGATGAGTCAAGACGTATCACCATAACCCTCACAGGATGTGTCGGTTGCTCGTCCCCCCCAAACGTTGTGGAAAACAACCTTCGGAAACACAGGCCACCGCTCCAACCCATTCCGAGTTGGTCAGAGAAGAGGCTGAAGGCTCACTTCCCCATCTTCACGGAGGCCATCAATGCTTCCTGCAAGGTTGCCTGGCACGCCCAACCCAGATCACACCTGGGTCCGACCTGGGTCCTTCAATTGGATGAGCAAACGAAAGCAAACATTTATTGGATCAATAATATAATATAATTGGTTGTTACCTCACCTCCGACTCCTCAGCCATCCATATATAATGCTTTGAGCCTTTGCGGCCCATCTTCCCCTCCGCGCATGGCATGGCCTTGGCCACCTCGCTGGTCATGGTCTGCGCGGAGCCTCCGGCCGCCAACGCTTTGGAGCCCTCCTGGCGGTGGAGAAAACCCGATGGAGGGCCCACCTTTTTCAGCCGTCTTCGGTTGCGAGGTGGTCTTCTTCATTTTCGTGGTCAGCGCACCCTCAGTGAGGGTGCTCCAGGTAATCATGATTGGTTAGGATCTCCGGTTTTTCAAGAACATTAAAGAATGCAGGAGTTGGTCCATCCAGAGTGTGGCGACCATGGCGAAGAACGACCCCAAACCAACTGCAAAATCTGTAAAGAGCCCAGTTATGCTCTCGCTTTGTTTGCTGAGGCCATGCTGATGCCATACCGAGCTGCGAAACTTGTTGGACGACGGCACGGCTCGGCAAAATACGGGGGCGCCCTGTCTTCCACTGCAGTCACGACGTTGCCGACCACGGCTTCTTTTGACACAAAAAGGCAAGGTGCTTTTCGGTCCTCTTGTCAGATCTAATCAGTGCCTTCCAATCGTCCCCAGTCCCACCCCCAGTCCCGCCCCCCCGCTATGAGCCTCGAAGAAGATCTGCCCCAAACGCTGTAGGGCTTGGGACCGACGCACTCGGATCTGCCAAGGCACCGACTTGTCCTGCGAGGCTCGCGAGCGGGACCCGGCTCCGGCGGCCCCGGGACCCGAAATGGGAAGCGCCGCGCGGTCGTTCGTTCGGAAGCGGTCTCAGTGGAGCGAAAGTGGTTCCATGTCTCCATCCAAAGCTTCAACTGACGGAAGTCGCACTTGAATCAACTGGACCACGCTCGAAGACTGAGAAAAATATCCGCAAAACCATCTGCGGCTGGTGCATCTGTCATCCAGTTCCTCTTTTTCTTGGCACTGCATTTTTCCGCTTCCTTGGCTTTGGGGTCCGTCTCTTCCATCAAAGCCCGACACCCCACGTAATGCTTGCAATAATTCCTCACCAGACCCTCACCAGCCGCTTCCCCCCCACCTTCACTGCACGGTCGCCTCCCCCCCAACGCCGTTCGTCCCGCGTGCCGTTTTGTCCCGCGCGGACACCCACGCTCCTTGAGCAGCTTTCGGCCCACCTCCTTCACGGTGGAATCGATGTCGGTCACCACTGCGGCCTTCGGCCACGCCACGGGGCGCCACCCGTTCTCGGGGTTCTCCAGCCGAGGATGGTTCCGTCGCAGGAACCGTCTCGCGATGCCGGGCCCAAAAAGGGTGGTGCAGTGTGTAATTAATCTTCTATGATCTTGGGCCAGTTCTGGCCACTGGATGCCACTTGCACCTGTGCATCCTGTGGCATTTAGATCTTTTCGTTCTTTTGTCGTGGGGTCATGGTGAAGACGGTGAAGACCCCATTTCGGAGAACTGTCTTGTGCGAACCCTTCGCTCATCCCCTGTACTGCATGTTTCGCCAAGTGGCCCAAGCAGTTTGGAGGAAAAGTGGAAGCGCTTGGTCCAGCGCTTGCTCCATCTGAGGCACGAGTCGTCGCGGACAAAAAGCGGCACTGGCCACAGCCATGCTTCAACTTGTTCTTGAGTCCAAAGAACCCTCACGCACACCAGAATACCCCCACCAAGCGCATTCATAATTCCCAAGACTTCAAAGCAAGCAATCCAGGACAAGAAAGGACAAACTCATGCTGCAGGGGGCTGGGAAAGTTGAAGTCATCCAGAAGTGCCTGCCGATGTTGGACAGCGCAGCCGTTGGGCTGGTCCTTACAAACTGAACTGGCCCCATAGTTGAACCCATCGGAAGTGGTCCTATCAGGTAACCCATCTGACTTGCACAACTGCACAACACTGTCCGACTAGTGGTTGCATGAATGCCCTCACGGCCAAAGCGATTACTGGACAACTATGGAACACCTATCCACTATCCACCCAAACCCTCCTTGAGAACCTCCCAACTTCACCATATTCAGTCCAGCTCTTTTGCCCCCCTGTCCCCTGCCCCGGCGCCTTCTCCTCGACGGCCTTCATCCTCGCCTGCTCCTCGGCCGATACCTCGCCCTCGGAGCTGGCGGTGGCCGCGGCGGGCTCCTCCTCGGGCGCGCCCGTCGGAGAAGAACGACCCCGCGCGCGCGAAGTAGACGCCGACCCTGGGCACCCATGCCGGCGGGGCTTTGGAGGCATCGTGGACCTTCTTCACTTGAAGCAGGCTGTTGACGCCGTTCCTGAGCGACCAGGATGGTTCCTGGAACAGCGGGAGGGGGTCCAAAGGCTTTACATCATCCGAATCCCTTTTGGATGGTTGTCACCCCAAAGTTTCCTTTGCACGGCTCAACTCGCATGTTCAAAGGTCTGATAGATAAGATATGGATTGCTGTGCGCTCATGTGTTGGTTGGCCTGTTTGACCCATTTATCCTACTCATGTGTTGGTCGAGGGTACAGACTAGCAGCTTAGCACCCACCGAGGCTGTATCCCAACCATAGAAGTCCAAAGACTATATTTGGCACCACCGAAGTAAAGGAAATTCCTTTTTTGGTTCATCTACAGGTTCTAAAAGACCATTTCCGGACTCCCAGCACATTTTCCACCCGTGCACACCGCCCCACCAACGCCCCCACCCACGGGGCCAGGCACGAGACCAAGCTGAACTTGTGCTGCATGGTCTTGCCTCACCGACGCGGCGGAGAACGCAGGTGCTTCTCTTTTTCATGGGCGGCGAAAGGAGGAGCGGCAACGCTATACGCAGCGGCGAAGTACGGCGTATGGGAGGAAAACTAGGTGCGGATCACCAGACAGTTGCATGCGCATGGGAACCGGTATATAATAACAAAAGGTGCACTCCCTAGAACTAACATGGCAGTGGAGAATGGCCCCGAAAGGAATACCATTTTCCTCTACAAACAGGGAAACCATCCACTTCCACGTTAGTTGGAGGGAGAGTAGACCAAGGACGCAAAAGGACGGAGAAATCCTCGGAACCTCCTAGCGTCACCTCCGGTCGTCGGGATTCCCTGTCGGTTCTGCGTCACCTCCGTTTTCGCGATGGGTGGAAAGAGCTGCACCAAAGAAAGTCACCAGGGCCGGAAAGGATCTTGTAACCTCCCGGGGAGCCTTGTCTGAATCTCTCTCGCTGCTTCGATGAGGACCTCCTCTACCGGGTTTAGGATGGACGGCCCAGTTTTCATGTGTGCATCGCTGTGAAGCAACACATCTCTGGCTCCAAACCGGGGGAAAAAACCGCCACCCGAACTCCAAGAAGAGCAACTTGAAGTATTACAACCTGGACCCCAGTCAGTGACTGGACACCCCTCAAACTCTTTTCGGGGCCTCTGATTCCCGCACCCGGAGAATCCGTGGTGCTGGAACATGAATACAGCATGATAACAAACTCGTTGGGTGATTTTGGGTGAAATCCCTCCTGAGACTACTACTACTACTACTACTACTACTACTACTACTACTGTGGGTCGCCCGTTCCCCCCGAGGGCCGAGATGGGCCGAGACGCCGGAGTGCTTGAAAGCTGCCTTGGGCGGTTGGGCAGCTCGGCTCGACACCGTAAAGCAAGGTGCACACAGAGCTCCTTGTGTTCGGTGCAAATGAATGCAAATGAGCTGCATGCCACACGGAACAGGTCTCCCATTAAAAGAGCCCTAAGCACCAAGGTGCCATCTGCTTGGTGAGTGAGAAGCGTCCAACCAGCTCATCGGCCAAGTAAATCTCTGCCCGCAGTTGGTACATCCTAGGTTGGCACAGTTGGGACGCCAGGGAGAAGGGGAAGCTGTGGAAATTAGAAAGGCTCAGTCACCATGAGAGACATTCTTACGTTACACGTTACTGTGCTGGTCAGGCAGCCTCTTCCGCAAGGCGGACCAATGAACCCAAAAAGATCTGGTCGAATTCAGCTGGTCCAATGATCCTCACATGGGTCTAATGAGGGCCAATTCGCCGCAAGAGCCCCTGCCTCCGCCTGGGTCGGACCCGGCTCCCCGGCGCGGCTCGCAGCCGTCCACCCCTCGGTGTGTTAAAGATCCTCCACCGAGGCACTCACCCAGGGATGCGAGAAGCTCAGGGCCTCGGCCGAGCCCACGGAAATAGATGCACCAAAAATATTGACTCTTGATTATATAATCCCCCCGCCCCAGACATGGATGGAATTCAAGGGGGGGTTAGTTAATCAAGAGTCTACATTAAAATCATTAAACCGCTGTCCTTCCCAACTCTTGCCAGACCATATGCCAGGCGTGACGGGCCTCCTCAACCTGCTCAAAAACTCTCCTCCATGGGTCAAACTCACGCCGCCACGCCGCTATACTACACGCCCCCTTTCGGCCGACGCCCAAACAGCGGGACGCATCTAATGTTGCCCAAGGAGCCGAACTGGCACTGTGCGAGGTCAGCGGCTTCCAAGCGCGCACGCCTTGTGCGACGCGGCGAGCGCCGCGTCTCTTGCTCCGCCCGCATGCAAGGCAGTTTGTGGAGCCACAGAGATCCTAGCATATATAGGGATCCCACCATCTCCAAATGGCCTCAGGTATTACAGTATTACATCGGAAGGCCTCAACAAACCAGGGATGGAGGACTTGTGTGCCACTTCCTGATCTCCCACATTCCTGTGCCAAGCATCTGCTCGAACTGCGCCAGGTCCCGCCTGCAATGCAAGGAAAGCCGGGTGCCAGTGAAAAACTGTGAGATCTCAACGTGGCCGAACCAAGCAGGGTAGCAAAATGGCTGTCTATACTCATTACATGCTAGTAAGGTTGTTCAAGTTTCACGCCAACCAAACGGGATCTGCACACAGGTGGTGCTGGTGCCGAAACCACCGGATTCGGTGCCAATCCAGCAGCACCGAAGGAGTGAACCAAGGTAGCACCGATTGAACACGCACCGACCAAATGGGAGGAGACCGTTTGGGGCGAGGCACGGCACGGCACGAGACACCAGGGGGCATGTCCTGGGTCGCTCTCGGGTGGTCAGACGAGGCCCGTTGGCCACCGACTGGGCCTTTGGTGCAAAGGGCCTCTCCAAAAAATAAGACTCTACCAACTACCATCAGGCGAGGTTTGATCAGCAAGGTCTACGAATGCCACGTTGGACTGTGCGGGTCGACGGTGCCGAGCGCGGAATCCCCTTCAAGTCGAGGGAGAGAGATCTCCGGACCAAAAAAAGGCCGCGGAACAGCGAGTGAGGCTTGGCGGTATAAAGCGTACAGGGCAGAGGCGACCGCCAACCCCCACAGCTTGGCCGACCTGTACACAAAGTCATTCATGAACTCCCGGAGGTGCACTGCGCAATGCACCTCAGGATGCGGCCAGGGTGTTCACCGGTTGGAATGGCTACTTAGGCTACTTCTGCTGGCATTGACCGTCGCCATACCCCAAAAGTCGGAGAGGGGTAACTCAACAAGGGAAACAAAACAAGCGCTGGCCGCTGGATTGTGGCATCAATCCTCCCAATAATGCGTAATTCATATACCCAATTACAATGTAAGGAAACTTCAAGAAACTACTACTGTACTACTTTGTCCCTCAAGGGATTCTCTGTGAAGGGCACGACTTTAAATCGCACACCCCAAAAGAAAGGGCTCAACCGTTGAGCTCAACCTTGACCTGACCTTCGTTTGGCCCTCGTCTGGACAATCCATCGGCCCAGTTGATCAGGAATCCGTGTTTGAAAGCCCCCACCCCATCACTTCAGCTGAAAAACCACTGCAAGGGCATCAACCTGAGGCTCACCTCATCATCCTCACCTATCAGTCGCGTTTGGAGCGTCTAACCCAAACAGCCCTCCCGGTGGGAATCGAACACCAGCACCTCAACCAGCACCTCGCTACTTCCGCCGTGTCGAACACCCAAAAAACCACTTCTTCGGCCCACCAGACCGGAGCGGCTCCCACCGGAGCGACACCCCCGACTCGGTGCGACCGCCTCGCGGTGAAGCTGCCGCCGCTTCAAGACCTTGCTGTTGTCCGACATCATCTGCGCAGCTAAGCGCGGTGGTCCGGTCCGGGCAAGACCCGTTTTGGTGCGGTGTGCAGTGAGGAGTGAGGGCCCTTTGCAATAGTAACAGGCCTTCCAGCGGACAAGGTCGCTCCTCGTCACTGCTCATCCCATGGCGCTTCTGTATTTCGGGGTGGGGTGTTTAGGGGGCCCACCATCTTTCACCACATCTCCCCTGTGTTCAGGGCTCACATTTGCAAGTCAACCCGCACATCCTGGCATGGTCCTTGCCCACCACCCCTTCCTCCCAATCATGTAACAAGCAGGCCGGGAAGCCCATGTCCCAACCACTTTCATTCACTTTCAGCATCAAGAACCCACTCGCCGCCAAACTTAGTCCAAGTTCTTAATCTGTTTCCTCTCTCTTGTGAAGTCCAAAGAAAAGCTTTCCTTCATGAACCTTCCTTCGAGATTCCTTCATGGACGCACCCATGGTTTCACCGTGCTCGACCATATTTGACCAACATCATCCTCTCGGGGCAGGCACAATCGCTCGGGCCACTGAACAAATGAAGCACCGAACGAGACGAATTAGCTGGTGGTGGCCATGGCACTAAAGTGGAACAAGTCATTGACAAGCTGGCCTTCTACAAGGCGGAACACGGATTTTGGGTGTCCGATTGTCATCCTCAAAACCCGTCGGTGGCCCAGTCGCCTCTTCTTCCAGAACTTCTTCATGGGATTCTGGACCGCCTGGAGCGTGAAGGAAACGGCACACATACACATGATGTAAGCAACCAGTTGACTGATAAAGATCGTCCGGACAATCGGTGCTGAAAATCGCTCTGTCGTTGAGTCCTTGGATTCTGATGGTTTCGGAATACGCTCCTGTGCTCCCACAATCACTGACACGGATTGGGTGTAAACTTTTCCTTGCAGCCCCAAACCTCGTGCCTCGCTCCATGGCCTTTGCCAACTGCCCAGTTTGCATGGCCAGTTGCCTTGGATGGCACGAAAATGTCAGCCAGGGCAGCAGGGTGGCGGAGCCCAAACCACCAAAGACGGTTGGACGTCGGACATTCCAAGCATTCCAATCCATGTCCAAGAAATGTTCATAGATATCAATGAATTGGTTTAAGGAAAAATCTACGGAAACCATAGGTTTCCCTCCCCAAACCCTCAGCTTCCTGCAACTTTTCCCTTAAACCAATTCTGGGAAGATCGTCTATTGAGTTATTGTGTTCGCAGAGGTCTTTATCGGTCACCAGGTGCGGGTCAAAGAACGTGTGTCTGCTAAGCAGATTGTGCTGATACTGGCTGATACACCGATCGGTGGAGGAGGAAGGGCCCAGGAAAAACACACACAAACGCCGACACGGCTTCTCTAAATGGATCGGTGTATTAGTATCGGCGTATCTTGAATGTATCCACTGAATCGAATCGGCGTATCTACAGCATCGGTGTCCCGAAGGTACAAGCTGAGTCGACAGGTGTGCAGGCGTATTGGTACATCTCCTAGGAACAAACTCAGACTGACTGCTGGATCGGTGCACATCTCGAAAATACAAACTGATGGATTGCTTTATAGCTTTCGAATTAGTGATGCATGCTATTAACTTACAAGTTGATGTTTTTTGCTTCTGCTGCCCATGTAACTAAGCTATAAGCTCCCCATGTTGCTCTCCGCTGCAAATATATGTTCTAAAAATATCCACAAAAGCGCACGCCGTGTATGCATACAATCTGCGAAAACACGTGCCGTGAGCTCGCCCACTGCGTCGTCAGATGACTTTTGTTGTGTTGTCTCACCCCCTCTTCGATGAACAAAGAAGTGGGGGCCGGGAATCCGGAGATAATGTGTTGTTTGATTCGCTCAATCGCTCCTCTGTGGCCTTCTCCACCCCCCCAAAAAAAAAGGTGTCGCAGAGTCGCACACTGTGTCTATTGTCTATTGTGTTGTGTTGCGTCTGTTGTTGCACATTGCGTCTGGTTGTACAGACATGTCCATGCTCTGAGATGTCTGCATGGGTGGGCCTCAGAACTAGCACAGGCGAGCCACGCGCCAGTGAGACAAAAACGGTTTGTGCACGCATGCGCACGCTATATAACGATTTATGGCAAATTTGGTGCTGTTGAGATGCAGTCTTTGGAACACATCGGCACTGATGGATGGCTTGACAAATGTGAAAGAGGAAACGGCTCTCTCGCAGCGAACTTCGACGATTTAGCAACTGGATACCGTGCCCTGACCGAACTCAAGCTCTAAGTACCTCAACTGGATAGTAAAGAGACTCTAGACATAAGTTGTGCCCCACACCAATAAATATAGAGTATATTAATCATATGAACAGTATAAAGAACTTTGTTGGGCCCCACACGTCGTGGCTAAGCGTAAAACATCAAACTGTTTAAGTGGTGCAGATCATGCCGCGCATCTCGAAGCGACAAACTGGATGGATCAGATGATCAGAGCATCGGTGTATCAAAAGCGACAGACTGGGGGGGTCGGCGTATCGGTGTATCAAAAGGATCTAACGCGGTGTGCGGCTCCCAGTGTGTGCGGTCACCGCTCCCACTGGTCCTCCAAGCAGCAGCTCACCAATCCAGGGCTCGAAGCGCTCGGAGCCGAAGAGCAAACTGAAAAAGACTGAGGGGTCCATCTTCACCTCAGCTTGAGCTCCCGCTCCCACCGTTTTAAGTGGAAAAAGCCAGTTCAAGAGCAAAACCTTTTTGCCCCTGTTCGCACCTGTTCTATCTTGTTCTTGCTTAGTTTGAAATAGATAACCCATCCCGATCCCTAAAAAGATATCCACTGAACCCCGTCAATCACCATCAGGCAATGCCAGGCAATGCCAGGCGATGCCAGGATGGTCCGAAGAACGGTTTGGTGAGGCGGAGAGCCGGGGAGTGGTCATGAGTGGTCCGGCTTCGCGTTGAACTGGGTCCGAAGTCTGGAGCCATAGGGGGTGACGAAGGGTGAGAGATGCTTCTCTTTGGTGTTTCGGAATGCCCACTGAGCCACCTAAACTAAGGCCTCCATGTGTGTGTCATCCAGCTGCAGCGTGCACACATCTTCCAGTGAGCCTCCGTCCCGAGTCCCTGAGCCTCCCGGCATTGCCCTCCTGCACGCCGGCCTTGCCCTCGCGGTCGTACTTCTTCCTAATGAAGACCGGGGCTTTCTGGGCACCAATGGGGGCGGACGGCAGGCCATACTGCCATATGGTCTCCCCTGCTTGGCCGTGCAGGAAGGAAGAAAGAAACCCACATTTTGCAGAATGAGGCGGTTCTTGATCCTGCCATCAATCATCTCCTGCACCTGGACTGCTTGCATCGAAAATTGGCATGTTGAATAAACCCTGTTTTATCATGTGTTATCATGGAACCATCCGGCCGTACATTCTGTATCCCATGTCCAGGGTCAGACTCCAGCCGCGCCTGGACTCAGGATCTGACAACACCTGGGCACAAGACGGGTCCCGAATGGACGGGGAAGAGAGAACAGGAAGAACATATTCTTGAGGTTTCTAGGTCCAGTCAGGCCAAGACGAAAGAAAGAAGCAAAAGCTCAACTTGCCAATGAGCTCAGTTCAACGTCTTCTTGCTTAGGCTTAGTGACTTAGTCTCCATCCCGGAGCTCCAACCCAACCGTTCTTCGGTCTCGGCCTGGTATGCATCGGCCAACTTCTGGAACTTCGCGTTCGCCTCCGCATCGCCGGGGTTCTTGTCGGGGTGGCACGCCCGCGCCTCCTGGAAGCGGGCCAGAATGGACCGAGCACAGAAGGTGAGGGCCGAAAGGATCACAGCTGCAGCTTGCAGTGGGAGGAATCCGGAAATCCTACGCCCCTTCCAGGCCTTCAGGTGATCTGATTTTCGGTCGTTCTTCCAGGCCTTTCTTTCCTGCAACCGCAGGGGTGACACCCCAAATTCTCCTTGTAGTAGGCCTTCTTGACTTCCGCAGCACTGGCAGATGGCTTTACCCTTAGCAGGTCGTAGTACCTCAGCTGCCCACGCGAATCCCAACCGAAAGCAGCGAGCATGCTCCATTTAATCGAATAGCCGAATAGCTGGCTTCGGCCCATCACTTCCACCCACCCACCCCACTCCGCTCTGTTCCCCACCCCATCACCGCGCTCCGTTGCACCCCGGAACTGGACGAACCTCTGAGGACCGCGGCTCGGTCTCCTTCACCGTGGCCGAGGGCGTGTGCTGCTCCTCGTCGTCCGAGCCCTCGGCAGTGACCTCCGCCTCCAACTTCACCAGGTCGATGTCCACCTTGGGAGGCGGACACCCCCAGTGGATCGGAGCAGGCGGACCCCCAGGCAGGGAGGGGGGGAAGGGAAGTGTTTAGACGCCTTTAGGGAGAGGGGTAGGGATGAATGAGGCTGAGTTGACCTTGGGTGGAGGGAAGATGGGGCATGGAGATATACCAACTGGAGTCGCAAGTCGACTGCACACAAGCGAAGGCGCAGCAAAAGAACATAGGATCGACCCTGTGAGATCAGATCGGCGTTTTGCGGCCCCAATGGCGTCCGTCCGTTTCTTCCAGGGTTTCTTCCGCTTCCCTCTTCCCAAACCAACTTCGTCCAAGCCACCCACTTGCCCAGGTCCGCGTCCCACACCCGCTGCTCCCGGCGCCCGCGGAAGGCCTCGGGCGTGTTCGCCAGGCCGCGGCCGATCTGCGCAGCACCACCTCGGTGCCGCCCGCCTCTCCGGTGAGATCAAACACAAAGGATTTGATAGGTCCGCGTTATAGAAGCACTTTATTCAAGCACTTATGTTATAGCTTGATTTCAAGGATTTACTGAATGTCTTCACTTCATATTGAGATTTGCACTTCATATTGAGATGATACAGTTTGCATTGCATATTGAGATGATACATGAGAGGTCTGCGTATGTCTGCGTATGTCTGAAGCTCATTGTGTCACACACCCAGATCTAACCCTTTCAGTCGCTCCCTCCCCAATTCAGACGGGCAGCAAACGGTGCCGGTGACCGCAATGGCAGCACCGCCCACCAGCCCGGTGCCGAGGCCCTTGACTAAGCCCAGACCGCCTGGAGGTGGCGAAGCTGTGACTCAGGTTGATTCCTTCCCTTTTCTCATTCAGTCATACAGCTTCCTTCAAGACACGCTCCATGATTCGGACTCGACACGCAGATATGCTTCTCCCAGCTCCGATGATGGGAGCACCAACGCCTGTTTCCACCACCCCGAACGCCGCTCTTCGGCGCCTTGGGACTGATACCCGGCCACGGAGGATGCCACCATGCTCCCCAAGCCGGCCACGACCGAGGTGCCCGCCGTAGACAAGCCCTTCCTTGGAGCCAACAAACAAGGAGGTGAGAGAGGAGGAGAAACATGGATTATGTTGCCGGAGGGTGACGCTGCATGAAAGTGCGTGGCAAGCACATCGGCAACTCTTGTGCTGGGTAACCACTGATGGGGTATCAACATCTCTGATAACTGTTCGGACCTTGCACGGGCAGTTAATTTAAAGTGTTTACCCCACCCAAAGTGAGGGCCCCAAATAATTAGAGAAAGGCAATGATTTCAAATACATGCTTGGGCTACGACTAGGGAATCATTCTGGTCACCCAAAAATCCTCTCAAAATTTGCTCCCCAGACCCGTTCTAAGGAGTGTCGACCAAGTGCCGTGCCTTCAGGGGTGTCACGGGGGGGTGTCTGTCAACGGGTTCCACCCAGCCGAGAAGCCAAAGGCCATCCACAGCGTCCTGGCTGTGGCTCGCTCGGCGAGGTACTCGCACGGAGTAGAACAGTACTGTGTCTCCCAGGGCGCGGGAGAGGCGAACAAAAATGAACAAAGGCAAAGTGTACGCCCATGGACTTCCATCTTGAACTTCTTCCCAACGGATGAAGGTACATACAACCCTCCCATGACTGAGTTGGAGTTGGAAGTGACAGGAGGAATACTATATATATATAGGATTATATAGGTTCTTCATGTTCTTCAAAGAGTTGACTTGATCCACTTACTCTGCAGTGGCTTCATTGATTAAACCTGCAGGGCTTGCAAGTGATTGTTCAACCGTCGTAGGCCTTCCAACAGGTACTGCTCGTTCCCCGCATGCTCGTTCCCCGCTCCCGAGCTTGGGATCGTCAGCTTGCGTGCGCACCGCACCGCGCCGCCCGAGGGACCTTGGGCCTCGTTTGGTTGAAGAACTCTTCCACCTCCCACGTCGGCACGGGACGCACTTGTTTGGGGGGGTACAAACACAAATGGTCGCCACCAAACCATATGTCCAAACCCTGTCTGATGGCAGAAAATGATCGTCCCAATGATGACGTGAATGTCTATCTTGAGTGGGAGGTCACCAAATTTTAGAACACCTTCAATCTTCACTACCCGCAGAGCAAACAAGCCGGTGGCAATCCTATCAGGAAGCATCAGTAACTGGGGATGTTGAGTTGGGGATTGCCATGTCTGAGGTGAAGGTTTTGACGATCCCCTTCTTTGAATCTCCTCGGTGCGGAGCATCTTACCTGCTCTCTAGGGCCTTGGGGGTGCAAGTCCCGATTCCAACCACATCGCGTCTTGCGTTTTTTCAACCTGAATCTGTCTGCTTAATTACTTTTCGCGAACAAGGACTTTGCCAAATAGAAGTTTGACGACCAAAACCAGAATGCCTGAAGTAAACCCGTGTTTGGGGCCACCATGTTTTCCCGTCTCTTGTCAAGATCTGGTTGAATCCCTGATCCACGCAGCGAAGGCAAAAGCCCTTAAACAGACCAGCCTCAATGGCCTGTCACCCATTGACTGCGGGTACCAAGCACCAAGCACCTTCCTCTGCTATAGTAGGACGTTGGGATGTTTTGTGTGACCAGCTGCACTCTCAAAGCTGCTGTGCCCGCTAGGCAGGCACGGCCTCGATTTTGACATGCCCATCATTCTCCCATCAAAATCGCGGCCTTCTTGACGGACTCCTCCTCCTCTGCTGTACCTGAGAAACCAAGACCCAGAAACATCTACATCGACAGTATCTTCTATAGATTCTATACGTGGAAGATTCTTTCAACGAAAATCAATATGTTTGATGATGATCTAACCGAACGTCACTAACCCCTAACCCCCACCAAACAGAACGTCATGACTGCTGTGCGGTGACAAACCCACCATATGATGTCAGTATGTCCCCCTCCGAGAAGGAAAAATAAAAGCACCAAAAAGTGCCAGAGGCCCCTAATGCCGTGGACACCCCAAACAACAGCACATCGGCCCGCCCGGTGGCCTAACGACGCCAACCAGCCAACCCCTCAAAACCCAAGGCTGCCAAGGTACCTTGCGGTTGCGCCAGGTCGGTGCACTCCGAGAGCGGCGGCGCCGACGGCACCGCGTGCGCCGCCGCCGGCGCATCGGGCGCGGCCGCCGGCGCATCGGGCGCCGGCGCATCGGCGGCGGCCGCCAGTTCGGCCGTGGGAGGGACGAAGCGGGGAAAGTCGCCCGGGAAGATGGTGACCTTGGTGCTTAAAGACAGTGAGTCATGAAAAGCGTTGGAAGGGGGGGCAGTGCACATAGAAGCTTGCTGCAAGACAGGTTCCACAGATTCAAGACCGTACCTTGCGAGGATTTGAGGCATGTGAGGTGTCAAGGGGCTCTTGTTGAATGAATTTTGATGGCTATTGCTGCCTTCACAAGCTCCAAGCGTCGGCCCACCGATCCAAATCCAACTCAATACTTGGAGGCTTTAAGGACGCCATTCCTTAAGAAATCATACATCCTGTTCTATCCTAAAAGCCTGTGAGACTCAAAGTTGCTGAGAAAGCGTCTATGTCGATCTGCAAGAAGCACACTGGCATCCCTCTTCCACTTATCCCATCAGAATTCCAAGGGGCCTTGATCACCTTGGCTGAGTCAAACAGAAACTGGAGCTGAGAAGAAGCGTGCTGGTCAAGCAGACGTCGCTGGAAAAAATTACACAAAGGTGATCGAAAAACCTACAGTAGACATAACATATATAACCACTTTTGCTGTTTGCCACGTCTTCGCCCAGTTCGAGCTGGTGTTGACGGAGGTGCCATCTGAAAGAACATCCCCGGAAGTGCCAGTTCGGCCATTGACGAACCTAGTCATCCTGGAGCCAAAAAAACGAGGAAGAGAAGAATCCAATGGAAACGATGTTTAAACACGCATTCTAGTCTTGTCCCAAATGAATTGTAGACACTTATACTGTATGTAAATCTGCTACATCTTTATGCATCTTGCATTGTGGTATAGGAAGGGGAAATTGTGTGGCCAACCTTGAAAATCAAGGATGCCCATTCTTTGTAACGGGCCGGCCACATATTGGCCTTAAGGGGCAATGAGCGTGACAACAAAACCCTGCACAGCACATCTCCACCATGTCCACTGAACTGGTATGAGCACAAGAACAACAGAGCTTGAGGAAAAGCTGGCTTGCTAGTGGATGGCATGAACGCTTTAGGAGGGCAAATCCACTGATCTCGCCAAAGCGTCGGTGAGGTTCCCGACCTCAGCCGACGCCGACGCGTTGAGGTTTCTGCGGTTGGTTTGAGCTCCGCACGGTTCGACCAGCACGTCGTGCGTTTGGCAGGTCTATATCACTGTCTAACTGCAAGGAATCACACTGAACAAAGGGAAGGAAGCATATATACATCACAAAAGGTCACAAGGGGCCCAGTGCAATTTCGAGACCATTGGCCTTTGATCGGGAGCACGTGAGAAGTCGCTTTCCGAAACCCCCTGCATTCTCGGCTTTGTACACCAGGGCCCACGCTTGTGGGTGGTTCCTAGACCACAGGATGTTGGACGAAAAGAAGGGCGCTGGGCAAAGTCTGACAAGCCGTGGACAAATCCACTTCAGGACATGTATCATGCAATATCATGCACTGTAGCTGAGGCTTGGATTTGTAGCTGAGGCTTGGATTTGCATTTAAATACCTTGACACAAGTCAACAAACTGTTCGAGGAGAACCATGGAGAACCAAGGAGCATTGAGAGCAGGGATGTCAAGGAGCTGCAAGACATGAGAGCTCCACAGCTCAGGACCATTTCGTTGGACCATGTTGGACCATCTTCCCGAGTACAAGAGGAGAGCGTGCGTTCCCCCGTCGTTTTTCCAGTGAGAAGAATCTTCACTGCACATGGGTATGGTTCATAGACAAAAGGGATGCAAAAAGCACGTCCACATTGCGTGTTCGTTCACGACACACGATGATGCACCGCAGGAACACACCATGTATGAGTTATATAAAAATCCAGGAACTGCTCGCAACAAAAGCTGCTCCGTTCTTCCCCGTTCTTCGCCTCCCCCATTCTTCGCTCCACTGGCTTCGTCCGGGCGTCTGCCGCGGCCTTCCATGCAAACTGCCCACAGAGGGAGGGATAGTGCTGGCCCTGCCGCATACGGACAGGCACGGACATCGTTTGCGTCGCTCTGCCACTCGAACCGAGAAAATCCCGTGCCAGGATGCACCCCAGCTGGAAGCCCAAACTCACGGCTCAGCTCCGCGTGCGGTGCCGACGAATCCGCGGCTAAATAAGCTCCCTTCCCCGAGCCGAAGATAGGGCCTGCACCAGTGTGGGGGCCAAGTCCAACTCGGCCTTCCTGGGCGAGGCTCCCGAAGACTCCACGCCGAGAGGCGTCCGCATGCGGTTGATCGGATCATATCTACTGTATGTAGTGTCTTGACAGAAACATGTGCATCCAAAACGCAACATGTGCACAACATAACATGTGCATCGGATAATATCTCTGTACAGCATAACATGTGCATCCAAAAAAGCCGCATCCTGACCTCACACCAAAATGTTTCTACGGTGGTGTGAGATTCTTTGGTGAGGGGCCGTTGTGGGCGCGAGGCCTGAGGCCGTTGCGGGACACATTGAAACAAGGACCACCAACTCACCACTTTGGGTGCTCAAGACCTGTCGCTGTGTCGTGGGAGGCTCTCCGTCGACACGTCTTGAAACAAAGCCAGTCTGTGGAGCACACGTCTCATTCTTCGGCTTGCTTGGGTAGCCCAAAGCTGGATCCCAGCGGTTCTTGGCCACACCATGGTGCGCCTGGGCCTGGGTCATGGCACCATGCCTCCAAGTGTCAGATCCGGCGGTGGCAAGCCAACAAAGCAGGCCTGAGGATGGTGGACATGTGGGCCACCCTGAGTTCGACATTTTTTGGTGCAAAAGCCCAGCTTGTACCGGCTTTTGGAGGAGCCGAACCCCCTCCTGGCCCCTCTCTCCCTCGCAACAGGGCCTCTTTGAGCTCCCAAAAGGGTCCGGAGGAACCATCCACCATCCACCATCCATCCACCATCCATCCACCATCCACCTCACATCCTCCCCGGTGGCCACCATCCCCGCACATCGCGTCGTCTCCCCAAGCTGCAAAGGTCGGTTCCTGAAGTCTGGGCCGCGCGAAGGCCTCGGGCGAAGGCGAAGGCGCCCAGCTCGTTCGCCCGGCTCGTGCGGGCGACGGAAGGAGTTCCTCGGTGGGTTCCTGGGTGCGGAACAAACCGGTGAGCCCCGCTGACGCTGAGCCCCGCTGTTGATGTCCGGTCCGAGGCCGCGACCAGCGAGAAGTAGAGATCCTTGTCCTGGAAGCTGCACCAGCTGAGCAAGCATGAATCAGACGTGGCACATTGGATTACGAGAGTGACACGCACGGCACATCTTACGAGTACCATCCATGCATCATCCACAACCACGACCAAACAAGAGCTGCAGACCTGAAGTCACCCACATCGATGCATTTACATGCTCTTTGCAAGAGGGGGGGATAGATTCAAAACATGTCACAGGGCAAACAGTTCTGACACCGCGACGGCCACCCCTCCTCGCTGTCTACGAACCAGGCCACGCCCGCGACACCCTTCATCTGCGTGGATTCAAACCTCAGGCACCGGAGCTGGAGTTCCAGTCCGCCCGCCCTCCACCGCACCCAAGCATCATCATGCGTTCTGACTGTTCCAAACCATCCAGGTCAGTCCGGGGGGGGTCCAATTCTTCATCCACCCGCTGTGCCGCACAGGCGGCTCGATGATGCTCAAGCTCTCTGCCTCGATGGGTTTCGTCTTCTCCGACTTCCAATCCTGGCCGCGCCGCGGACGTCGCACCCTCAGGGCGGACGGCGAAGGAGAACGGCCGGAGCATCACGAGACGGACGCGGAGGCCGACGGACGCGATGGACCGCGGAAAGCACAGGGAAACGTTGCGCTCTCCCAAGCATGGTGGGGCAAATTTGGAGGCAAACATTGTGGGTTTTGGAAGGGCCCGCCCCCTTTGCCCCTGCTTTGAGGGTTGTTGTTCCGATCAGGTGCCCGGCCACCGGGTTCGTGAGTGGACTTTTGGGGGTTTAGAAGTACCTCACTGTTTCAGCGCCATGTTGCATCCACCTCAGCTATGCGGAGGTTGGTTCTTGCAGCATCAGCTGAGAAGGTGGTCCCCAAGAAGGACTGACACATTCTGAATGTCTCAAATGGCCAGTTCAGGAAGGCCACCCACGCAACACCTGCTACGCCAAGCGACCCCTGTGCGCAGGTAGTCGCCATCGTACAGGAACGTGTAGCTGGAATCGTTGCCTGGGCCCGGGTCGTCCGCGCATGAGTGGCTGCTGCGACGGACAGAAATTGAAACGTTGAAAGTTTTTGGCATGTGGACTGATCTGGAGAGAAGTTTCAGCAAAATGCAGGAAGTAGCAGCTAGTCATCCTCTCTTCCGTCCCTCGCCGCGAGAGCGCCAGCTGCGGCTACACCATGCACTGGCACTTTGACCCATTTGCATCCTCCAAAACAAGACGCGTGGAAACTCCCTAAATGTCTGAAAAGACCGAAGACACGTGCGGTCCGTGCGGCACGCCGCGTTGAATCACCATGGGAGTGAAGCCCGGCTGGATTGGAGTCTGTTGGGTGGGGTTTGGGCAACGGAGGGTGTCCATCATCCACACCAAACTGGCGAGGTTCTACACATAACACCTCTGCTTCTGGATTGGTTAAGTGTGTTAATAACTTGGAAAACACCAGGAGTCACAAAGGGCTGCCGAACTTGGAGGATAGGGGTGCCCATAACATCCACTCACTGGATGAGACTAAACTCTTCGTCTCAGCGGCGGATCTCTATCAGGACCCGATTCCTCAGCGGCACCGCGTCGATCGCACGATCGGCACGCGTGATTGCGTGATCTATCGTGATCTGTAGACGAACTGGGTCGGGCCCGAGGTCAATGTCACTTCTAGGAAGCTCTCTGAGAAGCTAAGCCACTTGAGAATCAGAACCTGGAACAGGTCTCAGACATTTGTGAATGGTGTCTCAAGAAAGCTCGGATCTATTGGGAAACCTGGTTGACGCCACCCCGACACCCCCAATCTTGGGAAAGAGTTGGTTGGGTGATCCATCCTTCGTTGTCTAGACTAAAATGTCCTAGTCAAAAAGAGTTTCATGGTTTGGTGAAATTGAGTGGATCCCTCATGTCCTGGCCAAACGGCTTTCTTCCCTCACCCCCTCCCATTTTCGTTGCAACGAGCCAAGCGTCTCCATGATCTCAATGCTGACCCCTCAGCCAAGGATGGGTCAGCACACAGAATACCACTCATCATGAGATTTATGATCTCTGCTGCCACTACCGTGGACAGCAATGCTTTCATGACATGGGTAAGCACTCTAGAAGAAGAGGAGGAGGAGGAGGAGAAGAAGAAGAAGAAGGTACAAAGACGCACAGAGATATCTACCAGTTTTACTATAGTTCCTGATGCGTACTACGTACATCATATCAAATATATCCCGGCAGCCCTTCAAAGAATTGACTCTGAATCGTTGTGGGTGCCTTTGGCTTTGGGGTTACCCCTCTCCACAAGAGAAATTGCTTTGGAACGGGGCATCAGTGATAAGGAGATGAGATTAGATGACGACACATGAGGGTCAAGAACGCTCAGTCGCTTTTCTTGCCCGCAGCCGCAGTGTAGTGGAACACCCCGTCGAACAATTCAGTGAGACCCCTAAAATCTCAGATCAAATCACATACACCCTTGAACTCAAATGTCAAAATCAACACCTCACCAAGGATGAAAAGCCCTGGGGATGTCAAACGGAGGGGAGGGCCATGTCATCAACCTGTTTGGACTTTTCGAGTCAACCAGTGAGTCACTGGTACCAGTGACGGCGCGTGGCTCGGAACCCAGGTGGGGACCGTTGAGGCAAGCCAACGCCTGGGCAAGTCGGGGCTCTGTGTATATGTTGTGCGGACTCCTTGTGCACCCCTGTGTCGTGGGGACTCTGTGGTGCACGACCCAGGCCAATGGCCTTGCGAATGGCCTCCAACCAAGCAGCAAAGCCGGAGAAGCCCGAGCAGCGCGCGGGCCGGCTTTTAAGCTTGCAAGGCTTGTCTTAAAATGTGAGATCGGACAGGACACGGTGTGACACATGGTACCTGCGGTGGCCTGGAAATCTACACGTGCCGAAGTGTTCATTCATACTGTGAAGTGGTTTTGGGGTGGCTAAAATGGTGAACGGCTTGCTTTTCTGGGAAGACGCAGCCAGTCTCTGTTTGCATGTGGCTCTCAAAACCACTCACAACAGTCGCCCATGTTCATCTGGTTTCATGTCTTCCATCTACATCGCGGGTTGTAGTGGAAGATGCTCAACGGCTGTGGAATCTGGCTCACACGCACCCATTTGCGGCCACTTCCATCCACTTCCTATCATTTTCTGTGCTGATTTCCGCCCACGGCTTCGCATGAGCCAAACGGCTGACCCGCGGCGTGGCGGAACGGCTTCACGGGCCCTCAAACCATTCACCTCAACCAGCGACGTCTTGAACAAGACAGAATTCGATGGACACAAAAATTGCGCGATCGAGTTACATGCCACGGGGTTCTGTATAAGTCTTTCGTGGGATCAGCACGCGCCGGAGGGTTGGCGAAATTCCAAGTGACTGAACAGCTTGGTGGGTCATAAATTTAAGCCGCCGACCCTGGCTGATATGAATGATCAATCTGATCCCGGCTCCCCTAGAGAGAACGAAAAAAGAACCCTCACCTCGTCGCCCATCTCCTTCAGCGACCGCAGCTCTGGGGCCACCGGGGGCGCCTCCCAAAGGGGGTGTTTGGGTGATTCTTAAGGAGAAGTGACACCAGCAGCCTGATTGAATCGGTTTCTTTGGCGCTTGACCCCGTGCTATCATCGTGCTCTTGGCTCTGTCAGCCTCCAAACCAAAAGGTCTTGTCTGCCGGCAACCACCCCAAGAATTCAGGAGCTTCAATTTGTCACTGCATAGGCCCACCAGCCTTCGCCATGAGGCACAGGCGGTCTAGCCAGGGGACGACACAACTGCCGCGCACACGGAACCACTGGTGCCCACTGAATCTGGCTGCCTTAAATCTCAGATTGTCAGTGGAACTTCTTTGGGTCAGCCCCTCTACATATGCGGAGTCATCGGATGGTTTTTCAGGCTTCGGGAGCTCTCAAGCAGAACTGGAAGTAGATCTCCATATTGTATTGTTATTGTTGTTTGTTCTGTTTTATCCTGTTCTTTATGCCCGTAGACTTACCTTATTTACTCCAAGGATGCTTCCCAAATTCTGACATAGACCCAAACCTCAGGATCCTTGAAGAGGTTGAAACATTTCGGCCGGCGTGGATGGGTGAATGCTTGCATTCCGGAGAAACCGTTCATGGCATTTAGAGGTGCAGCACGATGACTTTGGCAAGCAACTGTCAGAAGCTTCCCAACCCACTACTGCCAAGGGGAATGTCACGTGTTTGACTTCATCTTTGGATTGCACTACCTCCTGCAAATCCTGGCAGGCACGAAACGTTCAACATGCCTCAGTCAGACCACGGAATCGGAACAAAAGACCCGACCCAAGGGTCGCAAGGAGTGAAGTCACCTTCGCCTACACGTCAGCAACACGGTCCGACTGAACCACCTGTCTTTGCATGTGGCCCAAGGCTTCTTGGGATTGAAACGCGGCGGTGTCACCCCACGTGACCCAACGAGTTGGAGGGCCCCGGTACAAACAAAATTCAGCCCCTTGGCGTGGGGGTCCGACTGTTTGGATCATGCGACTGCTTGTGTCATAACATTCCGTGACCCTCTACAGTATGTCCCTTCCGGCTCGTGAACCCACAAGAACCACACCCTGACCACCCTCCAGCCAGCCCCTCCAGAGCGCGTTCTTTTCCTCACACGCCTCAGCCCACACCTCGCAAGGCCTTTTGAGGCTGTCACAGGCCTCACCTCTTGCTTCCCCCGGCCTTCACCCCAGCAGCCAACAAATGATTGTTCTCTACGAAGCCCCTCTCCAAAATAAAAGTATAACAATTGGCTTGGCAATCCCCCTAAACATTAATCGAGATGGTCCTTGGCCAAAGATTTGTCCAGAACACTCGTGGAGACAACTGACTGGTGCTTGGTAGGGAATGAGCGAATGATCCCCCACAAGAGGTACCTAGAGGCCCTCATGTCGAGTGAGACTGGGTGTGCAGCCTGCCCCAGCAGCTGCAGAATGCCCATGAGACGAGCCCACACGATGCTGAATGACCACAGCTCCAATCTAATCATGTGTGAGACGGCCACTAGGCCACTATAAGTATGCAAAAGATGTAATTGGTTTCAGAGTAGATGGCACAACCCCCAAGATGCTTTGTATGGGGGATTTTCCTATCTACCTTGAAACCAATGCAAAATTTACTCTCAGTAGATCTACTAGCAGTATATGCAGCACCACATCTTCGCCAGACCATCCCTGATTTCTCCGAAGGCATCGAGAATAAACAAAGCTCCACCGGCCCGACACCGTGCTGCCACAAAAATGGACTCCTTCCTATCGATGCGCACCGCTGCACAATTTGAAGACGTCCGTATATACTACATTGTAATATATATATATACACAAAAACCACCGGTATGAGGATGGTTGATTTAGACATCTTACAAGCATACCCTTATCGGTGTTGGAGCAACCCAGGAAGGCAGCTCCTTAACAGCCTCGGTATCTGCTGGAGGTCACTCTGAGCCGGCCATCACTCATCACTCGTGTGTCTATGTGAAAAGAGTGGGACAAGCAGAGTCCAGTCCCCCAAACCCGACCCCGATGAGATCGAGGAGGAAAACACAAAAAGCTCAGCTGATAGAGATTTCTCCCAACAAGTTCTTTCTTTCGTCTCGGCCCTTTTGATGCCCAGTCCCCCAAACGCTCCACGCTCCTCCGAGGCTTGGAAGGCAAGGACACTGTGTCCGGACCAATCCAGCTCCTCGGAGCCGCCCGCATGAACCACACCGGCTCCTCGGTCCTGTGTGGAGCCTGCGACGCTCATTTCAGCGCCACGGCGACGCACGACGCGGCGTTGCACGCCTCACGCGTCACGGCGTTGGATCCAGCGATGAGTCTCTGGATAGAGGCTTGCCAGGTTCACCTCCGAGAACGTGGCTTCCGAGCGAGGGATGGGCGGGGCGGACGGGGGTGGCTGAGAATGGGAGGTCAGTGATAGAAAAAAGACATGCCGCCTTTCGGTGCTGGCCATGATGTTTGGGGATAAAGCCTCGTCTGGGGGCAATCAATGTTATTCGATATATATATATATATACCTTTATTATCTCACTATCTATGTACATAAGCTAACAATTAACAATAAATGAATCGTGAATAGGCAAGTAAATTGATGTCTATATTATATATGTGTGTATACCTATATATATACATAGAGAGAGAGAGAGATGTGTGTGTGTGTGTGTTACTGTTATAGCTCACCAGCGGACTGGCGAGCTTGGGCTTGCCACAGCGAAATGTGGTGTAGCTGATGATGAACCTCTGATTGCTAGGGTCTTTTAGGCCTCTGCAGCTCGGTCAGCCGTCCCCCCCCAATTTCTGTGCCCGGGGTGGGTCGCCCAACCCCCCCAAATACTCCCAAGCTGTGGGCACCCCTGTTTTGTCGGCATCGCGTGCTGCCAGACTTCAAGTGAGTCTGGAAAGCACTGTGGGTGCTTGGCGCTGACCACCTTCTGGACAGCGACCAAGAGCGCAACCTGAAACTTTCTGGAAATGGCCACATACTTCAGGTCGATCACTGCATGGATCCCCATCATTGCTGAATGGACCCCTATCATCTGAACGAGGAATACCTACCAGTCATTGCAGGATTGCTCCATCAAGATGCAATGCCCACTCTGGCTCGGCTCATTTCGGGGAAATCTGGCCTTTTCAAAACAAAAACCTCACCGGGGCTTTGGGGGGGAGAATCTGTCCATGTCTTTGTTCGACCGCAGCGCCCAAGTGGACCTATGGTCTTTCAAGGTACCGGTGAGCTCGGCACCGAAATTGGGCACTCGGCACTCACGGTGTGCGGTGAACAGAAAATTTCCTGAAGTTATCCCATAGTCTTCGTCCTTCAAAAGATCTAAGACTAAGACTAAGACCAATATATAAACATGGTGTGAGACTTGAACTTGTAGGTGGCCAAATCCTCAAGTAAAGAGGTTGCGGCCTGCCCATCGCGCACCTGCCATCTAGCTTCACTGGGATGTTTGATGTTGCCACACGCTCGAGACATGCTCGATGCTTTCAATGCGTCAACGTGCTCTGCATCTGTCATGCTCTCTTGCACAAACATGATCTGCCATGTGGATCATTGTTGGTGGACCACCGAAGATGAACTTGCTGGTTGGCCATTAGCAAGGAGGACACTCGAAGGTCGAAGAACAAGACCTCCGATGGCTCTCCGGTGATTGAAATGCAAACCTCATGAGCGGGTCTCGCAGCTGCCTTCGCAGCTTCGTTTTAGCCCCAGACATCCCAACCCAGTGCTTCATCGAATGAGAGCCGCTGCACGCCCGACGTGTTCCGTGTTCCAAGCGTGCGTGCTAGAGTGGGCGAAGGTCGGCTTGTCCCCTGCGAAACAGTGAAAGTGAAGTCTCTTCCTTCGGAACCTGCTCTTTTCCTTTGGACCATCCACTGCAGACGAAAACCTTCTCGAAGGTCTTAAGTCTACTCCCATTCCAACTATTCCACCTTCGTCTTCCAACCGACTCACCGGCTGCGGCCCTCAACTAATAGCTATATGTCTATGTCTGGCCGGATCTTACCTGCAACTCGCCCCGGTTCTTGAACTGGACGAGGTTGCGAAGGCCAGGCGGGCAGTGAATGATCGGTGGTTCCAGCAACCTGGCCACCAGATAGACTCCCGGAGGAGGCGCGGCCACTCACTCGCTCGGGATGCAGCTTGAGAGGTGGTGACACCCCAGAACCTCAAAAATCCTAAGGTGGAACAGGTTCGCATCCCTTCTTCTGTATTTGTACGCCAGGAATCACCAGATGCATCGAGAGAGAGTGGGTGCAAAGAGGCCCTGTCATCACTGCAGGGCCGGGGATCTCGCGTGTCCGGCTTTGGCATCCCAGCGCTGATCAACAACGTCAACAACCCAGGTGAGTCACGATGATTTGAAGCACTCCAGAATCGGCAGAAGTGGTATGTCATGCAAAGGAGTTTCAGATGGCCCATCCCAGAATTTTCTGAAAAGTCGTACGACTGTCGGGGGTCGAACTGACTTATATGGTTGGTTCTCCTTGCAGTTTTATGAACAACAAACCTGCTGAAATCTACTGAACACAAACAGTTGTTGGTCGAGAGTTTCACGTACCAAACAAAACACAGACCCCAAATTTAATGGAGCCTATGGAAATTGTATCAGCGAGTCTTCCTTTGCATGCACCTGATTTGGCAGATTCGATTGCCGCCGGATGACCAAGACCGAGGCCCCCTCAAAGTGAATCTACGGGCGCATGCGAACAGCCCGTCTCTGAAGGAATCTGGATTTCCAGCCCTCGTGCCGCTAACGGCTCAAACCTCCCTGGAGTGCTTCCAATGTGATCCTTTACCAGGCCTTGGGGGTGCTGAGCTTCATTTCGGGAGGCCAGTGGCAAGCAAACCCCATATGTGCCAGTTAAAATGATCCAATGTTCCTGCGCCACGATCCAGAAACCCAGCGGCCCAGCAAGCATCAAGCCGCGGGGAAGAAGAGGGCAGGGAGGGATGCCTGGAGCTTCGTGCTCATCCGTTGCTCAGACGAAGGTCCATTCGGGTCCGCAATGTCTGATGCGGAGTCCGTTCGGGTCTACCTTTGAGTCCATCCGTCTCCAAGACGTGTCTCCCCCCTGCCCTCCAATAGTTTGGCTTCATTATCCCTCAAGAGCTTGCAAACACTGTCATGTCCAGAGGGGGGGGCAAGTACCGAACCACCATCTTGCATCAAAGCATAACTCAAAGATACTCAAAGCCTAGATACCCTTTTGATTGTTGGTGGAACCTACCTTCACTCCTTGACATCCGGAGGTTTATAGTCGGTCCTGCCACCTTTTCAGAGTTCCACAGTGAGGCAACTCCTCACCAAATCATCGCTTGGATCAGCTCGTGCCGTCGCTTCATGGCCGCCTGCCCTTGGATCGCCCGCGCCATCTCCTCGTTGACCTTGACTGGAAGCTCCTCCGGCCGATGCCCCAGCTCCAGCGGTGCTGCAGGCACACGGGGACGCTGCGTGGGATGCGGCGTGGGATGCGGCGTGGGATGCGGCGTGGGATGCGGCGGCATGGAGCCTCAAGGGCGCGACCATGTTCAGAATCCACCCATGCTCGGTGCTAGTCGTTCATGCCAGTGTACGGTGGGCAAGCCTACACTTGGTACATACTTAGCCTTATTTTGGACCTCCTCTTCACTCTTCACTCTGCACTCCCACCTGGCCTGGACCTACCTGGCTTGCCGGCGCGATGCTCCGGGGGGCCCAATCCGCCCGTGGAAGGGCCGAACACGGCACCGTTGGCCGGAAGGGCTGAGCGCTCGCAGCACACCCGACAGCTGCGCCACCGACGGCGCCACTCGCACAACTCGCGCAACTGGCACCTCGTGAGAGGGGGAACTGACTGAGTGTTTGGCACAGTGAGCAACAGAATCATGCAAGAGGTGGAAGACCTCGCTTTCCAATGCTTTCTTCGACTACGAGTACCAAAAGCGCTCTTTCCAAACTGGGGGGCTGTTTCGGTTTCGCGGCGGTATAAACCAAAGGGCCCACTGCGACATTTGTACACAAGTGGCCGTTTCCGGGGTGCCCTGGGGGCTATATGCCTCTCAGTCTCTGCCATAGAACTCATGAAACCATTTGACAACTCCATTGGTCAAGAGAAAAATGTTGCAGGTTCGATGGCACAAATCCCAAGGTGTCTTGCAGCTGGGGGTCCATATAAACCACCGACCTTGAGGTCTGTGCCATCGAATCTCTCCGACCTCGACTGTGATTAAGCTCCTCACCGACCAGACCAGAGTCCGGGAACAGACCAGTACCATAGCGCTTGCGAAGTAGCTGGTCCAGTTCGGCTTCCCGTCCTGCAGCTTCAGGTTCAGATTGAGATAAAGAGACCCCAAACCAATGGAGGGGCTTTGGATGGTCCTACCTCTTACTCGTAGACCTTCGAAGGTCAGTTGACCCTGAGGTTACCATAATTGAACTCCATTGCCTGCTAATTCTGAGATTCCTACTGACGACGGAGTTTAAGAACGCCAGGCATAAAATGTCCCTCACATTTGGCGTAGGCCCGGCATGGGGTATGCTCAATGCTCAACGCTCAATCAGTCTTCAACTGGCAGGCAAAGGCAAAAAGTCGTGCAACATGATCCCCAAGTCCCAAGTCGCCCCCCCGAAGTCCGAGTTTGGAACGTGTTTTCTCCCGTTCGGTGTTTGGTGTCCATGTTCCGCACGTCGCGCGACGTAGCGTGCGCGCGACATGGCACCGTGAAGGATGCAAAGACCGAGCCCAATTCGGGTTTCTGCCTGGACCTGGAGCACCTAGAGAGACCTTGCGCCCTTGCGGCGGTCCTTGAAACGTTCGAACCAAGCCCTCGACAAAGCTTTGCTCCAGTTGTTCTGGTGCATGTCGACGATAGAAGTCGATGAGGCTGGTCCTGCACGCGCAGGACGGGGGAACCTGGAGCTCCAAACTCCGGACCTCCTGAGATCAACCACTCCTCCAAGCAAACACGTGAAGAGGTCAGCATGCGCATGTGTTGGGCATTTCCTGTGCAGTATAACTGTATAACAGCTTCACGTCGCGCCAGCCAGCCCTGAAACCAAACCCAGTCCTGAATAAGGAGTTGGGCGGGGGGGCAAACTGGCCTACATTTCTCGGATCTATCCGCGGGCACTCTTGCGGCGAGAATTGATTCCTGGGATGTCCAACACACGGCGGCCGGCGCAGACTTATGCGAGAAGCGCAAAGAAAGGAGAATGTTGCATTTATGCTGTAGAGCCGAGCTGTTTCTACTCAGAAGCAGTGTCATGCCAAATCTGTGTGCAAAGTCTATCTGTGCACCAAGCAAGTGGGTTCAGCTTGCCTCAAAACTTGCCAAGAGCGCCAAGAGTCATGCTCATGTTAGGGCACATCCCTGGACTCCACCCATTCATCACACCATTCACACCGCACTGGTTCGGAGCGCCACTGCTATCCATCCGAACACCGGGCGCCACAGAGGAGCCGCCCCACGCGGGGACGCCCAGGTTCGGCCCATCATAGCCATAGCGCCAGGGGTGCATGGCGAGCGGCCGCCGCGACCGGGGGGAGCCGGGGCCGCCAAAACTACGCCGGAGGCTCCCCGTTTTGGGGCGGCGCCTGCAAGAAGCCCCAAACGGCGTCGGTGTGGGAAATCCGATGTTCAAGGGTTTGAATCTGCCAAGCACGGTCTTTTGGGAGGTCGCCAGACCGTTTGAGGCGCAACCATCTCTAAAGAAACGCCGCGGTGACATGCGGTGACCCTATCCGGACGCCGGACCCAAGTGAGCTCATTGAAAGCGGGAGCACACATGGAAGTCAGATCCACCTCATCTGACCTATTCTGTTCGCAGTGCCCACCATCGCCCCCCCTTCCAAGCCCAGCTCAGGCCCAGCTCCAACCACACGCACCTCACCTCTTGGTGCTCGGAGGAGTAGGCGGCCAGGTTCACCACGCCCTGGCTTACCACGCGTGGTGAAGGGTGTCACAGGTCTGTGGATCGATCAAAGCCTAAGCAAGTCGCCAATCGACCAGGCTCGCAAGCGACTGACCAGGCTCGCAAGCGCCAATCAGCCGTGGCCTCGTTCGTGACCTCTTTTGGAGTGCCTTCAGTAAGTGGCCTTTTTGACAGGCCTAGGAAACACCTCAAACTCACTTGGGAAGAGCCACGAAGAGAACAAAAGACCCGTTCAAAAAAGAACTAACAAGACACACTCACCCGGTTCTGGGGCGGTCGAGCCCAGTCTCCATGTCTTCACCGGGCGGCCCCGTCACCGGTCGAGTCCAGTCGAGCCACCCACCCCTCACTCGCCGGACCCTGCCTCACTCTGAGGGGCTTGGCCTCGGAGTGGGCCCCGGAAAAGCTTCAGTGAGGGGGTCCAACCATCGGTGTTTATTGATTTTTTGTTCTTTACCATCGACATGCTATATATATATATATATCCGATATATGATGATATATATATATATGGTGTTCGCGGATGTTAGCCGACTGCCCCCAAACATCAACGGGGCCCCTACCCGTGTCGGGTATACCGCGGCCAATTCACCCAAAGATCGGGAGAACAAATTGGGCGCAGCGAGCGGACCCACTTGACCCAAGACCAAGCAGTTGCCAAGTAAGACTCCCGCCGTTCGCATCTTGTCAAACTTGAAAGTCGCATGGTGCTGTGCAGGGGAAGGTTCCATCAAAGGCTCATCTTATGATGTTGTGATGCTCCCTGAAGAGTCATCAAGAACCGGTTGCTGAACCGAACCATCCGAACCCCTCCAAATCTCCTGCCCGAGTGGCTCCAGGGACTGCGGCACAGCCTCAGGTGAACGAACACATCACATGGAAGTGCATGGCATGGCATGGGCTCCTTGGAAGGCTCCTTTCTGTGGTGTGCCGGCCGGAGTGCAACAAGACACGTCGGGCGTTTCTTTGGCTGCCGTGATCACCCCTCCCTGGCTCCCTCTATTTGCACCAAAGCCACGGGCAAGTATCGCTCTTCCCTGCGGACGCCCAGCGCTGCTGGCAGTCGCAGTGCACATTGTGGCCACAAACGCGGCAAAAGTCCACACCCTGTGCGAAATCGGGCTCACTCTGCAAAATGGCACGCTCAAGTTTGAACTTGAAGCTAGCTGCCCCAACAAGAGCGACATGAAGTTGCCCTTTGTCCATGCCCTTCTTGCCATGCCAGATCTACACAAGAACCTAGTGCAATTATCTCGTTTTGATTGACAGCCCTCACACCTTCGACCATCTCCAGCCTTCCCCTCCACAATCTCCTCGAAGCAAATGGGGCAATCCGCTGGCAGCGGCTGTCGTGCGCAGCCTTCTCTACCACCCTGCGCCTCAAAGCTGGGCAAAATGGTAAAGGGGCATGGGAAGGGGAAGAAGTCGTCCCACCAAGCACATGGGCTTCTGCAGAGCAGCCATCGCCATCGAAATGCAAACGAAGCACCTGCTGGTATCCTCGCATCACAGTGGCATCTGCCTGCACAACTTCAAATTCTTCAAACCTTCCCCCTGCTGCACACTGAGGTGAGAGAAAAAAAACAAAAGAACTCAAAGACATGCACTCCAGGGGGTCGTTTCTGTTTGATGCTTGATGATTTCTGTATTTTAAGGAACTCACAGGCTCCCGTGCCTGCACTTCGCCCCCCACTTGGAAGGAGCCCGTCCGGAAAAGCGTCAGCAGCGGCTGCAGCTCCTCAGAGCACGACGCCGTCAGTTGGGCGAGTCGGTATCCGGCGGGCCTTTTTCCTTTAGAAGCTATGGGAGGGTGTAAGGGCGTGTGTTTTTAAAAATAAATTGAAAAAAAAAATATATATATATATACATACACCTTAGAAGTCAAAGACCATTTAAACATGGTTGATCTGGTTTTGTAGTAAGTGTAAAACCCTTAGTGAAACAATGGTTGTTCGGTATTCAGGCTATTAAAACAATGGTGGTTCGACATCTAGGGTGTATGTATATATATATACATGTGCAATTGGAAAAAGGGTTCGATCATGCCCGGACTGCTAGAAATGCAACTGATTCATTTCTGGCGGGAACAATGCCCATGGATCCATGGGCTCTAAGCAAAGCAATGTCAGCGGCTTCTTATTGAAGACCAGAAAAACACTGCCATGAACATAGAAGGCTCAACTGCCAAACCCTCAAAGGACATTCCCAGCGAGGCACCACAAAACAGGGGAGGTTTTGTAGGTCAATTCACCCCCAAACACATCCACACACCTGTCCAGATTGTCTCTAACAACTGTCCAACCAGAACCTCGAATCTTGTGGAAACTGCTCCATCAATCCAACCTTTTTCTTTTTGCTCAGGTGCCAAGTCAGTCCCCACAACTGCACCCAGCGACCAAGTTGCCCGAGCCGGACTACTCGGCCTTCAGTCACTGTCTGTGCGGCCAACATGAACTGTACAAAAGGACGCTGAATCGCAAAAATCGCTACCTTTGTGGGAAAGCGTCTATTGGTACGGGCTGAGCCGGCTGCGCTGTCAAACCTGTGCCACGGCTCACAAGGCCCAAAAAAAAGCACGCACGTGAATTCCGGTTGATCCTCGGAAATGACGCCCGTTGACGATCGCAAAATGTATCCCAGGTCCCCGACTTGGCACGCTCACTCGGTGCGAATTGCGCCAAGTTGGGCGGAGCATTCCTTTCATCAACCACGCCACACAGCTGGGCACCGAACACGATGCACCAGCTCACTTTGCAGGTGTGGCTGTGCTCTGCTCAGGTTGAAGCCCCACATCGACCAAGAAGCGCTGCCCATGGGAGGAAGCTTCCAGGTGCGATTGGTGGAGCTTTATGAATTTCATAGCTGCCTGGAGGGATGGAATCGGACCCCTCTGTGCTCGGAGAGGTGGCCAAGATGACCCAGGAAGGGAAAGACAAGAAGACGTGCATTCCCAAACATCCCCAAACCAACAACAACGTCTATAGCAACCCTTAAATCAGCAGAAGCAGCCGAATGAAGAGAACCAAGTGAACATAATCGACTACAGGCAGTGATTGGCCCACTGACCCTTTTCGTGATGAGACAAGCCCAAAAATGTCCGGATGTGTAGAAGTTCATAAATCAAAAGCCATGCTCAACTTCTATGGCGCATGGATCTAGAAGAGAAGCGAGGGCACCCCAGCGCCCACGTGCCCGAGGGCGAGGCCTCAGTGTCCACGATGCCCTCCTGCAGCAAGGCACGTGCCACGTAGCAGCCGAATTGCGTCAAGGCCAAGTCAAAGATGACACCTGAGTCATGAGCAGTTGATCCCAATCACTATACCACTCGACTCCAAGTTCAGGCAGTGTCTTTTGCTTTTGTCCGCGGCCTTTCAAAAGTTTCAATCACAGGGAGTGCCATGGAAAAACTATGAAACATACACAAAAATAGTAAATAATATAATATAACATAATATTATATATATAATATCATATAATAAAACATAGTAAAGTCTAATGTATATATATATATATGCGAGCTGAAGACTGCTTTCGGTTCCGATCGAACATTTCATGGAGGGGCTCCAACATTTCATGCGTGCTGCGTAGTGGTCTTAGGATCCGAGAGACATCCCACCTTTAGTCGTCCCAAGCATTTGCTCAGTGTGCACCGCTTCCACCCACATTCCATGTCCATCCCACGGGGGCATTAGAGGCAAGCCTTATTCATCCTCATTTGCGGTCGATGCGCGTTCACGGCAGGGGAAGCCTTATTCAAAAAAGGAAAGCCCTGGAAAACCTCAAAACCCCAATGGTTTCTCCCAGCTTTTCCCTCTGCCGTCCCTGGGTCGTAGAGCCCAGGAAACCCTGCCGTCCCCCGGTTTCAGCTGGTTTCAGGCCTTTGGCTCGGGGGAGGCCCCCCACCCGGAGCAAACCACCGTCCACCGTCTTTCGGGTGTCCAGGCGGCGTGGTTGGCCCAACGGTCGAGTCAACGCCTGTCGGTGAGCCTCACTGCAGTGCCGGAGCGCCTGGGACCGGTCACGGGGGATCCCTACATCCCCACATCCCCACCCGCAAGGGATGCGCCAGTGTGGCAATCCGAGTAGGGCACTACTAACCCACATTATCGCCGTTGGAGTCCAGTGTTCGCATCCCTTCTCCGCTCCTCCCACGAACAGCTCCCCTTAAACACAAGCATGCTATAGCGTGCTTCATTAATCGAAAAGAGCTGTCAGCGCGGCAAGTAGTGTTGGAAAGATTCTGTATGTCTACATGTTCAAGGTTGAGGTTATAGTTATAATTCAACAATTCTTGAGGGTGTTGAAGAGGTTCAAGACATACTTCCCTCTTTGTTCGTGGCTTGGCAGGGAAAAGCCTGACCTGAACGGAGACCATCCCTTCTGCGAGACATAGGAGATCAGGAGATCTGATTCCTGGGACATGACCTCCTCAAGCCTTATACACGCTCTGCAACACTCATGGAAGATCATGGAGCTGGAAGATTGGCCTTTGGAAGGCTACTTTCCTCGCCTCTAGCACCATAAGGTTTTGCACTTCCATGTTAGCGAGTCAGAGTGTAGATCTTATAATCCTCAAGTCACCCAAAGCTTTGTGTAAAGCGGGGGTTCTCACTCAATAATATGCTGGTGATCGTAGCCCATTCCAAGTGCTGCGCCTTCTCTATGATATAGCTGGAGTTCTTGTGGGTGGCATATCTCCTCAGCTTGTTGCAGAGTCATGTGGACAAAAGCCCGGTCTTACCCGATCATCATCAATCAATGTGCATAGACGTACAGACTTATATACTATAACATATTATATATACGTTGATGACATTGGATTGTGAAAGGTTCATGACCTCCCTTGCCAAGTCATGTGCTAAGAAAACGACTTGGCCCCTTGGTTATTGATATCCTGCAAGGCCAAAATTCTTGGAGGCCGGATGTTTTCCGAAAATGCTCTACAATCCACTTCCTCTTATATAACTGCGAATGAGTCAGTGCAACCCACCTTAGCAGTAGTAGGATGAGCAGTCCACATCAGAACTGCTGGCTGCGGGGAAGCCAAACTTGCCTTTGCAATCTCTTGCATTGACAACAAAAAAAGAAGGGTGTCCGCGATTGCATCGATTTGGCCCATCCACCAGAACATCATGCATTTGCACAAGATCAAGACATGTGAAGAAACGGGGGCAACTGAATCCACCTGTCAACTACAGACGGAACGCCAATAGATCAAAGAGCAATGCACTCCTAAATGAGAATACTTCTCCCAACTAGCTGACCCAGTCACTCCCCTCCAAAACAACCTTCTTCGGAAGTGGTCTACCTGATTTGTTCATTCTACCTCTGTGGAGACCTCCAGTCCAATTCGGCCCGATCCGATCGCCACGTCTCCAGGCATCACCGATCAACTCCTCGGCCACGGAGGCCTTGTGCCGCTCGGAGCCGTTCTCCAGGACCGACTCGATGACGTGGTGGGCGAAGTTGTGACTGCAGAGGTTGGACAAATCCACCAGCAACTCATCCACCAAGCCTCGGAAAGGCTGTTGTTGTTGTCTTTTTTCAGCTGCAGGTTGGGACCGGATCTGCGGATCGTAGAGTTGGGACCAAGGACCGGCCCAACAAGTGCCGGGCCGATAGGACGACAAACAACAAACAAGTGGACACCACAGCACACACCCGGACCATCCCCAACCCGGTTTTCCTACCATTGTACCTGGGCGAGTGGGGATAGCTGGTCAATTCAGCAGTTGAGACATTAGGATGGGGTCGGAGCTGCTTAAATTTTATCGAACAAAGGTTATGTTGTCCCTCAAGAAGATTCAAAAAGGTTGATTGGCAGCCCACCATTCACTCACAACCAACGTAAATGACCACCAGGTCGATGTTGGGATAGAATTGAATGACCGCATTTCTGGCATGCCAGGACCATGCCCTCAACGCGTTCAGCTGCTCCGGCGCCCTGCCCCTGCCGTTCAGCCACGGTCCGTGGTGCTGCTCGGGCAAAACTCGAGGAGTCGGCAAAAGATTCCTCGGGCGGCCCAGAAGGGCCACGCGCCCTTCTGATGCGGTTCGGTGTGGAGAAAAAGCACGGTAACCGGAGAACACACGGAGAACACGCTGCACATGCTTTTTGGGGTGGAGAAGAACGGGCCACTTCTTTTACTGAGTCGTCATGTGTTTTCATGATCCAAATGTTGGATTCATTCGGCGTCTGTGGGAGCATGACATGAGGTGAAAACCTATTTTCCAGAACAAGCGCCACAGGCCGCCACAGGGCCAGGACTGTCAATTGTTCCTTTTGAGCAGGACCTCCAGCTGGTCCTTTCATGTCCCAAACACCAGCGTCCATGATGTCTGCAAGGCGATCGCCCATCAATTCCCCTCGACTTCGCTCCCATCCCCCTCCGCCCAAGCCACCTAGGCCTCACAAGACGGTGCATGGTTCAAAGACTTGAAAACCAACAAACCAACTAACCAACACTGAGATTCTCAACACCAGTACACAACACCAGTACACTGAGAATCTCAGTGTTGTGTACACGGTGCATGGTTTTCAAGACGGTTTTCAAGCACACAACACTGAGATTCTCAGGCCTCTCAGGCCTCACCCTCCCCGCCGCCGCTGTTCTTCGCGGCCCAGGCGTCGGCAGGCGAAGCGATGCTTGGCCACGCGCGCGGCGGAGCCGCTGAGCTCGCGGGCGACAAAAGCAGAGGAAGCGGAGGAGAGGTGAGACACCACCTGGCTTCGGGGCGTTCTGGGCCTTTTGGGGTCCGGTCGCGTGCGTTCCATGTGGCAAACACCGTCAACTGGGCCTGACCAGGGCTGACCCCTTTTTTGGTGACTTGAGCTTTGACCCAGCGCCGTGTGAAAGCAAACAAAAGGAGTCCTAAACAGGACACCCTGCTAATTGGAATATGCTGTCAACTCTCCGTCCAATAAGTGTGCACCACAACAAGAACCGATCCTTTAACGACCGCTTTTGGGCGGAGCAAAAAAAAAACAGCAAGAAGCCCCCATTCCGATGCGGCGTCCGACGGACGTCTCGCGACGTCGCCCCCCCCCGGCCTTTTGGACCACGTAGTTGGCATAGGGGCACATTACGGCCTCGAGGGAACGGCTGCGCTTCGCTGGGGCAAACCAAGGGGCGATGAGCGGTTTCAGTTCGAGTGTCACAGGCTGCGTAGCTCGGAGCTGCAAAGAAGGCGCGAAAAAGCAACTTGAGTTGTGTAGTTCGCTTCTCAATATCCGATATTTCCGTGGGTTGATGGACTTTGCCCCTCAAAGTTGCTCCATGGCCATCACCAGGATTCAGGGGTGCATCCACAGGCCACCGCTTGGAATTTCGCCAGTTGTCCAGGTGACCCCTGTGGATTTTGTGCGCAGTTGAACTAACCCCAACCAAATCTAATCAAATAATCTAACATCACCCAAGCATCAACAAATTCCAATCCATCTGGCAAATCAGAGTCATTGAGCAGATTCTCGTTTCCCCACCAACGTGCCTCCAGCACATGGCCCTGCAGCTCCTGCGCCAGCTCCGCCGCGTCGCGACTCCCAAGCTCAAAGACCTCCTCGTCGGCGGACTGGGGGACTCGGGGAATGGGGCGGCTGGGCCCCAGACGGGGGTGATCCCCATTCGACTTGGAGTACCCGCACTTGACCAAACACATCCGTCTTCAACTTGGCTTGTGGGAATAAGAGGCTTCCAGAAAGATCACTACCAGGAAGATTTGTTCTTCACCTGGCAAAGGAGATCCCTTTCCAACCCGCCCGGACCTGCCGGTTACCACATCTGTTGGACGACCTCCAGCAGGTGATGTGCGATGACTACACCTAGCAATGAGGCCAATGAGAGACTTTTTGCGAGTAGCTACTATATAGATCGATATATATATATATATATATATTAGTGATATATATTCCCCCTCCAACAACCATGGAAGTTGACAATGGGCCCTTGGAAGACTATGTTCCTCTACCAAGAGGGGGTTCTCCACTTCCATGATTGTTGGGGGGAGGGTGTGTATATATATATATATCTCTCTCTATATCTATCTATCTATCTATCTATCTATTTAATTATGTCTATTTATTGAGTTCATTCCGAAGTTCCCTGACCCCAACCCGCCTGTGTATGCCTGGGTGGGCCCAGAAGAAGTTTTTCTTCCACCCCGGTGTCGGTCCTGGATCAAACGGCAGCCCACCGGATTCTGCGACCAGGCCCACACATAGCCCTTGAGGCTTCGTACAGTGGCTACCTGGTCCTTCTTCAGCCTGCTAGGTGGCGCATGCGGCTGAAATGTGCCTGAGGTTCCTTAGCCTTTCATCTCTTTAGTATGATTGTAAAGGATTGTAAAGGTAGAAAGGCATGAATTGGTAGATCTGGCTGGCTTCTCACCTCCGACGCAAGGTTGGAGGTCATCTTAGACTGCTACGCCCCCCAACTTCCAAACCTCCCTGGAAAAAACAACAGCCTACCGCCTTGCCAGCCAATCCTCACCTCGTGCGGAAGTCTTCCATGCTGGGCACCCGCAGCTGGACGCTCTGCACCATGCGCACCCGTTCCGCCGCCCGCTTCCGCCGCAGCCGCCGCGCGGTGCTCGCCGTCAGCTGCGTCGCCCTTGGGGCGGCGTGCCGCGGCACCTCGTCGGCGCTCTCGTCGGTGGGTAGCTCGGTCCGTGGCGTCGCGCACTGCGCGGGAACGACCTCGGCCTGGCGTGGCACCAAATGGAAGCACGGAGGGGGCCTTGAAGGGGAATTGGACCTATTAAAAAAAGAAAGCAAAACTCCGCGTGCATCCTCGTGCATATGCCATAGCTTCGACCATTTTCACGTCTTCCCGGCGTGGATGAACCATGATGCGTCATGGCTTGCATGCAAAACATCACCCCAGCCTCAGCCTTTGGTACGGGTACGGGAGACTCCCACAGGGCCACGTAGTTCCCCCGCAAGTCCCCTTCGGCGGGCACCAAGAGAAAGACTTGTTGGGGGCACATCATCGGCATCTGAGCAGCCATGAGATCACAAGCGCAGTCAGGCAAAAGTCTTTGAAACAGCGAAAGTCGATGCTCCCTGATCGCGCTTGACCCTCGATGATCCTGCCGGAGTCTAAGCTACAGATGCGTGACACGGAACCAATGGCTCCCCTGACACACACCTTGCACGTGACTGTGGGGTTTCATTGCGCCTCCATGGCTGATGTCCACAAATGTTTTCAAGTCCTGATGTCACTATGGATCTTCCAAACTGAGGACGATGTGGCCTCAATCTTCCAAATCCAACACCCGATCGACAACAGGCTGCCCAAAATTCCGTGGCTCAAAATAAGGGTCACATAGGCTTGCAATATCAGTATATAGTATAGTACAGTCCAAGTTGTTCTTGACGAACTCCCTTGAAAAACGCATCACTCCATGGACCTGCCAAGCATCTGAGGGAGTGAGCCCCGTCTGGTAGACTCGATGGTCCTCCCGGGGCAGCTTTAGCACCTGCGGTCCGCGCTGCACACGCGAAAAAAAAATTGGAGCCTTCCACCAGTTGAACCGAAAATATTAAGGATTCCCAAGAATTCCCTGAGACAACCGCAGGCATGAGTACTCCAACCGTCCAGCCCGTGAAGGCACCGCCACGCCCTACAGCTTGGGCTCCTGGAGCTCATGCGGCACAGGGCATTCCCACATCCTCCGAGGCACGCGCAGCATCACAAAGAGGAGATGCTTGCAAACACCTCCACCCTTGGCAAAGTCCAAACCTGAGCTCATCGCGTGGGGTTTTACAGAGGCGGGATAAGATTGATGAACAAGTTGTATTGATTGTGCGAATCCAGTACTTCTGCCTTGCGTGTGTCGCTCCCTCTCTCTCTCTCTCTCCACATATCTATCTATATATATATAATCTCTGTGGGATATATAGGGGGGTCTTGACGGTGATTTTATAGATATGAAATGGTGGTGGTCATCCCCTAGGGAGTATACAGTGAGCAGGCCTTATCCCAGATAGGTCTCTATAAAATCATTCAACCTCAGGCCACCATGTGCCTGAGCAGTGACCAGAAAACACATAAAAACAATTCCACGTAATGCGTACGTTTCTTGGATACAAGCAGCTTCCTCCATAAAATCCAACCCCCACGCCCTCCTGGGCAGGGACCGTAAAACGTTTTATGGGATACCATGACCCCTGTGATTTTATGGAGGATATATCCACCATGTATATATATATATATGTGTGTGTGTGTGTGTGTAGGTGCACAAGTTGTTATTTGTTTGGACGCTTGATGAGATCCGTGACTGGATCACGATTGCTAGCTCCGTCCATTGCCAATGACCTATGGAGCAAGACCTCTGGATTCCAACAACTCGCCAGCGCGTCCTGCCTAAAGGCGGTACTTTATTCCTGGCACTTTGCAAACCAAGCCTAGCCCGGCGCCCATCCTATTACATCCTCAGCCCGCCCCTGTGGCCATCCCAGCAACAGGAGCAAGCATTTCCAGAAGGTCGCAGCTCGACATGATAGACGTTGCCTGTGCTGCCCAGCACATCCTGGGACGGCCATCTTTTTTCAGACTTCGCGGACTTCCAGAGGCAATTGTATATGAAGTAGTCCTAAATTGATATGACAATGCTCTTGATGATGTTTTCTTGAAGTGCACACCCTACATCGGTTTCGTGGACTCCATGTGGTGGCCCATGCCGTGCACAATGACCCTTTGTGAACCTCCATGTGACGACCAAGCCTAGCCGTGCGAGCACTTGCTGGAAGAAAGGGATGAAACGGGTCAAGAAATAAATATCGAATTTCTGAGACGACGTACCTCCCAAAAAAACATTTCAACAGATACAGGGTGGCTATGAACGGTTGCGAATTTATTTCTGGATTTTTTCTTTTTTTTTTGATGTTTTTTTGTTTTTCGGTTGTTGTCCATTGATTATTTTGTTTTTCCTTTTCCCGTTTTCTTTTCCCTGTTCCTTTTCCCTTTTCCTTTTTCCTTTTCCTTTTTCCTCTTCCTTTTCCTTTTTCCTTGTCCCTTGTCCTTTGCCTGTTTCCTTTTCCTTTTTGTTTTTCCTGTTCCTTTTGCCTTTTGCCTTTTCCCTTTTTCCTTTTCCTGTGTTCTTTTTTTTTTCCTTTCCTTTTCCTTTTCCTTTTTCCCTTTCCTTTTTGTTTTGACTTTATTTATTGTTTTTATCTTTTCCTTTTTTCTTTTGTTCTTTTCATTTCCTTTTCCCTTTCTCTTTTCCTTTTTCTTTTTCCTTTTCTTTTGTCCTCTTTACGTTTTCCTTTTCTCTTTTGCTTTTTGTCCTGTTCCCTTTTTTTTCCCCTTTTTTTGTTTTGGTTTGCCTTTTTCATTTTTCTTTACTAGGAACAAGAAGCTGCTAGGGTCTTCTGGCATCGCTACCCTTTTCCTTTTCCTTTTTCCTCTTCCTTTTCCTTTTTCCTTTTCCCTTGTCCTTTGCCTGTTTCCTTATCCTTTTTGTTTTTCCTGTTCCTTTTGCCTTTTGCCTCTTCCCTTTTTCCTTTTCCTATGTTCTTTTCTTTTTTCCTTTCCTTTTCATTTTCCTTTTTCCCTTTCCTTTTTGTTTTGACTTTGTTTATTTTTTTATCTGTTCCGTTTTTCTTTTGCTCTTTTGCGAAAACGTGCCGCGGTGAAAACACTGGTGGCCAATCAACCCAAAGTTCTATCGTGTTCTGGTGTTCATGTCGCACAACTCACGCTGCCACCGAGAACGGCATCTGGATAAAAAAAGATTTAAAAAAACAATGCCCTCAAAACCATGGACATGCTTCCTTCCTTCCTTCCTTCCTTCCTTCCTTGCAGCACCGCTTTGAAGCAAGGGAAGCCAAAAAAGCCACAAAAGTCAAAAGCCAAGAGAAGCCACCAAAGGCCAACAAAGAAACAAAAGCCAAAAGCCAAAAGCCACCAAAAGCCAAAAGCCAAGAGAAGCCACCAAAGGCCAACAAAGAAACAAAAGCCAAAAGCCAAAAGCCACCAAAAGCCAACAAAGAAACAAAAGCCAAAAGCCAAAAGCCACCAAAAGCCAAAAGCCACCAGCAAAAACAAAAAAAAACAAAAAGAAAACAAAAAAAAAATCCAAAAATAAATACCCCTCCGTTATGAACTCACCAACCACCCCACCTCCCCACATCCCTCATTCCTTTGCTCCAAGCATCCAGCTTCTCTCCATCCCCGTCCGTTTGCCGCGCCAGGAAGTAGAGCCGATGTGCAAAGGCTCGATCAATACGCTCCTGGGGAGGCAGAGAGATCGGAGCATCCCATCGGGCACCTGAAAAGCTGTTGGCACCCCATCAACCCTAGAGAGGTTGAACAGCCCTTTTTCGCCCATCCCACATGTACCACAGACCAGGGTCCTATAATAAGTCTCTCAACCTCTCTTTGGACTCCGTCAACTGCAGACTTGAACCACCCCAATCTGGCCGGCTGGCAGCTCCTGCACTCGTGCACTGGGCTTGGGGATGAAGCGGGCAGGACGCTTCTCGCCAGGCTGCTTGGGATCCTGAGGCGCCAGCATGTGGAACACACCAGCACTAGCATCGTGCCGTGGAGGTCGGCCAATGGGGACTAGTGGGAAACACCTGCTACCCACTGCCTTCTCACCACCCACACCACCAAAAAGAACACGGGGTCTCCCAACCTGACCTCGTCCACCTGCGGCGCTGGGCCCGGATTCAAGTCCGCAGGCACAACACTGGCGCGGACAGGGGCCGGTGGTAGCCCGAACGCAACACACATGATCCCGACATGACCTCCCCCGCGCCTTCCATCCCTCCAGAACCCGGCCGGTTCCATCACCCGTCACCGGCCTTTGGACCATCCGCCTTGGGCTTCTTGGCGGCCGGCTCGTTGGCCCTCTTCGGCCCCCTCTTCTTCGGCGCCTTCTTCGGCTCCTTCGGAGAGGGCGCACGGGGCGGAGGGGGCGGAGGGGCTTCGCAGTAGGCAGCGGGCACCGGACATGGGAGAAGACGACTTTGGAGCCGGTGAAAAACGCTCCCGGCAACCCATGGTTGGTAGCAGTCCAACTGGCAAATTGTGCCTGGAGCCTCTTGTATCTCTTGTCAGTCAAACGCCACCCCAAGCGAAAGCGTGGACTAATGTCTCATCTAGATCTCGGAGTAGGGGTCCTGGTCAATGACTCCCTCAAATCACCAGGCCCTTTTCAGAAAAGCCTGGAAAAGCTACACCCTTCCATCACCCACCCACCCACCCACCCACCCAACCACCCACCCACCCACATCTCCTCCTTGGGTTTTACACCCAAGTGCTTCAAGACCGGAGCCTCCCCACCGTGCAGGTCAAGCAGAACTTGGCATCCGAAAACTGCTGTCAAGTCATCGCCAAAGAGACGACTTCAGCGTCTATCACGAGTTGACCCCTGTTTTCAATTGGAGGATCCGCTTTGTCGATTTCAATGATTTGAAGATCACCACCAGGGCCCCGAAGGTGTTTATCAGCCTTCCCAATTTTACAAACAATGATAAATGCCCTGCACAGCCGCAAATCAGAAAAAGCACGATTTGGAGCCGTCCAGTTTGCAAAGAGCCTCTTCATGGCAAGATCTCAATCTGAAGCAAATGGGAAGTCCATGTTGGTGACGCATATTTGAACCCGCAATGACGAAAAATAAGTTGCACACTCCCCAGCCTGTGCTTCCTTCAACTTTCCTTTCCCTTTCCCTTTGCCCTTGGCTTTGCTTTTGCTGGGCTTCTTCAGCTGCGGCTTCGTCAAAGCCTCCCATCACCGAGCAGAACCGAAAGTCGTCCTTCTACCAAGGAAAGACGAAGTTGGTGCTGGCTTGGTGAGTGGACATCGATGACCGTCCAAACCAATCTGCTGAAATTTCCTGGAACTCGTACTGATAGCACCATTTTGAGTCACGAGCACTGATGGTTGCATCTTCCGGTGCTTGGCACGCACCGGAAGGTCCTTCACCCAAAAAGATTGCTCAACGACTTGGCGCTGACCTTCTTCCCTCCGCCACCTCCGCCCAGCCGCACCGGAGTCTGAGACGAGCGCTGCGAGGACTCGAAGTAACGCAGGAGCCTGGCGCTTCGAGGAGCGAGTAGCGAGGGCGCGACACATCCGCTGGGGAGGGTGAATGGCTGGCTTCTAGTCAAGTGGTAGGCTGGGATGGCTCAGGGGTGTAATGCTGTGATACTTTGGGTCTATCCTGTTACCAGTAACCATGGAGGAGGAGGAGGAGGAGGAGCAGGAGGAGGAGGATGACGACGACGACGACGACGACGATGATGATGATGATGGTTAGGCTGCGGGCCTAGTTCAAGAATAGTGATATGTATATATAATTGTTTACTGACTGTTCCAGGTAAGTTCGGACAGACCTAAGGAATACTAGTCGAGCAGCGCTCTGAGTAAAGGTCGCAAGCAATTGATAGCAGCCATCATCTTGACTCGGTTGGGTGATGGATGCCTGTTGCAGCTTGGTTGCCAAAGACACTACAGAGTCCAATGAGCTTGGTGTCTCCAAAACGCATAATTTTGGCGCTTGCGCATCATTCCTCCTGAAGTGACTCAACTGAAGATCCCAAAGGATCTCCCTGTCACAAGCTACTGCAAGCCTTTCTGCAGAGTTGGTGCTTTTAAGCAGCCCCTGCACCTTGAGGACTCCGGCCCTCACAGCAAGGCAAATCAATGCTGAAGGGGCTGGCGTAAAAA